CCGCCTCTGCCCCGCAGGACATGCATCACAGCCAGTGCAGGACAGGACCTGTCCCTCTGCAGAAATGTGAAGCAGCAACTCAGCTGCAAGCAAAATAGGGCACCTCCTTCGGCAACAGCATGTGTCAAAAAAGTTTTTTTGTCGGCGCAGGCCCATGTGCACATCCACGGGCAGTGATCAAACTGCGAGTGGCGTGCACCTGCCGCTGTTGGCATCTGCCGTGGGGTCAACAGCCGGGATCTGAGCCTGGCAAGTCGAAGCAGCTTCGTCACAGATGTGCCCAACGAGACTCGCAATGCTGCACCGCCTCTAGTGACCCTGTTTTGCCGCAGGGTGTCGCCGTACTGCTGGGCCTCGTCTGGCTGCTGAATGCTTGGGGCATGCGCTTCTGCCACCATTTGGAAGCAAGACAACGAGATTCATGCGACAAGAAGTACCCCACACCCGCCCCATACAAGCTTCAGGTATGCCGGCTGGGTGAGAGCAATAGATCCATCGGAGGTGGTCATGGTGCCCCAGGTGCAATACCACAGGCCTGCGAATTGGACGCTAGCTTTGCAGAACGTGTGCATACTAGTATGGTTGGCTCACGGTCATTGCAGTCGTTATGTACTTGTCGAGCCACGGTATGGCATTGGACATGAATAAGCCTGAATAAGCAAGTTAAATGACGAACTTAACCTCCATAATTACAAACAGGTATAAACAAACATAGCATCAGCATAAATCTGAGCATGCGTAGAGAAGTACCATGCATACATACACATATGAAGTTGTTCGTATTGTGTTCGGCAACGTCCGGGCCGTTGGTCAGGTTCTCTGTGAACTTCCGGTCTCGCAGCGAGGGGAAGCTGATCTTCACCCTCAGCGCCGAGGATTAGGGTTTAGGGTTTGTGGTCATAGCATAACTATGTCATTCCTCGCAATGTCGGGGGAACGTACATGTATATATGTATACGCACACATGCAAACATACGTGTATGTGTGCGTCTATTGCTACTTATGTGTATACATATATGTATATGCATGCAGACCTCACACACATGTGTATATGTGTGTATATATACACTCATGTTTGTGTGAGCATGCATCATTTGAAAATGCATCGGGGCGCCTGCCAGCTTTGCAAACAGTTGTCTTTTCCATCTCAATGTTCCGCGAAAGGCCGTGATCCTAGTGACTCAGTCACCCTTAGTTTCGTTGTCGTCTATGGTTGCCGAACATCAAGTAGACAACCCTGACACGTGCAAGTTCATGACCGGACATCATGACTCCTGGCTCGGGGTTTGATGCGCAGAAGTAGGGCAGGCTGCTGAAGCAAAGCCGCCTACTTGCAACACTCTTGCAACCCATAACCTTGTTGTCGTGATCCCTTGCGGATGAAACTTTCCGAATGTGCACGGCGTGCACGTGCTGAAATGGAAAGATGATGTACCAGAGCTGTTGAATCTCCGTCATCCATGATTCCCTCGGTGACCCCTTCTGCATATCATGGATCCTCACCACTGCGTAGCCCCTTCTTTTCCTTACTGGCTTGTTGCCATCGTCTCGTGATTGTCCACAGTTGCAGCCGCAAATCATGACCGCGTGTAATCCTAGCTGACTTGTCGAGCGCGAGTGACAAGAATCCCAGCTACAAAGCCTATTCTGGACTTAGCACCACACGAATCAATGCTGATCCTAGCTGCTGCGTGTTGCGCAGTCTCCTGTCTCAAACGAGTCTATCCAGAATCTATTCAGGGTCTATCTATTCCTATCTGTCTATCCATCCTAGCAAGCTCTCGAAGCCGCAGTTGCCACGCTGGCACACTTTCGATTGTCATGAACTCATAAATCATATCACGGGACATGGGTTTCCAAGTCAACGAAGAAAAGTTTTCATGGCCGTTGCACACGAAACTTGTAGTGCAACGGTGGATATGTGTTGCAGGCCGGTCAAAGTAGTTTAGTTGCTAGGTCGTTGGGGCTGTCTGTTCGTCAACAGAGGGTGAGGATGCACTGCGCAGGTCGCAAGGAGTTGTCGGTTTATAGTGAATTTCATGATTGTCAATTGTCACCGTGCGGAGGTTGAACAAAATGTGAGGAGAATTCGCCTGGCTCATGCTGGAAGTATCCATGCTTGCAGACATCGGCGTAGCACCTTCTGGGAAGTAATAGTTCTGCATTGCATTGCCATCCTACTTTTGCCACCTTCCTCTGCGTCCAACATCTGCTTATATCTATTTAATGGTCTTCCTGTCGTTGGTTCCAGGACGATCCGCACGGAGTAGCTGCTGCGCTGATGCCTCCGGGCCCGCCTCGAGGCCGAGCCGGACTTGCTCGGTCCCCGGAGAGCTTTTTCTGATTACTGTCCGCTCACAAGAGGCTCTTTGTTTCGATAGGTTTTGCTGACAGCAAATCTACTGCTGAAGTATGTTATGAGCTTTTGCCTCTTCCAGCAGGTGTGAACGCCACCCGGGTTGCTGTGATGTTTCTTTCCTTGCTTCGAGGAATGGTGTCAGCTGGCGACTAGTATTACCACTACTACTACTACTACTACTACTACTACTACTACTACTACTACTGCTACTACCGCCACGATCACTACAGCTGCCACCACTATCACTACCACTACTACCACAAGCACGACCAAGACCACTACCAGTGCCATTTCACTCCACTCCACCACACTGTCGCTACCACTGCCACTACCACTAGCACTACCACTAACCCTAGCACTACGACTACTATGTCACTGCTACTGACAAAGAATTGCTTCTACTGCCGATAGTACGGTAGAAAAGGGAGTTGGAGTTACCTCTGTACAACTCCCGTTGCTGCTGCTGCTACTGCAACTGCTACTACTACGACGAAGACGAGTATTATTTCGTACTGTTTCCGCTAATGGTTCGAGTAGAAGTAGCCTTCCAAGCAACACTAAAACAACACCAGAGTAGCACACCTACAGTCACTGTGCCGACGACGGTGACTTCAGCAATGCTCCGAAACATCGAAGTGCCATTTGGTTTGCTCTGCTTTTGTCGTTCGGAGCACTGATGTCCTCGCTATTGAAATCATCGTTTTCACCAGCTTCTTATCATCAGCACTGCATCATGGCTCTTCCTTCCACGGCTCGGGCCTGTGGCTATATCATGCTGGTTTACTTTTTGTAGTCCTATTCCCACCAAAGTTATGCAGCTTAAATGTGGCTGGTTCTGGCGCGGCATCTTTGCAGCTGAGGCGGTGATGTACCAGGCGCCAGATACAATGCTGGGCAGCTATGTGCCGGGGATGCCAGTACCAGGCTTTCTGGCAAAATTGTGAGCCCACCAAGCCAAGCTTGAAACTGAATTAGAGGCTCCAGTCGTTCATACAACCAGGACGTCGTATCCACGACAACAGAGTGCAAGACCATGTCAACCGAGCCGTAGTATGCTTCCCTCAGCTCCCCCCAGGCATGACGGGCTCCGATTGGGGCGGAGCCAGCTACGGTGGCTACACCAGCTATGCGCAGCCAATTGCTGGTGTTGCTCCCGGCACTGTCGTAAATTCAAACTTCCTAATACTAGGCTGATGTGCCTGTGCGCCATTGGTTCGACCAGACCAAGTGAACAAAAGACATCAAGGAATCAATGCCCCTCAACCACTCCCTGCGTAACTCTTCAGCGGCAGCGCGCTGAAATGCTACAGAAGGCACAGCTCAGTCCTGGGACAGGCCGGCACAAACGAAGTATGGGTTAATTTATAGTCCCCTTAGGAAATATTTTTGTTCATATAAAACCCAAGAGAACATTAAACATATCATTTTTCACATGGTTCTAAGTAATTGGTCCAAGTTGTTTTACTCAACCGTTAGCCTCCGGAAGTACAGTAGTTGCACCCGGAACCCGGGAGACAATGCAAAGGTGACGAGCGAGAGCCTCGTTGGTGCTGAGACCGGTGATGCCGTCTCCTCCGTATGCGGGAATTGCCGGATCGGAATTCATGTTTCACAGCCCAAAGAGGTCATGCAGTCCTGCATGGCCAGCAAAGAAAGACAGTCTATTTACTGCGTTGCGGATACGATCCGTGACCATGTCGTGCCTGATCAACCAAGCTTGTAAGTGCTACCTGTGCACAGCCGTCAGGTGGAGCTCGTGCACACAGGACATGCGCGAAAGAGTCGTAGCTCGTTCTCCGGTGCCGAAAGGCCTGTCCCAGTCCGACACAGCATAGAGAAGACTTAACAAAGACGTTTCATCGTTGTTGCACATCAAATCCAAGACCTGATGCTGGAGTCGGTCGAGGCTGGTCCACTGCCGTGCCGTCATCTCGCGCCGCATGCCCCAAGGGCATGGCATCTCAGGGACGGAGGTGGCAGCAAGCGTGAATCACGGGGGAGGCAAAAATCACGGCTGCTACAGATCTTGCAGTCAGAAACTCCTAGTCATGCGGCCCATCAGCCCTGATCCTCCCATTAAACACCGATTTGTCATGAGGCCATCGCTTCAAAGTTTCACTCCGAATGTCTCAATCTAATGGTCCACAAAAGTAGAACTAGGAAGAACAGCTCGAAAGGGATGTGGATGTTGCGCGGGAAGGGTATGGTTTGAGTCGAGTTGTTGGGTGCACACGTCACGAGGCAGTGTGAGGATACTCTATCGAAGCAGCTGCCAGCAAAAAGGGCGTCGAGGGCAGGGCTGATGAAACAAGAAGAGAAGGCTTTCTTGAATCTGAGACAGAGCAGTCATATTGCGTACGGCACGCTGCCGGTGCTATCGCTAGGAAGTTGCATATGTTATGTAGTGGCCAGAGCTTGACACTCAAGTCGTTCGGCGAGCAGCCAGCTTGATCAGCAGGAGTGGCGGGATCAATAGCGGCAGCGAGCCCAGATGGCGCATGCTGCTCATAGTCACACGCTCGACGAATCACAGTGCTTCGATCTTTGTCTTACAATACATGACTTGTCAGCATGAAACTGAGGCCATGACGGTGGCCTGGCCGGTGTGGATTGTTTCTTCCATGGCCAACTTGGACAACGCATGGCCAAGCCCCTTCAATTGTGAATCCATTGCGTCCTTCTTGACACATTCGTGTGCCGTATTGGGGTCGTCATGGTCTCTGCACTCTCTTGCTCAGCCTTTGGGATTGCCATTGATAAGTTGTGTGCAGAATCCACTGCAAGCATGACGAGATGCATCACAAGAGGAGCATCCCTGCCTGAGGCTGGTGGGCGTAGAGCGAGCCAGGATCGGTGGCAAATGCCTGGCACAGGTGCTGGCTGACAGGCCGGATGTAGCTTTGATGCAGCCTCGGGCAACCTCGACAGATAGCGAAGTGCTTGGCATTCCCAACCTGCACCACGACCTTGAAGCAATGTTTGGGGCACCACGTCTGTAACGGGTAGAGGCCGCTCTTGCAGAAAACGGAGTGGCATTGCGGAATCCGAAGACCTCTCACAAGCCCTCAGAACAGGGTGCTGCCAGCGAACGAAACGGGCCATGCAAGAAACACGACATACAGACCACTGTGCAGGCTGTGAGCCCGACACCACACAACATCATGCTGCTGCCATGCCTTTCTGCTGCATCCTGGAAGGCAAACCGTCGGACAGCGCCCAGTTACGCTGATTGGTCACTCAATGGGTGCACGGCTGCTGGTGTACTGCTTGCCGTGGCCATAGACTGCTGATCTTCACGATGTTTTCAATTCTGACAAGAGCTCGCTGTCAATGCCATGTCCGAGGTGCGAACTGTACCACATGGGTGAATTCCACGCGGTGGACGATGTGGTTCTGCTCGGTGCTCCTGTGACAACAGAAGCACGCAAATGGCAAAAGGTCCAGCGCCGAGGAAGACGCAACAGGTCTGTGCAGGCGTGTGAGTTGTTCTTGAATGCACGCCCAGACATACATACATGCGTACGTATGTAGGTGTGTAGGTGGGTAGGCAGGTAGGTCGCTCTGTCGGTAGGTTTAGTAAAGTATAGGTATATAGGTATGTACTTGTGTAATTGTGTACATATGTACGCACGTATGCATGTACATATGCCTGTCAATCTGTTTGTCTGTCTGTCAAGTCTGTGCGTCAGCCTGCCTGGCTGACTTACTGACTGCATTAAGATCTGTATGGCGGTATGTATGTCTGTACGTATGTATGTATGTATGTATACAAATCTACAGGCAGACATGTGTAATGCTGTCAAGCTGCCGCATGGCTTCATGAGATTCGAAGGCCATTCAAAGTCTGAAGCTGCAATTAAGTGCTTTATCATGACGAGGGCTTGGCTCAAGCCGGGGGCCTTAAACTTATGGACCGGATCGCTGCTGGGGAAGTCTGGGCAGAAACTCCCCAGTTGAACGCACATGATTTCTGCCCGGGAGTTTCCACGAATGGAAGCACGAACACCTTGGAAGAGCTACTGCGGCATCGTCACACCGAGAAGGAAGGTAGAACCTTGCTGCGTGCGAGTACAAATATTAGGGGCCACCGAAAGGTACGTAGCTCGGTTTTGGCGAGACAGAGTCTGCATCCCGTCATGTGGCTGCTTGTTCCGAAAGTGAAGTTTATAGAGGTGAGAGGTGTGCAGCCAGCTGATGCACTGCAACTGATCTCGCTGAGGGATGCGCAAACTTATGGGCGCCAGCTCAGAGACTCACAGCTGCAGAGCGGCAATCAAAGCCTGCAGCAGGGCTAGTGACTGGCAGCGGTCGTTGTGCCTCCTGGGTCAGTACAGAGAAACATTAGGGCAAGCAGATGGCGCAGTATACGGCTCTACCATCCATGCTGCCGCAAGCTCTGCTGCTTGGCCGTCTCTGCTATCAGTGCTGCTTGAGATGATTGCCCATCAGCTGGTCCCGCAGGTGATCAGCTGCAACAGCATCGTGACGGCATTTACAAGGAGCAGTGCTTGGCCGCGTGCGCTCGATACCTTTACGGTCATGTCGAAACTTGTGGTTCAGCCCAATTTGGTCACATTCAACTCCTGTTTGTATGCGGGAGATGCACACACGTGGGCTCGCGAGCTTTCGCTTCTACGCAACGTACATGAGTTTCATATGAGTCCGGACAACATAAGCTACAGTACTTGCATAGGCTGCTGCGACAGATCGGGGGAATGGTCCACGGCATTGATGCTATTGGCTGGGATGGATGAAAGCAAGGTGCGTCTCAACGTGATCTGCGCGAGCAGCTGCATAAGCGCCTTTGCAGGAAGCAGCCAGTGGCAGTCGGCACTAGCGATGCTACTGCAGATGGACCATGTTCAGCTGGTTCCGAACGTGGTCAGCTACAGCAGTTGCATGAGTTCGTTAGAGACGGTGGGGGAGTGGGAGGTAGCAATCCGCTTGCTGGATATGATGTCTCAGGCTGAAGTGAGGGCCAACGTCATAACCTATAGCAGTTGCATCAGTGCCTGCGACAGAGCGGGGAAGTGGCAGCACAGCCTGCATTTGCTGCACGGTCTGCAGGGTCTTAGGATCCAGCCCAATGCCCAGACATACAATGCTGCAATCTGCGCTTGTGTGCGTGTTGCGTTGCTTTCGCGTTGCATGCGGATCTTGGGCCACATGAGCGAGGTCAGCCTGTCCCCGGATGCGATAAGTTACGGCAACTGCATCAGTGCATGTGAGGCTAGTGGTGTCTGGCATGCAGCCTTGAGCCTTGTGGCAGAAATGCAGGTGCTGTTGATTCTGCCGAATGTGGTCACGCATAGCTCCTGCATAAGTGTATGTGAGAAGGCCGGAGAGTGGGGAAAGGCCCTCAGCCTCTTCCTTGAGATGAACAAGATTAGGGTTTCTGCAAACTGCATCTCGTGCAACACGGCCATCAGTGCTTGTGAGAAGGGGGGTCTCCTCAAGGATGCCTTCAAGATTTTGAGGAGCATGAAAAGCCAGAGGTTACAGCCCGACGTCATTAGCCTTAATACCGTCATCAGCACCTGTGAGACGAGAGGCCGCTGGAAGTTGGCCCTGGACGCTTTGGCCATCATGCTGCATGCTCACATGCAGCCCACCAACATCACCATGAACACAATTATGAGCACTGCGGAGAAGGGTGGCCAGTGGCTGGTTGCCTTGAATCTGCTCAAGACCGTGGGCAGCTTTCGGTTGGCGCCAAACCTCATCAGCTGGAGCATTGCTTTGCATGCTTGTGAGACGTGCAACTGCTGGCAGGCTGCCCTGCAACTGCTCAGTGGACTGAAGAGAACTGAGCTGGTTCCAAGCATTACCTGTTTGGAAACGTGTGTCCGATCTTGTGAAAGCGGCGGTCTTGGCCATTCATGCTCGAAGCTGCTGGCTGACATAGCGAAGATGCCGTTGACGGAACTGCGGGAGCAAGGAACTGCCACCAACGGTCGACAACTCTCCGTGCAAGTGAGGTCATTCTTCCCGAACTAAGTCTTGCTACATCTATGCAAGAAATAGCTATATGACTTAACCATGCCCCCGTGATCATAAGGTCCGTGCCGTGGCCTCTGGTCGTGTTGTGAACGGCTACCTCGGGAAGGACTGGGCCAGGATCTCGTTTGCATCAACAGGAGCACGAAGGCTTCAGCTTGCTGAGAAAATGTCACAGGTGCTTGCTTTCCTCTACAGATACCTGGAGTCCGACCCTGAGGTGATATCTCAGATGCAAATCCTCTGCAACCTCTCGCTTGCTAGTATGCTGCGGAGCAGCAACATGAGGTGGGGTCTTTCCGTGGCGGGACTTTCGCAAGTGCAGGCGAGTGGCTCATTGGGACAGCTGACCGGATCAATCAATTGCCCGTGAACCGACGACAACAAGCAGACAAGCGGTGTCATGTATGCTTAAAAATGTTGAACATTTTGGATACCAACCCGGAAAAACACGAACATACGTGACAGAGAGAGGGAGTGACCGTCGCCCTAACAGAGCTGGTCGAGCGCTGAGCCTTTTGTCTTTGCAGGGATCACACCAGCAAACACCAAGCATGTTTGTGATGTGTGCTAACATGCGGGGTTGCGAGGGCAACTCTCATTATCACTCATTCAGAGAGAGAGCGAGAGCGAGCGAGCAGGGGCAGTTACGAATCCTTGCATGGGAGCTGTGGTTAACATTGACATTGTCGGGCCGTGGGTAAGCAGGTTCTCCGCAAGGGTGGGAGGCGGGGCAGATCTCCGTCCCTCAGGCATGCGGGAAGCAAGCGCAGTTGTTGTTTGTTTCAGGGCAAGTTGGTTTGCACAGACAGAGAGCGAGAGCGACAACACAAAACAGTGAAGTTTCCAGTCAACATCCAAGGTCCAAGGCCCTAGGCAGGGCCATCGTTCCGGTGTACCTGGAAGCAGGGTTCTGGAATCCCACCGGCAGTTTCTGGGTTGTGTTCGAAGAGAGAAAGCACACAGAGCGACCCCGGGGCACCAGCGGCAGAGAAGGAGAGGAACAAGAACGTGAGTCACAGAGCCAGAGCAGGTGCCGGGAGTGGAGAAGCTCGACTGCACAGTCCATGAAACTGCCGCAGTCTTCACCTGCGCAAATCGCAAGATGCAACATGCCTTTGACTTTTCGAGGCGTAGGTATGATCTGTTGCACTGAGGAATATCAACCTTGATGGGCTGGGCATTCAGGGTCACCACGACTACCCGAACCACATAGACATCAGCTCAGCTCAGACCGTGGTCAGTGTCCATGCCTGTGATGCAATGCCTGCTCAGGCAGATATTCTGGCGAAGCTCCGCGTCGGTGAGCGTCACCCGGAGGTGCTCTCCCAGGCGCTAATGATCCACTATTGCAGCGAAGTCAGAGCAGGCATGGATTTGCGAATGCTCTGAAGCATGATGCTTTAACGAAGGCAAAGCCAGCTGGTGCAGCAGGCGCTGGTTTTCTTTGAAGCGGAGATTCCGCTCGGACAGCTCCACAAGGTGTCGTCTAAGCCTAAGCCTGAGCGTGTTTCACTCCACCTGGCCACAAGTGAGCCAAGAGTGGACATCGATCGATTACAGCGGTGTGGAAAAGAAAGCCCGGAAGCCGTCTGTCTAGCACCCAGGGAGCTTTACCTTTTCTGCCTTCCGCGCAACGAACAGGGCACGAAAGCATAGTCACGCACATCGGGTCTTTCACTCAAGTCTTCGATCATATACTGTAATTCGACACTTTCAACTTGACTGCAGGTTCATCGGTTCGATCCAGTGCTGAACTAAAGCTCCTGACGAACCAAACCCCAAGATACTCGTACTCCACCACATGTCCACGGTGAAGGTGCACAAGGAGAGAGAGAAGGAAGGTAGGAAGAGAACGAAGGAATGCGAGAGAGACAGAGAGAGAGAAGGCACTTTGGTACGAGCTATAAAATACACACACCTGACACCATCGGGGCGGAATACCCGCTGGAGCATCCTCCCAGGTTACCGACACGCCATAAACAAGCAGCCTTATCCTCATGCACTTGATCAACAACCGTCGGTAACCGTAGCCCAGAGCACGTAATACCGTGCGTGCCACCAACAAGGGGCAGCCCTCCGGGCGGGGGCGCGCCCTCAAGCCTTGTGAAAGAAAGAAAGAGAAGGCACTTTACCAGCCATTTTGGCTCAAGTCGCTCGCCTGCCTGCTAGACCACAGAGGGTTATCTCTGCGGGCTTGGGGGGTGGACGTGCCGAGGGCGGGGGGTGGCTTGAGGCCATTCGCCGTAACTTGTCGGGCTCTCAAGTGCCCAAGGGGTCGCGAAGACCTCTCCTGAAACCGGCCCTCTCCGGAGGTGGTCCGGTAGTAGGGAGGGGCAACATGCCACTTGATGGAGGAACTCAGACCAGGGGGAGAACCACATAGTTCAAAAGGGCAACAGCGACATCAAGCTGCTCGACCACCTCTCCCTCGCAGGCGACCTCAACCAGACGCTAAAAAGGGACCAGACTGGACGGGGGACACGAAGCCCGGCATGAACGTGATAGTGGCAGGGACACCGAGAAGGCAAAGGACGCCCGTGGCCGACGACGACCCAGACACAGCTGCAGCACCTCGAAGGCACAGGACACCAAGTGCCAACGACGACCCAGGACCAAAGGACGACGACATGGCTGCAGCACCTCGAAGGCACAGGTGAGAGAAGTGAGCGCCGACTACAAGGGCGAGGCACCAGTCGCTACAAGTTTTGGGACATATGTCTGATGTACACCCATGCAACTCGCCGGGGACACCCGGATCCGTGAACAACACCTCTGCCGCCGGTGGAAAAAAGTGAACGCGACACTCTGAAGCCACCTAACTTACCTTTTAATTTGTGTTGAGGGGCACCCAGTCATTTCCATGAACCCTAGAATGGTGTGGCAATAGCTTGCATAAGACTTGCATGGCCATTAATTCAAGCACGTTTTTCCCCTCGTACACACAGTCTTTTGCATAAAAGATTCTTAACAGTGCCGGTGCGAGCAAACAAACACCCCACACGGGGAACACAGTTTCGGAGCACCCTTTGCTATGTAAAACCGAGCCCATCCAAACAAAATGTTGGATAGGGTAGCGCTAACGCGCGGGGCGGGAGGACTGCTCCTGCCTCAAACCCCGAGCAAAGCAAAGCAGAGAAGGCATCTTACTTGCCAAGGCACCATAGCACTTACGGCATTCCTAGCCTGGGCTCCTTCTTCGAGAGGGCGTGCCGCACGCCTTTCTCGGAACACGAGGGCATGCTTCCAAAGAGAGAAAGCAGGCTGCACACGCTTGCTCTTCAAAAGAGAACGAGATCGAGAGGCCTGTGTCCAAGCAGTCAGTATGCCAGGTTTTTTCAGTGGAGTCGAGCCGGAGACATCGCGACCGTTACGTGAGTCTGGATAGTTTTACGACCTCAGGGCCCAATCCTACAGGTCAGTCGGACAGGCCAGCCTGGTTATGTGAATCATAAGGTATGTCCTTAGCAGAACGACAAGTGGGTGAGTTCTTGTGGTTGGGGCTTGCAGCAAGTGCGTGCGCACTGAGCACAGCCTAGGGTGTCGAAGAAGCACTCAGCGTCGCACCTCACTGAACAGGGGGGGGCGCGGGGGCCAAAAGAAAGAAAGATAGAAAGAGGATAAAGAGGGCTCGCATACGAGCGCACAGAAGAAGAGGGAGGGAGCAAATACGGTGACTATACAAAGATCACAGTTCTGAGCTGAGTTCTCGTCATGGCCGAGTTGTGTGTGTGTGTGTGTGTGTGTGCGCGCATATGCGGGGGTTGACGAGCTTGTGTCACTTGTGTCCATTGGCTACAGCCTTGTGCTGACATGAGGACAAGTGACGGGTCTGTAGCAAAGCCAGGCAGCCTGCAACACAACTACGTCAGGGTTCTGACTTCATGATTCGGTGACCACACCCTTCAGCAGAGTCAACAACACCACTAGCGTGATGCAACCTGACACAACTTTAGCATCCATCAGCTACAAGTTCACAGAAGACACTACACAACTACTTCAGTTGGCCGTCAGGCCAACAGATCGTTTGAAGCGAGACCGACAGCTGACGATGGGCGATGATTGGCCCGCTCGTTACGCAGATTTCGAGGCCTGTCCGGGCGGCGTGCCAATAGGATTTTGTCTCAGGGGCGAGGTTGAAGCAAGCCGCTGATCCCTGCAGTCTGCCGCAGAGGTCCCGACAACATTCACCAGCGCGGCTTGCCTCAACAAGGTGGGCTAGCACAGCCGCGCTAGCCGCTAGCCTTCCCTTCAGTTGCCATGACCCTTTGGCCATTCCGACTGTGACCCAGCACACATAAGAGTCTAAAGGTTTCCTCATGAGACGCTGGCAGACATCGCCTGAGCTGTCTCCTGGCAGGCATTGATCCAGGTCAACTTCGAGGATGTCAGGGGCCCAGTCAAAGAGAGGTGCCGATTCGGCTCACAATCCAACCTGGCAAGTGATTTTGTTCGTTACCAGTACCCGTTTTCAGAGGTGTCCGTGGAGGCAGACAAGTACGACCTTGTCAGCTCGTATGCTACAGCCTCGGAAAAGTTGACGGTCGTCGCAAGTTCCAGGGAGCTCCAAGCTCATCGGCAGGGGCCAAAACCTGCAGCGTAATATCGGCTCAGAATTTGCGGCTTTCTCAATTCAATCCGCACGAGATGGGTGCGGTGCACAACTTGCATGAAGCTCGTGGCTTACAAAAGTTCTTGAGCCCAGAGCTGTGACTGTACGATCACTTTCAGCCAATGGTGTCAGAGTGTCCAGGTTCTACGTAGCAGGAAAAATCGTAGCTTCTCGTCTGCTCAGTCTAGGTCGCCGTGGAGGGCGGCCTTAAAGAAGCTTGCAGAGATGGGGTGGATGCAGGTGCCCACCGGACGGCTTCATTTTTAAGCGACGTTTTCGACTTTTACGCGCTGCTTGGGGGGCTCAGGTTCTAGCAAACATCGTCACCCACGCGCATGCAGTGACTGCATGCGCGCTGTCGCGGGCGTGGCGGTCTTCCCTGAGCAAGCTGGCCTGCACAGCGCAGGACTCTGCGTAGGCTAGGTTGAACGCGCGAGTGTCCCGCCTCAGCATCTGCCAAGCAGGAAGCCCGGAGATATGGGAACAGCTTCCTTCGGGAATGGATCGAGCATCCTGCAGCAGCAACTTCTGCGCTGAGCAGCATTGCGAAGGCGCGAGGAGGACTCATTCGGAGAAGCCCTGCGATATGAAGCTGTGGGCCCATGTGGAGTGAACAGTCCTCCATTGACTCTACGCACCCTTTCGATTGCACAGGCTCGCAGCGCCCGGGTGTGCACGGAACTTTTACAGGCCCCTTTGCAGAAGTTCGTGCGTCTGTTTCTCGTGTTTCTGCAGGCAGGGCATCCGCTTTTGCAGATATCTCTTTTGGAATTTCAGGTCATGAGGGAGGTGGTCCTTGAGACGAATGATTTCCACTATGGGGCGACTGCGAATGCTCTTCAGTTACCCCGGCCGCCAAATTGTCACACTTTCAGCCACGGAATCAGGCCCATCCGTGAAAGCCATCGGAAGCAAGGTTGCAAGGCCGCTGGCAGTTGGCTTTGGATCTCATCCGCAGCATGGCTTGTCGGGGGGAATCTTGTTTGCAGAAATCCGTCACCATTCCACTTTCCGCTGCCAGGGCAAGTTGGCGGATCCTTGACACCGAGGTAAGAGCTAGCTCTGTCACGGTAACGTGTGCATTTGGACCGTGGGAAACATCGGCAAGCCTTCTGTCCATGGCGCGACAGGCCGTTGAGACAGTGGAGTCGTCGGCGCCGTGCCGTATGTTGTATATGCTTTATAATTTGGTGTCACATTCCGGAAACGTTCACGGGTTTGAGAGGTGGCAGATCTAGATCTAGTGAAAGGCAGAAACACGCTCTGCACAGGATGGTCCGAAGCCCAACGTCGTGAGCTTCACTGCCTGCATAGGCTCCTTGGAACCGGATGCTGTGACTGCATTTGCTGGACACTCGTACCAGGGGAAAGCCAATTGCCCTGTGTTTTCGGAAATTCTGTCTGGCCAAGGAGAGCGATGCAACCTGGGATCGTGTCCTGTCCCTGATGGTCTTGATGCGGCGGCAGCGAATCAGGCTGGGTCAGATGCATGATGATGCATGTGAGCCTGCAGCGCATCGCGATTCAGCACACCACATTGCACCGAAATAGCTCAGCTTAGCGTCGACATGCAGCGTAGTGAGTGCACTGCCACTACTCCGTGTTGGCTTTGAAGGCCGAACTGTGTGACAGTCAGCGCTGGCCTTGGATCAATTGGTCGCCGCTGGCGGCTGGCGCTGAGCCTCCTCAGTTCAACTTCGCAGGAGTCGCCTTGAAAGCTCTGCCCAACCGCCTGCAGCATCTTCCAGGCTATTTCTGCAGAAACTAATGCCGCAGTCCTCTAAACTTCTGAACTACGAGCATCCTGTGTGGCTCAGCACTCGGCACGCGGACCGCTATCGGGGAGCACAATCGAAACAAGGTTGGGGGAGAGAGTGTTTTGGAGAGTCGCGATCTACGGTGCACGCAAGTGCTGGGGGCGATTTAGTTCGCAGTTGCAGCAAACTCCTTGCATTCTTGAATGCCAGAATGATTTCGGGGGTTTTTACCTTTCCACGCAGCGGATATTACTTTTGGCCGGCGGTTGCAACTAATGCCCGAAGGTGTCACGACATGCCCAAAACCTATCTGATGTCTGAAGAGGATCGCCTGCGTCGCGATGCGGTGTCCTTGAACGCGGCAATGGGCACAGCCGCTGTTGTTCTGCGACGACGGCTAGACGAGGTGCTGTGCGGCTGGACATATCTTCACATCTGAGTGCCGTGTACTGTACCTGCCAAGCCGCTAAGGTCTAGGCAAGGGTCAACCACTGCTGAAGCAAAGGTGGTAGTGAAGAGATTGTCAGCTCTGGCCAATGGCTGGCCGCGAATGTGCTGCTTTGGGATTTGAAGTCGGCAGCACCGTGGCAGAATCAGTGATCATCAGCCCTTGTGCTATCGTGTGAAACTGAAGGCTAAAGACCTGACATGAACAGTGACATGAACAAGAGTTGTGCTCACTTTTCGGGAGACCTGACAACGGAATGACTGATATGATGTTTAGATTCTAGACGGAAACAGAATCAGGTGACACACCTTGCCGGGTAGCTGAAGCCGCGGGGTTCGGGGCACTGGTGGGAGATAAGACAGAAGCCGTGACCAAAAAGGTGAACGCCAAGTCAGCCGGCCAGGCATGACAATGATGACCCCACTATCAGACCCGGTCCTGCAAGATTACAAAGCAGCCGAGGCCCTCTGTGCCGATGTCGTGAGCGCTTTGGTGGCAAGTCTGGCAGACGTTTTTCAGAAATATGCTACCTACTAGCACGGGAGCCTGTGTCATCTGGCCCGTTGGAGCATTGCATGGTTTGGCTCCAGGCTTCAGCTCTGTCGTGGCAGCTTGCGAGCTGAAGTGGAGGATGGCAGTGGCTATTTGCGAGCCGATGTGCCTGGCAAAAGCCAGGCCGAATCTGATCACGCATCGCTGCGACGTGGTTGCAGTAATCACACCTTTCAACCTTGGTGCGCGCAAATTTTCTGCCTGCTGTGGCCCATGTTCGTCAGTCCACGGGATGTACCGGATGGCGGTCCCGCCAGACTGCATCTCCTGCGCTTCTGAGGCCTTCTGCGAGCACTTGAGAATGGTGGACGTTGGCAGTCGGCACTTGGCCTTGTCTCCTCCATGGCAGTGCAAAGGATATCTGACAAAATCAGCCCGCAGCTGAGCTCGTAAAAATAGCCGAAACACGTTGAACTCTCTTTCGCCATGGTTCCGGTTCTCGAGGTCAGCAGCGCACTGCAGCTGCTTGTGCAAAGTCCGGTCCACTGGGAAGGGCATTGCAGCAGATACGCGGCTCTTGTCACTCGGCGCAGATTCGAACAAGATTTGGCCAGCTCTTTCATGGGCACTGCTCTGTTCACAGCAAGTGCTTCATGGCAAGCTCCAAGGTCTAGCAGAAGACCTTCTCACACACCTCCTCATGATCCGTGTAGCTGAGCTGCTCAGCCAGAAAGCGTCAACGCCAATCTGTCGATGGTGTGGAATCACCTTGGAACCGTCCACGTGTGCTTGGGAGACGATGCGACTCGTTGACTCGGCGGTTCATTCCAGCCCATCGAATCCAGCTAAGGGCTCAGCGAGAAGTACGTTGGCTGCCGCAGCTGATGGGCGTTCTGAGAACCCTGAGCTTATCTGCCCAGAACATGGCAAAAAAAGGTGACCACAGGTGATATTGGAAGTGCAGTCGGTGGCACGGGAGAGCCGGCAAAGGTGTTCCAGAGACACACGGACCGATGGCTTTACAGCCGGGGCACCGAGCAAGACAAAGCTTCGGTGTGAGTGGCATGCGCAGCACAGAGTAGCACATTAAGCTCAGAATCGAGAACTAGCACTACGGAGTTGACTTGACTGACGCGAGGCCACGAGACGATCGGCGATGAGTGCTGGCTAGGGCCTGTGTGTAAGTTCTCATCAGCATCGGCACCTATATCATGTCTGGTTAAACCAGCTCAGATAGAGCGAGCCTAGGCCTAGTTAGGCACGTTTAAGCAGAGCGCAGTGCAGCCATGGGCTTAAGGAGTGGGCAGAAGAATTCCTCATCTGCCAGCTCCAACCTCGCCGCAGCTCAGCTGACATGGGGATGCTTCGATGGCCCGAAGATCGCTTGCATGGAAGCCGAGTTTGAAAGCCAAGTTCAGAGAGTACTAGGCCATTAGGCTATTGATGGACAGTTCCACTTCCACTGTGTGAGTTTGTATGGACCGTAAGGCACCAGGTCACGAGAATGTTGCTAGGCAGTCCGAAAGCTAGCAGGAGCACGCTGGTTGCCAGCACAAGCTGAGCGCAGAATTAACACAATACCCCGTCCACCCCATAGTCCATGGGCCGCACGATCAGGTCTCTGAGTGCAAAGACTGCCACGGCTGTTTGGAGCAGACCCTGGCCTGGAATGCTAGCACTTTTGTCGTTGATGCGTTCTCGGCCTGCCGAACCAAAGCGTTGGTGTTGATGCGACCAGCACACATGTCGAGGAATGCATCGCTCAGTACTGACCACTCCTCAGCGTGGGGTTGGGTGCTTCTGTGCGCGGCTGGTGGTTGTTGTGCTCCTTGGGAGTTACGTACCTTACCTTGCTCATTGCATTGCCATCTCCAGAGAGCTTTCCAGGTATGGCAGACGGGCCCTCAGACATGCGCGCCACGGTGGTTGATTCGCTACTCGTAGTTTCGATGCGAGCCGTTACAGAAGATTGCAGCTTCATACTGCCTTTGTTGGCGTGAGGTCATGGGCTGGGCGGAGCGATCCCTTTGCCGCTGCTTGGCTCATGCCCAACCGACTGGCGCAACAAGTCACTGGCAAAGTGCTTGTTCTCGGCTTGCTCCTACTACTGCGTGCGCTTTAATTTAAGAAGACTAAGACGGAAGACGCAATGAAAGCCCTCCAGCCTCGAGCTGAACTGTAAGGCACCGCTGTTCGGGTACTGCCGCATGGCGGGTGGCAGCAGGATCCTTACGGTTCGTCCGGCACGGGAGTCTGCACAGGTTCAGTCCCATGTCTTGCTATCGCTCACACCATGTCTCTTGTTGCGCCGGGCAGCGGAAGTAACGGCCAAGGGCCACAAGGAACTCGCCAGGGTGAGCGACACGTCTGCACCTTGGAGCCATGCGGACGACTGCATGTTCGTGGGTGCTGGGTAGTTGTCCTTGACGATGCAACTTTTCGATTTGACAGCTCTGCAAAACTTTGTGGAATGCAAGATGGAATATAGAGTTTGCTTGTAGTGCGCTGGGGCAGTCGTTGCAGCCAACCAGTGAGCCAACCTGTGGTGATGCTATTTCTGTTAGTCATTAAAGTTCTCCAGATCAAGTGCATGTTGCCTTGCACAGGTACAGCTAGATGTATGTTTAGATGGCACTACCCTGGGTCCTAGGCTCGTCGGCTGCTATGTAATCTTTCGGAATCTTCTGGAGACGGGATTCGGGATCTGATCTACCACTTGTCATTTGACACCGCAGCGTCGGTTAAGAGAGGAAAGGCAGCATGTTCAATCGCTTCCTGCCCGAGCCCAGGGCCATGTTGCCCAGCCATCCCAGCTTCATGCAGTGTACTACAACTTTACGGAAGGAATTTGCCCACTGCCGTGCTGTGGCCATGGCCTCCGCCGGGTCACTGTTCTGGCGTGTGGGCCTGTGCCTGGGTTGAACAATGGCAGAGTCCGGATCCTTTTCAGAAGACGTCAGCATGCGTGCATCATAGAAGCTCATGTAATATGGATGAATGTGCTAGTCACTGGCCGGTCTTTCGTCGCATCAATTGCATGCCTATTCCATCCGTCACTCTCGCTTTGTCTCTTGCTTGTCCTTCCTCTGTCTTCGCCTCTGGTTGTATGCCTGCTGCATGGCCCCACCTTAAGTGACCAAGTCCTTGACAGTGAAAATTAAGCCCACGCCGCAAATGGTAATCCTGCCAGGGTCAAGCCTGTGCGCGTGCGCACGTGCATGTGCAATATTGCAAACTGGATCCCCAAACCGGGGCCAGTATCAAGACGACCAGGACGACTAAACACCACCAGGAGCCAGAAAATTGCTAAAATTGCAAGGAAGCTCCAGCAAACCGCCAGGACACGAGCAACCTGCTTTCCCCAAATACTGGCAGGCCTCGCAGAGTGCGAGAATGGAGGACAAAAAGGGCACACAAACCCCATAAAACCCTACAGACTGTAGACCCCCAAACCGCGCTCCGTAGCACTGCAGCCTTCCTAGTGTCTGAGGGAGTTCTTTAGTCGAAGCCCTGCTGAACCCTAAACCATGGATCGTTTGTGAGCAGCTGCAGTAACAGATTGTTTCCGTGGATGCTAGTGTAACTTTTTCCTTTCATAGCGAAGCTGGGAAGTATTTAGGGTATTTCGGTTTGCATGATGAGCCTTCAGCTGCATGACCGTCTGTTACTATGTAAGCAGCACAGGTTCTTGTTCGGTCTTAGGTCGTGCTTGCTCTTGGACGCGAGAGTTTCGCAAAGCGCGCTGGCCCCACACGCCTCCACTGGAGAAGCTGTACCTTGTCATGTCCAACTGGCCCAAGTTGCTAGCGCAGCAGAAGCTGGATCAGTGTTGCCTGACCAAGGCAATCGAGAACGCACTCATTGATGATGGCGCAATGCAGACCTCGGCCCGCAAGCAGAAAAGTTCGAGTGCACCGTGGAACAGCACCTGCGCAGTACCCGCGCATGCGCTGGGCTCATCGAAACGCTCGGCGCATGTTGGGTTTTGTTTGGGTTCAGCACTCTCTTGCGATTTCGCGGACGGCGCAGATGCAGCACAAGCGCATGTTCGAAACGCGCGGGCAGATTCTCGATGTCACAGTTTTCAGACCAATCGAACTGGCCTTGGTCAGCCAGGAACAGGTTCATTGAGACGGTCACCGGAGGGCTGGAACTCCTAAGCATGGTGCGGTCTCAGTGCCCTGGATCCATGTATGCCACCGACCAAGAAGCAGTTTAGCTGTTGCAGCGATCCCCAGCTATGCTCGCTCGCCAAAGGAGCTGGCTGGAGAAATGGCTGTGGAACCTTCGCGTTCAGATTCCGGCGTTTTCTGACGTTCGAGGTGTGCCCGAACCCACGTTTCATTCTGCTAGCGGGCTTGCAAGACCTTGTTGCCTAGGTGGCTTCAATTTCACGATATCAAATGGGCTATGTACCAACTTCGCACTGGTGCACGTCCACACCGGAGCAGTTTATGGTGGCTTGAACATCACAGCCGCTTCAGCAAATTTCAGCTGCAGACTTTGATGTTCTGTATAGTCAGTGTCATTGCTCCCATGTAATGTTTGCTCATCAACCAACGTAGCGTGCTGCGAAGATCTGTGAAGTAGAATTGCAGAAGCTCACAGACATCCCACGCAAAGAAGCTGCACAGATCAAGCTGGTGGATTCGGCAAGGCTTCCGGCTTGAGCATCCATTGCACTCTGCACTGGAATGCTCAGTCAACCATGATCAGCTCTTTGCACTTCGATGGTGATGCTTGAGGCTTAGTCTGATCAAAGAGGAACTGCAGCGAAGCATGCAGGATGGGAGTCAAGAACGCCTTCATTTGGCTTCGGCCTGTCGGGCTGAGGTTGTAGCGCAGGTGAAAGACGGCGTGCTTGGCGGACCCCTCACAATTGCGAGAAGCCCAGTTCCTTCTGAGTTGTGGCAACTGGCCAAAGTGGCATCTTGCAGTTAAGGTATCAGACAGCCTCCAGCCCCCACTGCCTACAGCCATCAAAGCCAAAGACTGCGCTGGCAGCATTAAGGCGTGAGCTGTGGGCTTGTAGAGCATCATGCCAACACGCCGCAGCACGCCTCACAGCCGTTCTGCTCTCAAACTCTGCATGTCCGATCGATGTCGTTAACAGCATCAGGAGTAAGAGCCTTTGGAGATGCTACAGACAAGTATTCTTACAAGTCTGGACATCTTGAAGCTCGTTTTTGCAAGCTCTGCGGAATGCCGTCAGTTCACTGCTAGTGAAGTCAGGGACGATCTTAATCTAGATCGATGCAGAGAGCAGATGTTTTTGACATCTTCAACAGATCCACGGAACCGGAGCATTTTGCACTGAAGCTCCGATCATTTTCACCGACCCTCTCATGACCTGTTGGGGGCTAGATCTTCCTGCTCCAACTGCTTCTTCTCGCTATTTCGGACCAGAAATTACATGTTCTTTTTCATCGGATGTAGTTGCTAGGACTCCGATTTGCCTGCAGCTGTTCCACGATGTGTGCAAGACTGTGAACAGCTGAGATCGATTAAAACCACATTCCTAACCTGTCAATGGTACTGTTCTAAAAGAGACTCTTCTTACAAATCTGCCAGGTCGACCTCGACTTCCCGGGTTCTGTGCTGGACTGGCTGAAGCCCTTGATCCAGTCTGCCCTGAACAAACGCCTGACGGCTTCCTGGCAAGACGCAGGCTGCATTGTGAGCAGCCACTCTCCTGACCTGCTGCAGGGTTTGATCTGCACTGAGCTGGACGCGGCGATAAATGGCAAAGGACGTGCGTTCTTGTCGCGAATCTTCACATTGCCAAATTCAGAGCTGCTCATAAACAGACCTCAACACCAGCCACAACCACGGCTTGTCAGGATCAGAGGCGCTGCAGAATGCTAGCCATACCATTCGAGAGATGTTGAAGGACACCCCCACGCCGCCACCCACTCCTGTAGCCTGGCTCACCCATTAGAATCTGGTTGCGAGCGTGGTTATTTCGCCTCCATTCTCATCGAGTCTTTCATGGTATTGCGCCATTCCCCCCCACCTTGCATTAGCCATCATCGGTCCACCAATAGATGATTGGCTTTCGGTTTCCCCATCACTGGCCGCTAATGAGGCACAGGCCCTTCTCTGTCGTCGCCGAAATGATCTGCTCATGTTTGAAGAATGTCAGATGGAACAGCAGCACCATTAGTATAGCCAGAGACGCCCTCAGACCGAAGGAAAGCACGAGCTAGAGGACCCCTTGCTTCTGAAAGGTCGTACGCGATCCCAAGAAAGATCTGGTGGACTTGGGGAAAAATTCCGGAGTAGATGCCGGGCTGCATGAGTCGTGCGCACGGTTGGACTAGGAATTGTGGGCAAGCATGCCGACATGGCAGAGGAGGGCGAACTGAAGAGAAGGCATGTTGTGCATGGTCACCGGCATATTCAGATTCCAAGCGGTCTTTCCTGCCCGTAGCCATGCTCACAGCAGCTGTCCCACATAGCCGCAGCGTTGCAACTGCGTAGCAGGGTTGTTGCATTGCACGCCGCATGCGCCATGTCGCGGGAGCATGAGCTGGACGATTGCGTTGTGCAAAGCAGTGGATGCTCGCTTCATTAGAGACCTCTGAGTAGCACTGGCCGCCTTGTACTGTGAGCTTCATTGCATTTGTCGAGGTGAGCTGTCCCCATCATGCTCTCCATCCATGAGCTCCCCATCGCTCACTGACAGGACGGCAGAATCACCTCTTCCTGTTTTTACTGAATGCAAAACGGCCAGGATGAGGAGCGAGATCAGTTTGGCATCCAGGTCAGAGCTCGGCAGATCTGACAAGACGAGGACCAGACGCGAGCGAACGTGACCTTGGCCCAAGTGGCCAGCAGAGTGTACTAGTGCCTGATTCTAAGACATCTCTGCCCGCAGGAAGTCGAAAGTGACAGGCAAGTTCGTGAAGGCCAAGACGGCCACTCTCAACGAGGGATATGTTGCCGATTCAAACAGCATCTGCGGTGTTCTGAAGAACATCGCCGTTTACTGCTCCACCAGCCGGGCAGTGGCCAATCTTATGGCAGCCATAGTTTTGACGGATGCGATTTGCACTTGCATCGACGTGGATGCTCGTGCTGCTGCAGAAGCGCCTCCACCTGCAACTCAGCTTATAGCCGACATGTGCCTGCTACTTTATTCGCTCGAGACGGTCTGCCTTCTCACCGCGAAGGGGCTGGAAGTTTTGCGAGACTGGATGGTCATAACGGATCTTGTGGTCATTGGATGTGGCTATCTCGAAACGATTCTTCACCATGCAGGGTACGGCCAGTTCTTGCAGCAGTTTGGCCTGTTCCGGATGCTTCGATTAGTGCGGATATTGCGACTAACGAGGCTGTTGCGGAGGACGCGCGGATTCCGCGAGCTTCAGAAGTTAGTGCGGATGATGGCAACCTGCATAAAAACATTAGGTTGGTCATTGGTCTTTCTGTTCATTATCATGACGATTTGGGCGCTCCTGATTGTGGAGGTTGTCCACCCTCTTATGAAGACGGACGAGTTGGCCTCTGCTTTAGAGACAGAAGGCTGTGGTGACAGGTGCTTCAGAGCTACATCCACAGTCTTGCATGCGAACTTGCTCCTGTTCAAAACGGTGATTGCCGGTGACAGCTGGGGCGAAATCGCCGTTCCGACCATCGAAGCGTTTCCCTTGACCGCCATCATCTTTGCCGGGTCCTTGTTGACACTCGTCTTTGGCGTTCTCAATCTGATTGCCCCTCAGCAAAGCTTAGTGCGCTGCATGTGCATGATGTCCAATGCCAGCCTTCACCTCGTTCCATGCGTTTAAAGCTTCCTCTGTTGCAAGCTTTTCGTTTGCGCCTTCGCGCTTTGACCGAGTTTTTCCAAAGCTTCTGATCAGGTAGCTGTCGTGGTGGACACCTTCGCCGAGGCTAGACAGCGGGATGTTCTTAACTTGGCGGAGGAGATGGAATACAACCATGCAGCAGACCAAAGGTTTTTGGAACAAATTTTTCAGCGGATCGATGCCGATGGGAGTGGACAAGTCACCTTTGACGAGCTATTGGAGGGAGCCCGTAAAGATCCTGAGTTTCAGAGCCCGGGGCCCAAGATTCACAGGCAAATTGATGCCAAGGACACGTTCTTCGTAATTTGTTTACCTTGCTTGGGCTGTGCGCTGTGGGCTGCGGGCTGTTGTTGTTGTGGTTGTGGTTGTGATTGTGGTCCTTGTTGTTGGTGTTGTATGTGTTGTCGTTGTTGTTATCGTGGTGGTCGTCGTCGTTCTTTGCAGCAGCTGCGGGTCGATCAGCAAGATGAAGATGTCGATGCCAGACACTCGCAATCCGAGGCCGGCTGCGGGTAATGGACATCGACGAGAGTGACTTGTTGCAGTTGTTCGAAATGATCGACGTGAACGGCGAGGGCGAGATCGCTGCAGCCGAATTCATCGCGCCCTTGACTAGATGGGTCCACGACTCGAAGACGGCACCCCGCTTCATCAAGTACAACGTGCTTCGATCACTTACTCAGCAGGAGGAACTTTACGATTTGACCAAAAGCTACTTCGACATCCTAGATACCCGCATCCAAGAGCTGTCTGATTCCTTGGCGCGAGTCGCTCCTGGTCCTCTGGGCATCCTGGCACAGGCCGCCCAGGCGGGCCTTGGTAGCACCGGCCTCCAGTCCCTCAGGTCCCTCATGACGGAGGAAATGGAGTGTGCAGATGGGGCTGCAGAGCTTGCAGAAGCGCAGGAAGTGGATGCCGAAGTGGAGCAGCCACATGCATCAAAACCCGCTTTGTTAGGAGTTCAGGCCGGAGTTCGCCAAGGATCATCAGAAGTGCAGGCCAGACAATTCAAGTCTTTTGCTGTTCCTTCCACACTAGTTGGTATCTGCTTGCTTGCCAGGACTTTGTCTTAACTGCGTATTGCTTGAACGCATATATGCCTGGACCGCTCGAAGTCCACTTGATTGCGGAAACCCAAACTCCTTGCACGTTGGCACAAGTCTTGCAAAAATCCCGCGCCCCACCCCCTCCCAAAAGAACTTAGAACGTGCTTAACGGTCTGCTACCAGAGGGCCGCGGGCAGGGATGCTGGTGCTCTTGTCTGTCCGAAACAGTTGGCTGAATCCTCAGGAGGCGCTCAAGGTTGCGATGGGCAACTTAGAGGCCGTGGTGGAGACTGCCTTGAAGGATGGCAAAGCAGGCCCTCTGCAGCCAGGCAGGCCGCACAAGCGCAGCTCAAGGCGTGTTCCATCACTTCCGGAGCTGGAGAACAACATCTTCGAAAGAAACAGACGTGCAAGCCGAGCAGGCTCCAAGGAGGACAATCCTCCTCCCAGTCTCTCCTTGTCAAATCCGACATCCAAAGCTCTCCCGACGGCGACGGCGGCGGCGCCGAAGTTCAAGTTCCAAAGGCGGCCGGTGGGTTTCTTCAACGCTCCAGGTGCCGGCCAACCAGCAGAGGCGGTCTCCGAGCGATGGAGGCGCATCCGAGCTAACCGCTTCCGTAAAGAGTGAAAAAAATCTCGAGCTGTGGGATATGACGTTTGCGAATCCTTTGCAGGCGAGTCTCTCATTCGGATGATGGCGGCGACAGTCGCGACACGAGCACGTGGCGAAGGCAGGGGGATGAAACTGCCGGACGAGCAGAGCATGCACAGACCAAGCCCAGGGCTGCCCCGATTCCAGACATGACACGGGTGTGCAGTTCAACTTTGGGACACCACAGCACTTCTCGCAGGCACAATCCTGTTGCCAGCATCGATGTTGGCGCGTTGCGAAAGCTTCACGCTTCGCGAGCTCAGCCGACCGAGTCGACCGAGTGCCTCAGCAAAAGATATTATAGCGGGGCTTTGACGAAGAAGGGGCTTAACAAAGTCCTATGCTTTCAGCTCATGTGTTCCACGTGACAGATTAGCCGCCTCAAGTCATCTACTGAATCTAGTGCCGTAAGACCCTGATTGGTAACTTTGCACAAGGCCGTCACCGAATCGGATACGCCGACTGAGCAGCGAATAAAGCAACGAGACAACTAGACAATGCATCTTCCCCGGCCACGGTTCTGCTAGTTAAAAGCGGGCAAGCTTGCTGCGACGAAGTTTGCCGTCGTTTCGACAGAGATTTAACAGCAAAACATGTGCAAACAGGTGCACAGCAGGCAAAAAAGAAAAGCATGGCTGCCCACTTTTGCACCGAAATGCACGGCCGCAGTTTTTACCGTCATTTACACTGTTTCACACAGGCACAGGTCCCTCACGAGAGACCCCGTGAGTGTCTTGGACTGCTTTGGCGAAGACAAAGCCAGAGTCCTATGAATAAGGCTGACCGGGTTAGCATTTTCCAGAGGGGCCCTTTCGGGGTTGCCAGCCCTGATCTTGCTTGCATCATATCGGTTCTAGCTGTCATAGCAGAGCATTCGATGCTGCATGGTGAATCCTGACTAGTTGTGACGTGGCTGCGGCCCGGGCATCATCGATGTCCATGTTCCTGGCCACCCGGCCGAGCTCGTCGGCAGTACAGTACATCGTTGCTCCGCCAGGCTTCGTTGAACGAGGACAGCTGAGACTGTTCTTACCTGCCATGGTGTGAGTCCTCGAAGAGGGTTTGCATCGAAGGCCACGGTCATAACGGCTGTGCGGATTGGATACCTCGTGATCGAAACGCAGCAGTGTGCCTTCCAAGTTTGTGTCAGGAAGATGAGTTTGCAAAGAAAGAATCCACCTGATGTGGTGTCAGGCGATGCACCATGCCGCAGCATAAACCTTCTCGAGCGTAACATGCCGTAGAAGCAAGTTTTCCGGCGCAATGGCTACAGTGGCTACAGATTCAGTCAGTCCGAGATCTTCGGCGATTGATTTAGCCAGCCCAAAATCTATAGTCAGTGACAGAAGCATAACCTCGCCGGCTGAGAGATCTGCCGAGCGGAGAAATGTCAGCATATCTGTCAGCAGCAACTTCATCAAAGCCAGCAAGGAGGACGAGACCCATCATGATGCAAAGTGGGCAGCACAAAGGAGGCAGGCGAACCGAGTTATGCGAAGTGTTTATGTCGCTAACTTGATGACCGTTGTCATCCTGGCAGATGCTTTTTGCACGATTGTGGATATCGATTACAGAGCCAGCGGGCTTGTGACTCCCAGAATATACCCTCTTCTGTCCAACGTGTGCTTAGGCCTGTACACCGGAGAAGTAATTCTTATCTGCATAGTGCAGGGGGTGCGGCAGGCTTTCACGCACTGGATGTTGCGGCTTGACATGTTCATTATTGTTGCGGGCTACACCGAACTGTTTCTTCACAACTTTGCGGCTGATGTCATGCTCAACATCGGGTTTGTTCCCATTCTGCGAATGGTCCGGGTCCTCCGATTGGCTCGGCTGCTTAAACGCCTTCGTGCTTTCCGAGAATTACAGAAGCTGGTGCGCATGATGGCTACATGCTTGAAAGCATTGTTTTGGTCGTTTGTCTTCTGCTTCATGATCATGACTGTCTGGGGGATGCTGATCCTGGCCCGGGTCTGGAAACAATTTTAAAGTTTTGTGGGTTGTTGGGAAATTAGAGGCTAGATTGGTTGTGTTGCCCATGACACTGATGGCTCTATGTTCAAAGCATCACTTAAAGACTTAAATCTGCAATCTCGAGCACATGCCTAGGCCTCCCTGTGGCCTGACAGCGGCAACCAAACCCCAAATCATCCTGCGCTAAGCAAGCCCCCTGTGGTCTGGCCGTTTTCTCCAAGGCTTTGCAGTAGCTGTATTTAAGTGGTTATTATGGAGTTGAGGCTCGTAGAGTTGGAACGAAGGTCTTCTTTCAGCATAAAGGGGTCCATCCTGGTGTTGACAGAAATTTGTCAACACCAGAATGGGGGGTCTGCAAACAAGTGATCCTGGTGTTGAGACGCATGTCCCCAGAGTTGGCATCACGCACCCTCGAATGAGTTTCTATCTTCACTCTACCTGTTTGTGTCTACCTGCTGTCAAAGCTTCGCAAGTGAAGTCCCCTAGCATCCCCAGCACCTGCCCAACACCTTCCCTGCACCTCCCCACTACCTCCTCCCGACCTCCCCAGCACCTCCCCAGCACGTCCCCCAGCACCTTGGGATGTTGCGAGCCGTGAAACCACCTTGTATGTTGGACGCACATGTGCAGGCAGCCAACTTACCTGACCTCCCCGTGTGGACAAACCCGCATAGAAAATGAAGATCTACCTGGGCTCCAAATCCGACCCAGGATCGTCGAGTTCGTTCATCCCATCATGAAGGAGATCGAAAGCTTGGAGACCAGCGACATGCCCAATATTGCACATGACTGCCCGGATTGTGTTTTGTCCACCTCTGCTGTAATGGAAGCCAATCTCTTGCTGTTTAAGACCGTGATTGCCGGGGACAGCTGGGGAAAGATCGCTGTGCCTATAATCCGCCAGCATCCAGCCACAGCAATCATTTTCTGTGGCTCGCTGCTGACGTTGGTGTTCGGCGTCCTGAACCTTATCGTCCCGGGCTTGGTGTCCAGCGTTACTGTGCAGCAGAACCACTAGAATCACTAGACGAATTAGATGGCACGACATGGTGCAAGAGTGTTCTAGCAGCCCTAAAAGAAGGCATGGAACGTGCTCTTATCCGAAGCAGTGTTTCCAGACGCCTGTGCTGCCCTAACGCACAGGAGGCACATGCACAGGGCATGCAGCGCGCGCATACTCTTGCGGCTCAACATCTTAGGGCTTGAAACAGCGCAGCCCTCGTGCAGCAGAGGTGTTATTTACGATGACCCTAGTGCGACAAGGGGCATTTCTCAAGCATATGCGGCGAGGGTTTGTAACAAGGTGGGAAGGGTGGGGCCCGCGACAACGTGCACTGCAACAGTTAAGAAACGAGTGACGACTTGAGGTGGCGGTTGTGGTGGACACCTTTGCAGAGGCCCGCCAGAGGGACGTATTGAATCTGGCTGAGGAGTTGGAGTTTAACCTTGCCAACGATGTGAAGACGTTGCAAGAAATCTTCCAGCGCATTGACACGGATGGTAGCGGAGAAGTGACATTTGAGGAGCTGCTTAATGGTGCTCGTAAGGACCCGCAATTTCAAAGCAGGCTTCGAGTCATGGACATTGATGAGGCGGACTTGCAGCAGCTCTTTGAGATGATCGACACAACCGGGGAGGGTCAAATCCACTTGTCAGAGTTTGTCGCACCATTGAGTCGTTGGGTCCACGATTCCAAGACAGCTACCCGCTTCATCAAGTACAACGTCATGCGATCTTTGCACCAGCAAGAGGAGTTGTATGCACTTGTCCTGGAAAATCATGAAGCACTCGCAGATCGCATGTCCGAAATGCAAAGCATGATTAACACCCTATTCGCACTTCAAAGCTCTCCTGCGAAGCCAGATTCGAGCACCTCGAGCTTTACGCACACATCAACGGGAGATTATTTTCACGACATCTATTCTGAATCTATGTTTCCCAAGGATGTAGTTCCCAAGATTCCAGATGGAGACGATGAGCCTGTGATACAGCCGCCTGCATCCAAGATCGCTGCACCTCTGATCGTTGAGGCACGGGAAGTTAGGGGAGATCAAGGGTTAACTTGGGATTGTCCGGGAGGTTATCGCAAGCATGCGAAGCGGGTGTCCATGCACAAAGGCCCGCATGAAGCCTGCCTGCAGAGGTATCAGAAAGGATGAGTGGCACACAGATGCCAACGGTGTCTATGGAGAAGCTGGATGAGCTCGTCATGTCCACCACAGAGACCGCACTTCGCAGGTGTATGGTTTTGGTTGAGACTGCCTTGCAGGAGCGTGCGCAGAGCAGTGCAGAGGCCGCTCGGCAAGCCCATCGGCGGGCACGTGAACAGCCTCGAGGCCTCCATCGTCGCTCATGGCGATCCAGCATATCAGGTGCCCCACCCCGGAATGGCTCGACGGGTCCATCAAAAGATGCCGCCGAAAGTGCTCAAAGTAGCTTCTCGACGCGCTCCTTCAAGGATACCTTGGCCTCCCAATTGAGGGACAGCAAGTCCTGGTGCCTTGGGTGCTATGGGAACAGTCACATTCACAAACGTTTCTGTCCAGGCTGTGCTCATGCTGGAGACACGGGAGATTTGCATTGTTATCAGCGGTTGGCTTTGTTGGTTTAGGGTTGTTTGTCTGCCGGGGATCGACTGTATCCTGAAGCAAGCAGTCAAGGAAGCAAGGAGGCAAGAAGGCAAAGCGAAACAAAGCAACGCAGAAACGAACGACGCATGTACACTTTACGCAAGGCAGCGCGAAGAAATCTGTATTGCGTGTGTGTTTGTGTGTGTGTGTGTGTGTGTGTGTGATTTGGGTGCTTACTTAAGTCTCATAGTGATGACTTAGTTGAAAGTTGATTTATTGATTGCTACTTCCCCACCCTCAGTTATCCGTCTCTTGCACTGTAAATCCTGCGAATCCTGCCGCTGCAATCGTTTCTACAGTAATAGAAAATCATGTTTAATGTCATTGTCTCGTCCCTTTGGCGGTGAGTCCTGCGATCGTTGGCCACCGTATATTTCCAACTAAAGACGGTTCGGCTTGAATTCAAGCCGGCTGGGTTTAGGAATGCGCGGCTTGAAATCGTTTTTCCGACTATACAGATCCTATGTACCCGTCTACAGTATTTTGCTCGGGTTTTATATTCGTCGAAACCCTACATACCTAAACTTATCCAATCAAATACCTCTGCCACTTCTTGAATTGAAACGCCGTTTGAATTGTCGAATCCTGCTTCTACACTATCAGAATAGCCTTTCGAATCATGTCGAACATTTTTGAGGGCTTGGGCAACTTTGACGGATTTATCCAGTTTTCACATCTTCAGATACTTGAAATATGTTCAATTCTTTAGTTTCTTTGTCGGGGCAGGTGGAAGGAACTGATCAGCTGAATGTGGATCACGGGGACCAGGACTTGAACTGCCCGACGACATCTTTGATTTTCCACGAATCCAAGAACCCATGTGCTTTCCCAAAGTCTTAAAATTCACTTCCATGTGTGGCAGCCGTGCAGCATTTCAGCTTATCAGCTTGTTCTGATGGGGAGGCCCTGCATTTTGGAGGCTGCCGTGTGATAAGGCAGACAGTGCTCGCATATGATGGAGTACAAGAGCGCAAAAGAGTGCTATTTGTGGGTTAATAAAGCAGTATGTAGCACCAGCAAGTCTCACATACTGTTGCATGTCATACTGTATTGGTGACAAGTCCCAAGCTACTAAACAGTCAGAGAGAAAGACAGCAGATGACAGCAGTCACATTAGCCGGTAGCATGTATTGATGCAGTTATGTCCAACAGAGTTGGTGCAAGCTTCCGCAGCTTGAAGATTTTAGGGTACCGCTTGCGTGAGTATAGCCAATACTACAGAATCTTCAATCTTGTTTTGTGAATATTAGTAATCACTAGCATGGTATGCGAGTGCACGGTAACCGCTTCCTTAGGTGCGCCAGTACAGAACTCAGCATGGAATCGCATGCCAACATGCAGGGGTATGGTGTGTAGGCCCGGGTATGACTCAATCTGCAAGCTGACGGTCTTTTTGAGTATACGCATGTAGTAATACAACCACTACTTGCAGCATGAACATACATGATGCGGTAGCAAAATCGAAGGCACCACTAAAGAATAATGTCATGATAAGTTCTACCTCAAGGAGTAGTGTGTGTGCAGTACGTGGAAACAACCCAAAGCAGCTGGAAGACAGGCTACAGGCAAAGCGTTGAAAATTACGGAAACGACAACCGGGGTTAGGTCGAGAAGGTCCGAGCGCCGAAATTTGTCGTGTGTAAATCTTCGAGAGATGCAGAAACTTAGAGGGATGACTCTTTGTCTACATGGAGGCCATGAGCCAAACCACCAAACCTCCCCGAGGAATAAGATACCCCGCCGGCCTTTGGGGACCTTTGGAGCTCCTGGAAGCTCGCCTCCATCATCGTGGGTACCACATCTGTGAAGGAGCTCAGGGAGTTCGGGCCATATTCCAAATTGCAAGTGGCCGTTCGTCCGCGTAGGCATGAGGCATGATTCTGCAATGCCGTCAGGCACCCTTGCGCTCCTAGTGTTGTGTACCTCTTCTTGTACCCGTTTGGCCTGCGGCAGGATAAGTTCGCAGAACGTGTGCATTGCGATGCAGATTGAGACTGCGAGACTCTTCGCTTTTTGATCATTATATCATTGTGTCATTGTTTCACATCAATCGAACCAGTTGCATGGGGAAGCCAAATTACGACGAGCAAAGAGACGCATCTAATCCAGTTCGTTGAACTCTGGCGACGGACATGACAGCCCCGTACAGACAGGGCTTCCCCCGGGCGGACTTGGTGTAATTCCGGCTTCCCCATGCACGCATAGGCGAAGAACGCCAAAGAAGACGTCCTTGCACACTTAATGCGGGATTCCCTGTCGCTTTCGTGATGGAGGGCACAATCCACCATGTAGAAGCCCTTCTTACAGGATGACGATCTAAGGGAGTCGAGGTTTTCAGCTTTGCCTCAGGTCCTGTAAACATGTCCTACAGACATTCTGAGGCTATTGGCTTTTTTGTTTCACATCGATCGAACCAGTTGCCTGGGGAAGCCAAGTGGCGACGAGCAATGAGACGCATCCAATCCAGTTCGTTGAGCTCTGGCGACGGACATGACACCTGCGTCCAGAAAGGGCTTCCCCGGGGCGGACTTGGTGTAATTCGTGAGCAGAGCATCCGTACATTGAACCAGGCTCAGCTGTGCACATAGGCGGAGAATGCCAAGGAAGACGTCCTTGCCCGCTTAATGCGGGATTCCCGGTCGCTTTCGAGATGGCAGGCGCAATCGACTATGTACAGGCCTTGCAGGAATCAGAAGTGGAGATCACTGGGTGGTCTAGGGCGTAGGAAGCCGTGCATTCAGCTTGACGAGGAAAGGGAATCAACTTAGCTTTGCTTCAGGTCCTGTTAGTGTGTCGTACCTGAATGTAAACGTATCGTGTCCTCCGCTTTGAGCAAGGAACTCATACATGACATCGTGGCCAAAGTGCTGGGGAGCCTCGGCCAGGTGTTGTCTCTCAAAGCAACAAGATCAGAGCCCTTGTGTCTTTGAGGAATGCCCGGTCGCCCCACAGCAGCTTGGCAGATGTGCTTGCTAAGCAGCGATCACTTCCATAGACTGTAGATACATGCCCTGAGGCGCCAACAATTTGCTAACGAAAGCGCTGGGAGCTGACGCAAACCTCTCTGCAGAGTCGCTGCTGAAGCTGCCCATTTCGAAGGCGAGGCTTAGCAGGTGGCCCATCGAAGGTCCTGTCGTGCACTGGGACGTGGGCAAAGAAATTGAGTTCGTCCCGCACAGGTTCTCCACATAGACAAGCTGGCCCAGATCAATATTACGGTGAAGAATGCGTCCGTGAGCCAGACCCTTTTGCAGTGTTAATGCCGACCACAATCAAGTCGGGGAGTGATTTCGATTTCCCCATTTGCGGCAATCGCGCTCAGGCCATCTAAACACATGGACAGCCATGGACATCTACTCTCCCAAGCCACAGGCATGCAGCATGGCATGTTTCGGCACGTGAAACCGCGAAAGGCATCGTTTTTTTTCTTTGTTGAGTTTGCAAAACACATGCCGGAGTATCTGGAATAGGAAAATGAGCCCTGTGTTTGACACATGGCCATCCCTTCCATCGTCCTTCGTCCCATCTGCAGGAGCTCTTCTTTGGCATGGACCTCTCCGAACTCGACCTGCAGCTCCAGCCCCTCGGCCCCCAAAAGCTGCTCTGAGATTGGCCCTGTTTTTTTGTTAATGGTGTGCCCTATAGGCTGTGCCTAACACCGCAAGGTTGAAGCTTGGCATTCTGCCTGGCAGAGGGCCTGTAGGTGGCACCGAGCTGAACGAGGAGTTCGCTGTCGCCCTGAAGATGCTTCTCGGCAGAATCCGATTGCACAAAAGCTTTATCTATTCGCATGGTGCTCCTGCCTGCATGTCGTGCCCTTGCAGCGCAACACCGTTGAGCATGAGAGAATGAGAGAGGAAGTAAACCGAGACCGGCAAAACCCGGGTGCGGCCGGCCTGTAGGAGAAAAGACTCCGACAGGGATCTCGTAAGCAGCTACGGAAGCCAAACTTCAACAAGCATGAATTGTGTGTGTTCGAAGCTCATGGGAAGCTTGGTTCTCGTGACGCTGCTTCCTGGCAGCGACCAAGGTCGGAGTTGTCCTTAGCTGCAAAGGCGTTTTTGGCATCTTGACGTGCAACTTTAGCCAAGTCTCATGCGAAGGAGATAAGGTGTGCTGATGTGCTGATGCTTGCTGTTCCTTAGGCCTTGCAGAGAAGTGAGGGGTTTTGCGTGCCTCTGTCCCGAGGCTTTGAATGCCACGAGACTCGGTACCTTCACCACAGATCAGCTGGCAGCAGTTGGGTGTTTAGCCTCAGGCGCCACGTCCGTTGAGTACATAAGCACGAGCCCCGCGCATGCTCACTCAGCATATGCTTAGCACCTTCGACGATTCTTCATATCTCGAAGAGGTCTTGATGCGGCAGCTGCGCTCCAAGCAGACTTCGGCGCGACCTCCTTCAAAACAACTCTGACTCCTCGGGCTGGCACTGCCCTGAGTCGATTCGATGATTGAAGCTCTTTCGTTGTTTTGTGAGACCGAGTTGCTCAGCGCCCCAATTTCATGGCGACAGTTCAGATAGGCAGCGGCGACCTGGAGGATGATGTCGACCATATGCTGAACTCCGCCGCCGCCTTCCTGCTGGGAGCTTCCGCGCTTCCCCCTTCCCAGCACTCCCAAGCTAAGCTTCGATCGGAATGCTCCAAGCTGCCACTCTTGGAAGTCTTTCGGAGCCTGGCGTGCAGGAGCTTACAAGGATGCAATCCAGCAGGTCGGACACAGCATGCTGACGTCACAAGGCCTGCACATGGCCCGGGCCTCATGCCAGAATTCCCCCTCACAATCATATCAGTTTGCGGGCAATGCAGGCCGTTGCCTGGATTACCTAGGTGAACGAGAAGATCAACAGTTTCCTGTCAGCACCACCGCCATGTCCACCTCCTGAGAATGCACGCTTGGCTGCAACTTCAGCTACCGCTGAGGGAACAGCGGCTTCCTGGTCACTTTCAGCAGACACCCAGGACTTCAGCAACGACATGCTGTCGAATTCAGCATTAGCTGCATTCGCAGTTTGCTTTCTGGCTCCCTCCTTACACGAAGCCTTGTGGATCACACACGGCTTCACTGGTGGAGAAAAACTCCTGAGTTTGCTGCCCATGCACCTGACAATGTCCTGCAGGCATCATTAGGCACTTGCCTGGGCCTATCCATGAAATCGAAGCTTGGCCAAACGCGAACTGAGTTAAACTTGCAGAGAGAGATTCCGTTTGTGGGCTTGCAAAGGAAGAAGACAGATGCGCGGGCATGTCAAATGCAGGACTTACCAGCGATGATTATGATGCAGTTAGGCTACGCGCAGCTGTCTAAAACAATGCAGTTGCGCCTGGTGCAAGCAGTAGCTCTACATGTGCCGAAGAGTGCACGCGCGTGTTTTGTTTTGTTCGTTGTGTGTGTGTGTGCGTGTGTGGAACTCTGTTACTAAGAGTCAGCAGTGATTTCGCATGTTGTGTGTCGAAATAGCAGGTGGCTGAGGGCCCGTCATTGCTACTTCAGCCAACGAACACTACCAGTAACAGGCCGTGGAAACGCACCTGCGAATAAAGGGGGAGGGTGCACTTGGGTCTTCGTGACAGTTGGTGGCCCTCATGAGGAATTTTTGGGTCCGTCGTGGCAGCTGGAATCTTGACCCCTTGCAAGTACAAAACATGTACTTGAAAAGGCAACCCCTTGGTGCCAAGATTGGAAAACAGGACAGGCCCCCTGTGGTGTCCAGATTAGACTGATGCGCCTTGAGTCCTGATTGGTTCCGGAACTGCGAAAGCTTCATGCTTTCAAGATTACATTAGGCATGGCTTGATACACAACAGATGAGTGGCTGCGCGATGGATGTCCAATTGTGTACCAGGTAGTTGCAAGCTGTCTTGTATTCATTTTCCCGTGCTACCTGCGGCGGGGTCAGCCCGTGCAAGTACCTGCCAGTATTGAAACGATAGAGGCAGGGATGAATTGATTGGTTCCCGAAGTGGAACCGCCAGCTCCGACTGAAATTTCAGCTCTGATGGTGCCGGCATCTGATTAGCTCAGTCGCAATGTTGTTTCCGTTCCTGACTTCATGTCAGTTTTTGATGCCAGGTTTCATTGCAGGTCTTGACCTTTTTCAGATCCGATAGAACCACCGGCCTTGCTATCCGCGGACCACGATTTCAGCTCCCAGACAAAATCCCACTAGTCGGCCCCTGTGCCAAGATTAGCTAGCCGCCCCTTTGCGAAGGATCACATATGTGTTTTCGGCTTGCTCTTTTTCAGCTAGAACTGAGTAAGCAGGAGGCCAGGACCCTGGCTTCAACCTGACGACAATAAGAGGCCAGGACCCCGGCCTCACAGACGACACAGGGCCCCGGACCCAAGCCTCAACATTACGACAGCCGGAGGCCAGGACCCAAGCCTCACAACCGCAGACTTGCAGAGATCGCGAAGCGCAGAACTGCAAGTTGCAAAAAAAACAGGAGCAGGAGGCCAAAGCCCAAGCCTCACCGACGACAAGAGGCCTGGTTTCAAGCCTCATCCTGACGACAACCGGAGGCCAGGACCCAAGCCTCACAGATGACGACAGGAGGCCAGGACCCAAGCCTCACAGACGACGACAGGAGGCCAAGACCCAAGCCTCACAGCCCTCACCGACGACAAGAGGCCAGGTTTCAAGCTACATCCTGACGACAATCAGAGGCCAGGACCCAAGCCTAACAGACGAAGACGCGCAGTGAGTGCGAAGCGCAGAACTGCAAGCTAACAGGAACCCAGGTTTCAGGCTTCAACTTGGAAACAATGAGGGGCCAGGACCCAAGCTTCACGGAAGACAGGAGGCCAAGATCCAAGCCTCAACACAGACAACAGGAGGCCGGGACCCAAGCCTCAGACAGCAGGAGGCCAGGACCCAAGCCTCATCGCCCGGCTTTCTGTGTGTGTGGAACTCTGTTACTAAGAGTCAGCAGTGATTTCGCATGTTGTGTGTCGAAATAGCAGGTGGCTGAGGGCCCGTCATTGCTACTTCAGCCAACGAAGACTACCAGTAACAGGCCGTGGAAACGCACCTGCGAATAAAGGGGGAGGGTGCACTTGGGTCTTCGTGACAGTTGGTGGCCCTCATGAGGAATTCCTGGGTCCGTCGTGGCAGCTGGAATCTTGACCCTTTACAAGTACAAAACATGTACTTGAAAAGGCAACCCCTTGGTGCCAAGATTGGAAAACAGGACAGGCCCCCTGTGGTGTCCAGATTAGACTGATGAGCCTTGAGTCCTGATTGGTTCCGGAACCGCGAAAGCTTCATGCTTTCAAGATTACATCAAGCATGGTTTGATAAACAACAGGTGAGTGGCTGCGCGATGGATGTCCAAGTGTGTGTTCTCTCTTTGTGTTTCTTACTTGCGTGTTTGTTCGTTTATGCACCACCTTAGGATCTGGACACGCGTACACATTCAAAATCAACACACTGTGCGGTGTCTGGCATAGAGCAGCAGGACATGTCCCTGGCAACGACGGTAACAACAAGTACTGGGACCGGGCCTACTTCCTTGGTAGCAGAGATAGGCGGGGCAGCTTGAAGCAGTTGCAGAAACGCAGTGAGACAAACTAAAGTTAAGGCATGAAGCGACTCTCTGACTGGTTTACGTCGTCCTGTGTCTCAGCCAATGCAAGTTCATTGGGCCGATGCGCTGTGTTGGACAGGCGGCGGTGGCGCCGTTCTCTCTGCCACGATGCCGGCAAGGGCGTTGGCTTTCCACCCGCGAACGCCGCCCTATATGCGCCGCCAAGCTAAACTCAATAAAGCCAGCTACGATGAGATGTCTTAAGCATTGTCTTGGCGCTGCCGCGGCTGCATGTGAAGAGCTGGCACCTCGAGTGGAACAGCAAGGTTGGGGCCTCCCCCTGCTAATGGTTGCGACCATTCTCATGCCTCGCGGCTGCAATCTGTCACAGCAATCAGCCCACACGACGGTCTGTATGGATGCCTTGACTGCGTCTGCAGGTTCGTGTCGAGCAACTCTGGGATTGGGGCAGGCGTCGTGGCAGCGACCTCAGCAGAGTGCGCAAAAACTTGTGGCAGCCAGAAGATATCTTTATTTGTGAGGTTTCTGTGACAGCGAACGGGCGGCCGGTGGTGGATCTGCCGCCGACCTTCCAGTTCTCACTCCTCGGATCCATCAAGGACATGTGGCAGGGACGCTCTGAAAGAGAAACAGCAAGGCCTCCAGTCCAGAGAAAGTCTGCACCAGGGCTCTCATCAAGCAGTATCTCCCAGTAAGGAAAAGTATATGGCCTGGCGTTTCTCATCCTTGGCTTCAGTGGACTTTGGCCCTACATCAAGCCGATCATGATGCTTCCTGTCTGTCTATTTGGAGCATGGACTCGTACATCCAAGCCGAGAAGGAACACACAGGAACCCTCCAAGTGGAAATCCCCATAGCGGAAAAGGTATTCCTTTTTCCCGCAGTGGGAGGACAGAAAATTGTTATTCTCCCACAGCAAGAAAAAGAAAGCCCGCAAGTGGCCTAAAATGCTGCGGAAAGTCTTCGGCTACTAGTGGTCTACAGGCTTTTCTTTCTTGAACATCTTGCTTCTAGTTGCGACTCTAAGTCTTACATAGTCTTACAGAGTCTTACGTGTTTTTTGTTGACCTGGTTTCGATGCCAAAGCGTTTCTTTTTCCAAATCTTCCAACATGCGGAAAGCGCCCTCGCACTGCTTAGTCCGCGGCCTGCCCCAAGTCCCACTTTCCTAGGCCGGATCAAGGTTTCGAGCTCTTTTCTGCAAGTTACTTGAACTTGGGCTCTTGTTGTGGAGGGCCCGATGCTTCGTTGGCAATCTTCCCTTCACAGGCTGGTCTGTTGGTTTACGCCGCCCTCCCGGCTGAGCGTTGCGAAGCGACAGGGCTTGCTGAACTTCCTGGATGCCTTTGGCAAGTGGTCGCTGGTAGACACGTGACCTTGGCAAGTCGTGTAAATGGCATTTCGGGGGCTGGTGAAACTTCTGGCAGAGGCCTGCTGCAGACTGCATCCAAGGTTTTTCATGGTGCTTTGCATGGTTGCCTTCAACTTCGACTTGCGAGCTGCTCCCATAAAATCGAAGACTTCCCGAGTTTGAGTTGTAGGGAATAGCCGGAATAGCTTTCTGGAGCGAGTTAGAGTTAGAGCTGCCGAGCTATCTTGCCGAGGCTACCACTGATGGGCCATCATTGCTCAATGATATTTTCCGGGAGGCTAAAAGCGATGCTGAGTTCAATGTCCATGTTCAACCAGACCTTGGCTTCTTGCATCTCGGTGGAATAACACCCGACCTGCCTGGACCCTGGCCCGATGTGAGCACGCATCGCCAGTTTTTACTTCGCTTTGCTGAATGCTTTCGCTCTAAGTACCTTCCTCGCTGCGACCTTCCTCTCGCTTATTGCTGGCCATATAACGACTGCCTGCCATCGCTATGCGCACAAGCTGGGCGAGTTCGGAGTAGAGGAGGACGGACCTTTGCAAAGGATTTCAAATCTTCCGTAGATCGAATTGCTGGTTCGACGTTGCACATAGGACAACGACAAACGACGATTGTGCTACGTTTTGTGCTCGAGCCCTTTGGATGTGCACGGCCCGACGATATCCATCGCCGTGTCGCTGGTGTCACTTGTCTGATGTAGTGTGGGCACACGAGTGCGGCGCTCATGTGCAGCATCTGCGTTCAGCAGCTGGGCCAAGCTAGTAACCTCAGCACAAGGTTGGTTCTCTGTGGCACATTCTTGGAGACCTTCAACTTCAATTTCCTGGGCATGGCCGGCTACGCTTTGGGGGAGGAGGCAAACTCCAGAGTCAGAGAGTCTGGTTTAAGTTTTGCCGTTCCTGCACCTGCTCCAGTGGGTGCGGGAAGGCGCGACACCGCCCGTTTTCGGTGTTCAGCTTGGGCCACTCTGCTGCAAAATTTAGGGCCCCAAAAGGAAACGAGACTCCGGTTTCCGGGCTTGAAGTTCGTGACGAGTGCTGGAGGCACGAGAATTCGAAGCAGCAATCCGGACCCCGACAGCCACTTGTCTGCTACACTGGCTTTTGGCACAGAGTTCGCGATCGCTTCACGCTTTGTCTGTGGCAGTCGGGTTGCTCGAATGTGAGAGGTTTCGGGATTCTGATCCTCGCAGGAGATGGGGTACATCGATTGAATGCGCACCCAAACGTGGCTTCACACCCTCCAGTGTCAGCCTGCAGCCTGCAGGAGTCTACTTCCTCTTTACCACTATTGTCGTGGTCGCCTACCACGTGCAGCTTGACCAGACATCTCTTAGTAAGTCTTAGTGCAGATGACACGGCATGGTGACCAGTGGCGAGTGCAAGCTCAGGATTTTGATCGTTCTGTGGACTGCTCCGTTGTCCAGGAGAGCACAAAAACAATGGCTTCTGACCGCACAGGTGTTCAATGCCTGGCAGCTTGGCAGAAGAATTCGTCACCTAGCGAATCAGGACAACGGGCAGCACAGCATTCAAGGGATGAGTCTGCAAGGAGTGGCTTGGACGTTTTCTGTGTGACAATCTTGGCCGGAATCCTGGAACTTCGGGAGTTTGCGCACTTTATTGTCGGCGACAAATGTGCCGGGGGCTCAGTCGTATGAACAGGATGACACAGGTGAGAGCCAGACGGATCCGAGGGCATCTGAGCTGCTTCGGGGTGGATCTTGGTGGTTTCTGTTGGGGAGGCATGGAACGATACCGACGATATTGGCCACGACGGATTTCGAAGTGACATGATTCAGGGATGTTTGCAGCACAATTGCGAAATTGTAGTTGGTTCTTGTTGCCTTGGCGGTTCTGCAGATGGAGTTTTAGTCTAGCACCACAAGACTGCAAATTGACTGTCTGATTGCAACATTGCGTAAGCGTGGCATGAAGGACGCGATCAACCAGGCCGTTGCCACGACGACATTGGCCGACAAGTTGCCAGGCCAAGCGGTTTATGATGGTTTGTACTGTAAGTGAAAATGGGTTTTGCTCTGCATCGCAGGTGGAGTCACCTGCTTTGATGTGGAGTCTACCCTGCGCGTGGGTTTCTTGATCTTAGCGCTGGCCGCGCGGCGGCAATGCTTCCAGGGCAGGTCTTCGAACAATCGACAGCAGTGATAGTCATGAGCCATGTTGCACACAGCCAGATGTGGTTTTGGGGCGGGGAGGCTGTCATCATCTCCACGATAACTGGCCATGTCATGATGGCAAAATGCAGCAAGGCTTTATGCGACTTGGCTTCCCTTGGGCATGCTTTCATCGTCCATGGCCGCTCAATGGCCTTGTCCCAGGCGCACCGCCAGCTGATGCCGATGTGCGAGAGGAGGCTTAAGCACACTGGCAGAATCAAGAGCGCTCGTCAGAGCCGGCTCCCAGTGTTTGGTAAGATGGGCACGAGCTGCTGCTCGAAGAGCAGATGTGGTTGAAGGCGATCAAGCCGCAGGGAAGATAAACTCTGGTAAGGCCATTATGTGTGAAGGCCAGATTGGCGTAATCGTCTCGAGATGTAACAGATCCCTCTCTTCCAGTGAAGGCTCTGTGATGTAAATGTGTTTGCAGGATCCAGCGGAAGCGTGCCAAGCACGGGGCTGGGCACACTGCTTCAATGCCGCATGTTGTCCAAAGACAATGGTGCACCTTGACAGTAGTCTGGACCGCAACGGACGACGTATGATGGCAGTCAGAGCGCTCCTGCCCACGTTCTTAATTACAGTCCGCCGATATTCATGGTGGAGAACGACGACTTCGTCCCAGTACGTAGTGCGACAACCTGCGTGACACTGACTTCGGTTTCTTAATTACTCCGGCAAGAGCGGACCATAGATTGCCGTTTAGACAAAAAAGATGAGCATGTCAGTGCATAATACTGGAAAGGAAATGCGCACTGACTCCGTATCGTGGCTTCGTCCTTCAAGATTTTTACGACATGTGGGGGCGCTTGGCCTCTGGAACGTTTGCGGAATGCCGCAAATCGCTACGCGCGTATGGCTTGGCATTATTGGAAAAGGTGGTATCGCGACTGTGCCTCTTACTTGCTGTTTTGCTTTGCTTCCTCAAGGCTCGACGTTGGGGAGACTTGCTGTGGTGGCAGCGCCTGGCACGCTTCGACAATGGTGTTTGATTCAATGAAGGTGAAACGCTGCTTCGGATTGAAGTGGTATGATGTGCTGAAGACTTTGTATACCTCCGAGGTCCTGTAAAGGTTGTAGATGATGAAATGCAGGGAGAGCTTTTATGCCAAGTTTCGTCTGATTTCGTGTGATTCTAGAGCAGCGAAACCCAATACTACTCGCGTAGCGATGCAGCTTCGGCAAGTGTCTGTTGTCGCTGCATGTCTACGTGGCAGGCAATACATCGGTCAGCCGGCTCAGTTTCTTCAAGACATCCAGCGCCTGGCAAGTCTGTACTCTGTCATTTAATGCTGAGACGCTCGTCTGGGCTGGCACAGTCCAGACCGACGGGTCAAACTCTGAGGCTCTGGCTTTCTGGGAACACAGTGCCCTGACAAGCAAGTGGCCCTCTACACTGTGCGAACCTCAGAGTCAATCTGCGGGTAGTTTCAAGTGGCCCCATCATGTGCAGAGATGAGGATGCGGCTCACAAGAATGAGTTAGCTCTTCAGACAATTTTCGAGGCACTCACGGGAAGGTGTGTTGACATGCGGGTTACTGCAACCTCTATATGCCCTGGGCAGGCGCTCTGTGAGCGACCAGCTACACTCGAGGAGTACCCCAAGAACTCCACCTTAATAAGCGCCGGACTCAGCTGCGGAGTGTTGGGCCCGAAAGCTGCGCTACTTCAAGCTCAAGTATTCAGGGCCGGGAGAACAGAATCACGGGTCTAGTATGGTCGAAGTACTCGGGGAGCTTTTCTGAAAGGCTGCATGCAAGACCGACTGCAAGAGCCTGAGGCAGCACAGAGACTCCAAAGAAAGGGATGGCGTGGTACGCAAGACCCGCCCAGTGGGTATCTCAGACAGCAAGAGCTGCTGTTTCCGACCTGCTTGCCTTTTGACGGCACGGTGCCTGCAGGTGCCAAGGCGAAAGGTTGTCCAACATGACGCGAGAGGCCAGCAGAGAAGCCTTCCCACGGACATGAGACGAGCTGGGCTGACTTAAGACAGGAAGGTATAGTCTTGGGAATTCCGAGGTCGAATGCAAGGTCTTGCAAGGTTAGGGCGGCGAGATCACTCGACGCAGTCGTGATCTTCCTGTTCTCCCGATCGTCCTTGTGATCTTCCTGTTCTCCCGATCGTCCTTTGCTTGTGTTTCTGGCTTCCCCCATGTGCTCCGAAACTGCCGCTGCCAACAGTACTGGCAAGACGAATCTAGCATCTAGCTGTCCATGCCGATCTTAGTCGTTGTAGTAGTATTTTTTGTAGTCGTACTTGTGCTACCGCTAGTACCAGCCGCAGCTGCAGGAGGAGTCGTGTCGTCGTCGTAGTAGCCGTCGTCGTCGTGGTGGTAGTGCTATTAGAGAAAAAGCAGGCGATGAGAAGAGAAAAAGTACAGAACCGCCACACCCATGACTTTCGCACAGGCTGTGGAAGCCAAGCAAGAAACCCGATGGTGGAAGGAGCAGGCCGGAGCCCCACCGCTCTCGCACGCCTGGAAAAGCTATTTACTACTCTTGATATATGTGTGCAGTATGTGTGTGGACGCGTTGGAGGAATTTTTGCTATGCAATGTTGCAAACAATCATGTCATCTGCAAGGAAATTGATCGAGACTTTCCAGCACAACCTCAGTGTGCTAGTTATTTTTGTCAAGAACCTTCGGCAAGATGGTGATGATTCCATCCATTTCTTCTGGTTGATTTTGCCAGATATTTCTCGTGTTCGTGGCCTTCGCAGCTACTGTTCTCGTTATCGCCGTCGTAACATAGCTAGAACTTTGTTCATGTCTCTTGCACGTTGGTTGAATGCGATGTGTAGCCATATAGGCTTCCTGCATCATACCGACGCTTTTGAAGGCCTCCTCAGGTTTCGACGGTGCGCCGGCCAGACCTGTGGGCTGACACAGCAGCCACCGCACGCCTCTGAAACTCCAAGCCGAGAGGGGTGGGACGGGAGAAACATTGCGGGGCAGAGGGGCAACAGGAGGGACATATAGTATCTGCTGAATAGTCTGACTCCACAAGAAGAAGGAGTTTTGCAATTCAAACTTCTGGCAGCTGTGGCTGGATCGGAGGCGACAATCTCCAAAACGGCATTTGTTGAGCATTACAGTGTTTCGCATCCTGAACCTCACGAAACACCCCCCTGCTCCAAAATCTGAGATCTCCAAACCTGAAGCTCAAGCGGCACTTTAAAGCTCAAAATTTCCAGACGTTCCAAAATTTGGCAGATCCCCGCCTCCCCCAGACCTATGCCTAAATTTGACAGGACATTAATTCGAGTGCCGCTTGCTTTAAGAATTGGATCAGGATATTGAGTACTTGGTACACTCGAAGGCCCCCATAACCTTACAGAGGATCTTGGGGGACATGGGCGGACCACGAAGTAGACATGTCATGTTCCCACTTTATTTTTCATTTATCTATCTATGAATCTATCCAGCTATCTGTATGTGCACACACGCATATATATATATATATATATGTATATATATATATATATATCTATTATCTATACAAATATATGTACTAATAGTTGATAATTGTTAAATACATAAAATATATAGATATATAGGTACATACATACACATGTGCAAGTATGCTTGAAAATTATTGTGCGCATCCACAAAGCTTGTTGTAGCATGTGCTACGCATCTGTACATAGATACATCTGCATGTAAGATAAGGTGGCATGTACCCATGCATGTCATGTACATGCCAACCTTCGTTTGCTGTTGCGTTTGTACTTGTATTTCCCAGTGTGTGCACGCATACATCCCTTTTATGCACGTGTATATATATATATAAATATGTGTGTGTGTATAGACACATAGACATAGACATACACACATACTAATAGATATGTACACGTGATTTTACAAAGGACCCAGGGGCTCTGTTGCTTGGTGGATACAGATGTAGAGCAATGTGAAGCATGTTCACACATCCTCACATGCATATAAGTGAGCAGACATCCATGTTTACGTACATGCATTTACTTGTCTTGTCCGTCCTAGACAGACATGTGCATGTATGCGGACAGATAGTATATACATAGTTACATTGGTTGTGTATAGACGCTAAAGAAGCACAAGAACAGTTGGACAAACGAAACAAACATAACAAACCTATGTATGCATGTATGTAAGTTTGTTTGCTTGCTCGCACCGTTACCATGCGCACGTCAAGACACACACACACACACACATTTCCATGCACGCGCTTGCTAATCTCACAGGCGCGGCAAGCATGCTTGCATGCATTGTCAAATGATTCGCAAAACGATAACACCAGTATAACACCACTTACTTCTTCCCGGAGGTCCAGGACGCAGCACGCCGCGCGGCCCAAATCCTGAAGAAGCCGTTGCCTTCTGGTAAGCAGGCGCACTGTTGTGACGGCAAGTCGAGGAGCCTTGCCGTCAACACTGCTGAATCACTTTTTTGGGCAGTCGGTTGCGGAAGCGGCTTCAAGATAGAACCTGCGCAGCCGCCAGACTCACAGCGCTCGCAGTTTTGCATAGAGTAGATCGGGTCTGAGTGCCATCGGAGTGCCTGGATGCCCCTCAATGATGCGCAGTTCTTGGCGCCGCTTAGCTGAGTCTAGCACCGCGCCCATCGAAAAAGGCATTTTCTCTTCGCAGAACAAGAAAGCATGGTACCTGATGATGTACCATGCCGACGTCCGAGGCTCGTGAAATCCCTGGCGCAAGAGCTGCCCTCAGCTTTCCCATCACGCTGCCGTTCGGCGATCGAGGAGCTCTCCGAGAAGGGCACTGCGACTTGACTTGAACTTCGACTTTCCGGTGCCGTTATGCTGGAAGTTCGGCCGGCGAGGCCAGAACGAAGCATTCCAAGTATCCACTTCGAAGTGACGAGGTCTGTGGTGGAAACGCATGATACTCTTAACATGCCAGGCATAATGCAGAGAAGATTGGACGGTCATGGACGGTACTAAAACTGTTTGGCAGTCTAGCCGGTTAGCCCTACCATCTACTAGCATCATCATTATCATCAGAAAGAAGCGGGCAGCAAGATAAATGCATCTTTGAAGAGCCCAGGAAAGAGGAAAAGACCTACCTCCAGATCTTTGCAAAGCAGTCCTGACCTTCGTCTGCTCAGTGGCATCTCCGCGTGTCGCTGCCCAGCCGACGCTCGGAAGAAGAGGATTGGAAACAGACATAAAACGCCGCCGGAATGTCAGTCTGCCGTATGATGCCTGAAAGATGGAAGAGCGCAGTTGAGGGAACTGCAGTTCCCCTGCTTGGAGCTCTTGGGACGAGCAGGCAGCGCTGCAGAGAGATGTCAGCCCGTATAGCATGTTCTTTCGTTCGCTTGCGTGCTCAGCGCTTGAGCCAATGTGTAGTCAGCGGAAGTTAGCCAACCCCCTGCCATCTGGAGCCGATACCAAATCTGTAGACCCAGGTGGCAAACTTTCCTTTCGACTTCTGGCCCTTAATTTTGTGCCATTGATTTCGGGCCAGGCCTGGCAGTGCGAGCCTACGAGGAGGATGCCAGCAAAGCAGATGTGCAGGCGTTTTTCTTCAAGCTTCTCAAGAAGGAGGCAGGCCCAAAAGGAGATCAACCCCCAAACAGCGTGCAGCCACGTAGAAAGCTCCGAAAGACCCAGAGGCAAGAGGGAGTCAAGGTGAAGTCTACGGTGTACAGAAGAACTGCTCGGAGTGGTTTCTACGCGTTCTGCGAGGCGAAAACCCAGCCGGCCTTCAAGCCGAGGGTGATGGCCCGATGCCCGGTTCTTTTGTCCTTTCCGCGAGAAGGGGCATGCAGTAATACAGTTCAGTGCAGCAGTTTGATTAGACGTGACCGTCAAAGCAAGATTACATGTCCCTCCAGGTTTTCCTGCTGCAGTACCTGCTGCGATGGCTACAATCCAGCAATGCCCTGAAGAGCCTTTCGAAAGAAGGTGCCTTCAAGCCCGAGGCGGGCGCAAGTAGAGCCACTGGAACGTACAACTCAGTTCCAGGGCCGGGCAGTTTGCGGGCACCGCAAACACGCAAGCATGCTGCTATCACCACTCGCTATGAGGGAGGCTGCTAGCTTGAAAGGTTTACTACTATACTACGAGTTATGCGACATACCACCACTTTCCGAGCATCCACACAGCTTTGGCATCTGCGTGAAGGCTCTGAAACCGAGGGCTCAAAAAAAAAAGCCGCCTCCCTGAAGAGTAAAGCTTAAAGCAACGCGGAAGCCTGGAGGTGATCACCTCGCTGCTGGAAGCTTTGGCTTCGGAGATGGGCAAATGCCTCCGATGGCAGCAGAAGTGGCAGCTCAAGGTTCCACAGATCAGGGCTAGTACACCCAGCAGGGCGGGGGTGGGGGTGGTTAGGAATATTGTTTTAAGTTCAGGGATGTTTAGGGTTTACAGGCTATCAGGAAGAAGATGACGATTGGCTCCAATGCTGCTCCAGCAATGGTTTAGTTTAGACTTCCTGTTCTCAGTTGACTCCAAATCGTGTTCACCTCGGTTTTAGACTCACTGTGGTTTGGATTCTTGCCCCCACACACAACTTCGTTACATTGCACGAGCAACCCTTTCGGCAAGATGATGGGGTCGCTTTTTTGTACTGGCTGTAGCACTTGGAGCTGTGTGGCTGCATCGGGCTGTGCGCCAGGCGACCCGGGCCTTGCGAAAAGTCCTGGCCACAACTCGCGAGGCCTGAGCAAATCCTGCTTTGTTCATTGAAGACCAGGAGTCCGAGTGGCAACAGTGCATAGCTCTCCTTACAGGTTGCAATGCCTTGGGCGCTGGCCTACCTCAAGAAGTCCGAGGACAGCTCGAAACCTCGCTGAGTTTGCACACTCCAAGCTTGCAGCAAGGATGGACGTGGGAAGGCTCCAAGCCAGAATCTCCCAGGACCCCCCCGCGCTGCTGGTCGCCGCTGTCACCACCAGTGAAGGCGTCGATCGTGCAGCTTTGGTCGAGCTCTACACCAAGCATGCCCTCCGGACGGCATAAGACGGATGCAAGCTCCACTTACTTTCAGGCTTTGTCCGTTCAGGCTTCAACCTCAAAGCGCAAGGCTTCTTGGGTTTTCTTTGCCGTTTTTTCGCAGCTGGAGAGTTGATCCGCTTTGACGGGGTAGCTGCATCAGCCGCCTTGAGGTCCTGGAGGCCAAGAAGCCCTTAGCCGAGTTCAGCCGCCCGCCTGCACAAGACAGATCGAGGGGTCCCGGGAGTGATTCTGATCTGGGGGCGCTCGATGCCGTCGAACTTCTTACTGAAAGTTGAAGGAGGATAAGGAGGTACAGAAGATACTTGATCGGTATACGGCGAACGGCCTGTTGCTTTGGCCAAGTCCAGGCGTACAGAATAGAGTGAGGTCTCGCCGCATGGGGTCCAGCAGTGACTGCTGCCAGCGCAGAGGACGGCGGCCTGTCGCATGCGGCACCTGTGACATGCTGTATTTGCCCTTGCAGGAGTTTGAAAAGCAGCTCCTGCCAACCGCGATGCGCATGATGCAACCTAGCAGCAGTTTCGAGGAAAAATGGGGAGCCGGCAGACGCTTTTGAACTGTTTAACTCTCTTTCGACGATCGTATGTGGGCTGCGAAACCCTTGTGGCCTGTGTCATGCAGCACTGCACAACGAGCCTCCGGCAGTGCCATTTGTAAACCCTCCCGTCTCGTTTCGAGCGAGACACATGTCCTGCGGGCTCTTCATGAGTTGCCCTGCCCTTGCGGGTCCAAACTTCATTCAACTGCGGCTTGGAGCTTGGCCTCCCCATGCCGAAACCTTGGGGAAATCGAGCCGGCCAGCGTGCCAACATAGAATGTCATTTTCACTTTTCCGAGAATCAGGACGATTGCCTTCTGACTCTGTGTGCCTGAACCCCTGCCAGTTCCTGAGCTGCCATTGCCATGCACTCAGGGTCGACACGCTTGATTGAATTCACAAGTGGATGAAACCCCAGAGCAAGGACTTGGCAATGACTTTTGTAATTATTAATGACATGTTGCAGTTGCATGGGGGAAGAGGCCGAAGCCACGACTTCGCCGTATGATCAATACTGAGCTTGCTGCCAGGAGTGCGGAAGTCAACCACAAAGAATGGAACTGAGCGAAGTTAATTATTGTAATGACGTAGCGGGGCAAGCAACAGCAGACCCACCTTGCTTCATGGTGGCAACCCCTCACTGCGATTTGCTTTGTGCCACGTTCGGGGTCGCATGATTTGGATGGATGCTGTGGCCTTGAGTTTGCATGCGCTGCATTTGTGTCCATTGCCTCACCCAGGAAGCGCCAGCCTGCCGCCAGTGCAACGTCTTTTCCTGCCATGGTGCGCCCCTGTCTAGTCGCGAGTCATACAGCAGCTGCTACAGTATATTAATAGATTGCACGCCGCTGTGGTGCCACAAGGCTGCATGTGAGTACACTGGCTGGAGAAATCTAGAGAGCATCCGACATAATTGTATCACCTCGTGCGGCAGGTGAGCAGCGCGAAGCTGGATCTTTCGTCTCAGGCCAAGGAGTTGCTGGAGCTCGCGCCAGAGAAGCTGAAAGACAAGGCTCATGCAGACAATGGCAATCGCATGATCATGTGATAGTCGTGGTGTGATTCCTTTGTTGACTGCGCATGAAGATCTAGAAGGACGGCGGCGGCTACTACGCCACAAAAGCTACGGCATCAGCAGTAAGAAAAGTGAATATAGTGCTCCCGTGATGATGGCGTTGTCGTTGTCGTTGTCGTTGTCGTTGTCGTTGTCGTTGTCGTTGTCGTTTGTCGTTGTCGTTGTCGTTGTCGTTGTCGTTGTGTTGTGTTGTTGTTGTTGTTGTTGTTGTTGTTGTTGTTGTTGTTGTTGTTGTTGTTGTTGTTGTTGTTGTTGTTGTGTTGTTGTTGTTGTTGTTGTTGTTGTTGTTGTTGTTGTTGTTGTTGTTGTTGTTGTTGTTTGTTGTTTGTTGTGTTGTTGTTTGTTGTTTGTTGTTTGTTGTTTGTTGTGTTGTTGTGTTGTTGTTGTTGTTGTTGTTGTTGTTGTTGTTGTTGTTGTTGTTGTTGTTGTTGTTGTTGTTGTTGTTGTTGTTGTTGTTGTTGTTGTTGTTGTTGTTGTTGTGGTTGGTTGTTGTGGTTGTTTGTGGTTGTGGTGGGTTGTGGTTGTGGTTGTGGTTGTGGTTGTGGTTGCTGTTGTTGTTGTTGCTGTTACTGTTGCTGCTGCTGCTGCTGCTGCTGCTGTTGCTGATGCTAATTGTTCGTACCAGATACTGCTACCACCGCTGCTGCCAAAGCACTTGTTGTTGCGTCGTCGTAGCTTTCTTTGTGCGTAATTTGGCATGAAAGGCAGTGTTTTTTTCGGGGGGAGGGCGTGAAGTGAAGGATTTGTATTTTGGCCTGTTCCCTCCGTGGCTCCCTGCCTGCTGCTCTTGTCGGTGGTTTTGTTCGTGGTCGTGCTGACCATCGTTTCCTTTTCAGCAGGTGAACCTGTAGTTGCGGTGAACACAGCAGCAAGAAAAAACTCGTGGCACCAAGTGCAGGAGAAGCGCTTGGCCGGCCGACAACTTGTCCGCGACGTGGTGGCAAAGTCGGCTGATTTGACGGCGCTGGTAGCAGTCGCTGAGGCCGCAGATGAAGACAAAGCCCTCTCAGACGTCAGACTAGTTATGCCAGTGGCAGGTGTCTTGCGACTACTTACGCCAATCCTGTGAAATTTCCCGGAACAGTAGGTTCGTGGCAGGTTCGCGCTGCTCACCCCCTTGCTACGCACTAGTTCTGCTTGCGGCTTGCGTTTGAGCATTCGGTGCTCCATGTCCCTGCAGTCGTGGGCAGAGCTGGCGAAGAAAGCGGGAAAGATTGACGAAAAGCAGGCCAGGTTCATCCCAAGTTCCAAGTGACACACACACACACACACACGCACACATTCACGAACACGCTCTCGGCATACACATGCACTTTTCGGTGCGCGTACTGTTGGAAGCAGGCAACATTGCAAGCCTTGGCCGAGCTTCTTGCCTGCACGGACAAGCGGCGGAAGTCGTTCCCAGAAAACTTGAAGATGGAAAGCTCACTCTGCAGTTGTGTTGTCGTTGTGGCCTCCAGGGCTCGAGGGGACTGCATTCGGACCTGCTAGGCCGCCCCTTGTAGGAGCCATGGATGAGAAGAAGCACGGCCCAAGCTTCAGCATGGAAACATTGAAGGACCCAGAGAAGCTGAAGGCCTACATGATGAAGTACTCTCAAAGCGAGGCTTTCAAGATCTGGGCTGGCTTTGCCGTCATCGCCTTTATCGTCTTCATGTTGGTGTCCAGTGGTGACTTTTCATTCTTGTTGACCCTCTCCTCTCTACTCAGCACCTTCAGCTTTCTGATGGTGGCTTTGAAGATGGAGATTGGAAGATCGTGCAAGGGCGTCTCCCTGAAGATGATGGAAAGCTACTTGGTCATCTTCTTCTTTCGACTCTGCGCAATCATCCCCTTCGAGGGCTACCTTCCGTTCGACAAGTCTGGCGACTGGTTCTACCAGACCTGTGAAGCTCTTGGTTTCTGCCTCGCCGGAACCATGGTGTACTTTTGCCGAGTGAAGTACGCGGCCAGCTACAACCCTGAGACGGACACCTTTCAGCACCTTTACCTGGGTGTTGGTGCCCTGGGCTTGTCTTTGATCTTCCATCCGAACTTGAACGGCTTCCTTCCCTCAGACATGGGATGGGCCTTCGCGCTCTACCTGGAGTCGGTCGCCGTCTTGTGCCAGCTCTTCATGTTCATGAAGGAGGGCCGTGCGCAGGAGCACACTTCGCATTTCCTCGCGGCGCAGGCCTTGGCGAAGGTCATGTCCTTCATCTTTTGGGCAACCTGCAAGCTGATAGCTTTCGCACTCACGCTTTCCATGACTTATTCCCATAGTCGACAGAAGACTAGGCAACATTTCGAAATGATTTTGCTTACGTACTTGGTTGTAGTGCAGTGTCAACTTCGCCGCGAGTTATGCACTTGACCAAGGCATCCTCCTTCAGCGAGCCTCGGCTGAAGACCATGGACGTGGTTGAAGTTCTAAGGATTGCAGAGGCTGACGTGGTCGGATGAATATCTAACAATGGTGGTGCTGGTGGTGGTGGTGATGGTGGTGGTGGTGAGTAGCGGTGCGGTGTCCCAACACCAAGCAGACCAAGTATATCTGAGCCAGCCAGAAGCCCCTTGGGAAGTAGAAGTGCAAATAGTGCTGCTCTGAACGTCCCCGGAACAGAGAGCACCCTGTCCGACAGGGTGAAAGAAACAGCCAGAGTTTAGGAGCCACGGTGAAGCCGCGCAGAAATGACCAGCTCCGGTAGGATAAGGAAACCAAGCCACCGACAGCAGCCATTGAATCAAGGGTCAACGGAAGTCATCGTCACCGAAACATGAGGACCCCGAAGGAAGCACAAATAAATCAAGCAGCATGCAGGAAGAGTTGTGCCGTCGCATCCGAGGAGCTGTCAGACCCAAACCATCACATCAAGGCCTTCGTTGGCAATTGGGTTGTATGCGCACAGCTCGTCCAGTTGCTGATCATGGGTGACTTTATTTATCACTACATGCGGTGTATTCAGCAAGGAATTCCTGTCTCACAGCTCCTGTCCTCGGATGCCGTATGAGAGACGGGTTTCAGGCGACATCTTAAATTTTAGCTTTCTCAACCTTCTTTCCAAGCTTCTCCACTCGAAAGCGGAGCGCCGTGATTACCCTCCGGGGACTTTGAAGGCAGTTGCTGTGCAGTCGACTGTCAAGCGCCGCCAGCCTTGTGCACGTTTGAGTCTGAACAAAAACCCATGGCGGTAGCGCTGAAAAAGACTGGGCTTTGCTGACCAGTCTCTGAGCACACGAGGGCGCGGCTTTTGCATGCATGGTCTCGGCTGCTTCGCACTCACCACCCGAAGCAGTCCACACAAAATAGTCATGATTTCTCTGGGACCGAGGCTTGCAAGCAATTTGCCCAAGATGGAGGAAGCAACAGTCGCAAAGCTCATCGAGCTCCGCCTGCATTGAAACAAATTGAAACAACGGTCTCAGGCAAGTCGCTAGAGCGTCCACACGCATGTATCTACAGAACCTACTGCTATTCAGGGAGTGTTTGCCTCCTGACACAGTGGCTGCAAGTCTTCAATCGGGGATCGCCAACCAACGACATTCCGTGTGTCAATCCATGAGCCATTCGCTAATTGTAGCTTAGTGGCTAGTTCAGGCCTCCTCTTCAAGCTTCAAATGCGGCCAACTGTTCAACCGAGACTCCCTGCAATGCGGGCTTCGTCCTTGCTAGGTAGGAGGGAAAAAAAGCTTCAATGCTGGTCATCCCACAGAGGCGCTTGCAGGTGTTTTTTCAGGCCCGGGCCGGAGCTGGACTTCATGCGCGTCTCACCTGATCGCTGTCCCCTCGCCATTACAATCCACCTCTCGGGGACCACCCAGGGCCTCCTGTACTCGTCCCACACAACTCCTCTTTGCCTGGCCGAGGTGCTGGCCCAGGCCTAGAGAATTTACAGTAGAGTGCCAAAGAGAAGACTTCAGACTTGTGCTGGGAGACACCGCGCACAGCTGTGTGCTTCCTTTTGAGATTCGGTCCATAGGTTGTAGCCGACTGTTCGTTGGCTGGGCATCGGTCCTGGTAATCTCTTGTCAGAATTTACCGTTGAAAGCATGAATGATGTGTGCAGAATGCTCGTCCAGTGTTGCGGGGGCTCTCCCACATTGCACTATAGTGACTAGTGACTCTAGTGACCCGGAGACAAACCTCTCCCCTATGTACCTTGGCCTGAGGACGCGAAGGGTCCTTTGATCAAGGTCGCGGCTGAGGATGCAAACGAAGAGACGCTCAGCGCAATTCTTTCCTGAGCGGGTTGAAGTTCTCGGTTGCGGCTGGTTCCTTCACACGCACACGGAATGGTTTGTAGTGTGTAGGTTGGCGTTTCTCATATGCCCACCAAGAACGCGATTCCTGGCCTACACAGCTTTGGGTGCACTGGCCGTGCTGCTGCCATCCTCAGCGCAAGACCAGGCACAGCCGACGTCTTGATAGCAGCACTCATTTACGGTTGCAGCTGCTGATCTGCGATTGCTAGACATCCGGAGTCGGTATTTGGGTAAAGCTGGGGTGTCGAGGCCGCGGCATTTCGAGCCGGCTGTTACAAGCCTGGCCAGGTCGTGGCTGAGCTGTTGAAACCGCTGGCCGACAAGAAGGCACCGGAACGTGCGCGCCTGGCGGCGCTGACGGCCATGGCACAGGTGGCACAGCAAAGCGAAGGAGCCATGATCTTTAAAAATTGAATCAGCTACAGTACTCCAGACACCCAGCTCCTGACACAGGAACTTCTCGAACCTGGGCCGGCAGCTTTGTGGAGAAGGCAACTTGGGTCGGGGTATCACGGTGTTTACCGAGACGCAGTTCGCAGTTCTCAAAGGCTCTCCCTTTGCTGACTTTGGCCTCCACCAAGCCGGCCCAGCGGATGCAGAGCCTCTTGGCCTGGGCCACCGTTGGATCCTTGGCCAAGGCACAGTTTTCAGCAGCCCTTCAGCTTTTCAACCCTGCTGCAACAAACTGCACAGGCTGATCCCGAAGCCTTGAGTTCCAAGCTCAAGAAGGACCAGTTGACTCTGCTCAAGGACCAATTGCATCGCCCTTGCTCTGGCCCAGGGGACTTTCGGGTGTGACAGGAGAGTGTCTCTTTCCTCAATGCTCTGCCTATCATCCAGAAAGCCCCGCTCGCGGAGCTGTCCGCTCAGGCCGGATTAGGGAGTACAGACCTCTGCAAACCTATGTATATATATTGCTTAACACGAAGTGCTGGCTGGCCAAGGCTCAATTTTGGCGAGCGCTGCTCGCAGGTCTGATTCCTGGTAGCCCATCTTTGGCAGATGCGGCGAAGGAGGTCTCCTGGTTGGCTCTGCCAAAGAAGCCGCCCGGGACTTGACAGTGCCACCTAGGCAAGGTTTTCCCAGTCCCTAATGGAGAGACAGTGCACTGAAGGTTCGGGGAAACACTGCCCATTGTGCGCAGCACAATTGTACTTCTCGCAGGCAGGCGGCATCAGCAGCCCTCGTACTCCCACGGTCGTCAAATACTTTGCATTTGTTCTGCTTTTGAGCGTCGCTTGAAGGCCTGCACAGTTCCTCTCCCGAACGCGGCCTTCGGACCGAATCGGAGGAGACCCGCTAGAATAGCCGAGTGCATGATATTCTGAGCCTACGTGGGGTTCGTGGGCCCCTAGAGGGTTATGTCGGATGTGCCCAGTGCTTGTTCGCTAAGGCAAACAGGCCGAGCAAAGCCATGAGCCTGACGACCATTATTCAGCAGCTGAAGGCTGGCATTGTGATTACTTCTACATGTTTGCGCCGTGATGCTGGTTTCAGGACGAGGACGCCAACAACATCCTTCTGCTGTTGGCAGAGGCTAGATTCTTGTCTAGCGCGTGCGGGGAGACTGCATTGTGCTGTGGTGGAATATGGAGAAAAAGTCATGCCGCCCACGGAAGACTTGTGCTACTTTTCGCACCACTGTCTCTGCAGGCGTTCATCGCTTGGCTCGCTGAGATGGCTGCGCTTCCCAAACCACAACGACAGGTCTCTTGGCTTTCTGACCCGGCGAAGCTGGGCCAGCACCATCCAGCACTAAATGCCTGTCCACTAAGGTAAACAGCAGTGCCCTGCGCGACATCTTGGTCGATCTTTGCCATGCAGCTGCGACAGCCTCTGGCCCGCTTCGCCCGGAAATCGTGTGCTTGCTCCGCGGCACAATGGTCCATTCTTGGCTGCAGTTGCACGTGCCAGTGAAGTAGTTGCTTTTTTGCGGCAGGCTTTCTCTTGCCGCTCACCACCCGCTGCTGGGTTCGCGGCACTGGCCGCAACTGAAACACTGGCGATGGCTGCGCTATAGGGGTCCATTGGCAGCGTGCTTCGAGAAGGTGCTCGGAGTTGCTTGCTGTTGTGTCCATGTTGTCGAAGCATGGGGAGCCTGCTACAGCCGCTACATGTTTTCAACCGGATGTGCCAATCACATGATCTTGCCATGGAAAGTCCAAGCGTACTCAGAGGAGTTCCAGCTCCAGAACCGATACGGTGCACAGCTAATTGGACGGGCAATTACATCAGTTGAACATGTCTTAAGTCCGATCGTACTCAGAGGCATAGCAACTGCTAGGCCAGCTGGTTTGACGGGTGCATCGGTTGGATGCAAAAGGCTTTCACCCTAGGTTGGTTACTGACTCAATCTAATGCCATGCATGTTCCCATAGTCTGCATGAATTCAAGCATATGCTTGTTACCATATGTCATGTTGTGGTTTCAGGATCATTTGCTTGTTTAGTTTATCTTCTGTTGCACCTGCTCTACCACGCCCTGTTAAGACTGCAGTTTGACCATTAACCGTTCGTCGTTGCCTTACTGTTCGACTGCTGCGGCGATTGCCAACTGCTGTCTTCGCCTTCTTTCAAGCAGTAGTAGTGGTGGCAGTATTTGCAGGATAAGTAACTGTAACATCATCAGCAGCAGCCGGAGTAGGATTACGAGTCAGTGATGTTAGTTATCACTACCACTGCCACATCAACAACATCAAGAAGTACTTCTGCGGCTGGTACTACGACCACTACCACTATCACAACGACCACCTCCACTAATCTTGGACGCAACGCTATTGTGAGGGCCTTTGTCGCGATGATTACAGCTGATGGTGATTGTGCTGGCGGTAGTGATGAAAACGCTGGTAGTCAGAAGGGCCTCCTTCCGCTGTTCTGCATGACTCCATGACACCCCTCCTCGTGAAGGGGCGTTCCGATGTTTGGGCAACTCTCCGCGAGCTTATCTTGGCCGGCCGAGCCTTGGTGGCTTTTTCACTGCCTTAGTTTGCCTGAACCCCAAGTCTGCAGCACCTTTATCCCGAAGCAGCCGTATAGATGTTGAAGCTTCAAGGAGCTATTCCTGGGACGGATGCCAGTGGCTGCCGTCGTGCCGCGATCTCTTTGGCATCCGCTTTTGAAGGCGACGAGCCTGCTCTGCACGAGGAAGCCGCGGCGCTTGTTCGCGCCACTTGTCAGACAAAAGTTATTTCTGTGTTGGTCGAAAGCAGGCACATTCGTTCATGGTCTTCACTGCCTTGTATCGGTCCACGGAGTTTAAAGCTGGCTGCATTGAGGAGTGCGTGGCGGCGTTGCCCACGGAGCAGGTTGCTTGGTCGGAAAAGTCTTTTCTCTTCATCTAGCGTGAGCTACCCTTCACAGTACACAGGCCACTTAGGAGTTGGAAACAAGGTGGAAGCATCTGAGTCATTCCTTCTTCGTTGTTCGATCCACGCAAGCCGAGGTCAGTGCTGAAGCACTGGAGGACAAGTGCATGCTAACGAACAGCAGCCAGTCCTTGGCAACTTGTAAACTGGCAATGAAGCCTCAGACTGCACTTGAGGATGTGAAGATCTTCTTTGCTCCAGAGGGCGTTTTGTGGATTGAGGACCTGGTTTTGCCATGGTCGTGGCCAGCTTCAAGCGGAGTGTGATGAGTTCGACATGTCCTCTTGTTTCCACACCAGGAGGGCGTCTACGTGGCTGAAGAACGGGAGAACAAGAACCTCACGAAAAACAAGTACCTTCAGGCCGAGTCTGCTGCGTGCCCCGTCACTCTGCACTCCAGTCCAGTGCAATGGAAGCGAGTGCTGCGCAGGGCTTTGAGGAAGAGGAGACGAAGCAAGGGCCTTCTGCAACACGCCTGAAGTTTGCGCCCAAGGAGACGCAAAGAGAACTTGCACAGACCGTGTTTCGAAGCCGGCTCCTTTCGTGGCCCAGCAGAACATGTCACTGATTCGGCTTTCAGTGCCGACCCTCGCAGGACAGGGACAAGCCGAAGGAAAGCAAAGCAAAGGACCAAAGCGCTGCGATGGCGGCATCTGAGGTATCTCTTGTGCGGCCGGCCATGTCGCTCCTTTCAGGACGGAAAAGACACAAAGCCCGGGAAGGGGAAGAGCAAGGGCGCCGCTGCATCAGAGAAGGGCGCAGCTTGGATGGTCAACGAAGATACACCATCACTGGCTGGTTCGTTGCAGTGCTTCGTGAACCACCGAATCTGACCGAGGCCATGACACAGGGTCAGATAGAGGAGGCAAGGATCCAGGAGCAGTCCGAAACGAGAGCGCGCATCCGACGTGGCTTGGATTTCTCGTCTGCGCCGCTTTCATGGAAGCCGGTGGCATGCGAGTAATGTGGCATACCCATCACAAAATCCCAGGCTATGTGGACGAGGCATGCTTTGGGATGGATGTGACACCTGGCTGAGCCAAGTTTTCTCAAGACTCTCAGACATGAATGGGTCCTGCAACAGTTCTGCTGCCCACGAGCCCAGGATGGTCTCACTCGCCAGGAACGAGAGCAGCAAACAGGCTCAGTTTTTCAGTGACGAGCATGATTCCAGAAAGGCATGCCGTTTTGCGCCTGAGGTCAAGGCCTGGGAACACCTTCTACAGACCCATTGACATGAACGGGCGATTGATGATTGAAGCATTGCAAAATCATTTAGCGCAAGAGAGGCCGCACGGAAATGCTTCTGGCCCACAATTTCCTTCTAGATTCTACATCTAAGCATCATAGCCAAGTCCTAAGCTTCCATGAGGCTTTCCGGATGCTTCGAGAGTCGACACCCGCTTGACTTCTCCCGAGATTAGGTGAACGAAAACTCACCCCGTCGCACAAATCCACGTGGTTCGCAAGGCCTTCGAAGAGCTACTTCCGGAACTGGTGCCCAATTTCCTGAAGCTGCTGCAGTCGCCCCTGACCGTCCTGAGACCTGCTTGAGCTACATCAGGGCAAGGTGTTTTTCGGAAGGTTTTTTTTTGAGGGGGTGTGCTTGTTGTTGCTGTTGTGCTCTGCTGAAGCCGCGGCAAACCAGCAAGTGACCGAACGGCCGTTCGGTGCCAAACTACAAACAGATACGCACACAGCAGAAACAAAGCCTCACGGGCTCGGTGGTTGTTGGGCTTGTGTTCAGAGCTTCGCAACCCGAGCTTCGACTCACATCAGCCGAGGCAAACGAGGAGGTGTCTTCGCAGTCTTGTCAGCTTGGTGGTGCCACGGCAAAGCATCGCTAGGCTTGGCTCGGCCATGCATCAAATCACATTCTTGCCTTTGTGGACCGCGCTGTAAAGGCGCGATTTGCTTCCGGATGCGCTCATGGTCGTGGGCAAACGTTGGCTGGCTCGCAGCCCGGCCAGCGCTGGCACTCCTGGAAAGGAACGCGTTTGTGAGGCTCCATGCGGTCTCCTGCCGTGCAGCAGACTTATCTACTTTTATGCTTTGCAAATCGCTTGCAGGTCGTGCTGGATGGTGTGGACTCTGTCAGAAAGTTGGACAGCTGTTCCATGGCGCTCGTGCCGTGGATGCAAGAGTGTCCGTCATGGTTATAGGCGCAGATAATGCTGCAATGCGAGAAGGGGAACAGCTGCGAAAGCCACGAAACATCCACGTGCCGACTGAGATCTTCCCAATCATCATCCGTGCCCTATATGATGGCGGGTCGCTGCTTCAGGCCCAATTGGAACAAGACAGGTGCTTGCGTATCTGAGCATAGATAGAGAGCGTTGCAAATCGAAGCGACATGACATCATGACATTTGGCGAAGAGAACCGGGAATCTTGTGCAGCAGTTCCAGCTGAACTCCTGCACCGTACTCTGTACGCTGTATTTTACCCCAACACGCGGCAGCACTTCTGGCACTGCCGGCTGCGTCGTGCACTGATTTCCGTTGTTGGCTGGAGGTCTTGTGCACTCGCGCTTTGCACCTTCTCGAGCATCAGCTGGCGCTTGGGTTGGAGGCGGTGGCAAAGTGAAGCAGCCAATCCGGCTGAACATGCCTGAACGCTCCTGGAAGGTGTCCGAGGAGACAGCCAACGAGGTGTTCGACTCTTTGAGCGTCGTGCTTCTCGCGTTGCCAGGCATGGCACACAGCACGCAGGCCCGAGCTTTTCCTTTTCTGTAAGAGGCATGCTCCAGGCGAGCGCATGGGTAAATGGCACAGATCTGCTGCTCGGAGCCACCCTCAGGCCACTATGGCCGCAGCCTGCAAGCACATGGTTGCATCAACGGAGACTTTGGGCAAACTGGCGCAAATGCATCCCGACTCCGTTAAAAGGAAGCCCCTGATGGCGATGCCGTCGCATTCGGGACTTAGGAGTTTGACTCAGTGTTATGACGACGCTGGAAACGCTTCACTTGCAGAGATGTGCAGACAACTGAAATCTTCGGAGCTTGAAAGCTGTCCCGCCCACCTTGTTGGTTTCGCCCGTGTGTCAGGTTCTTCTCCGATGAAGAGTTAATGAGGGAGTCAGTGATCACTGCCTTGGGAGTCTTGCCGGAGAATTTGCATGTTCAGGACAGTTGCACATGTGCCGACAGACATGCACTCTGAGCAGGGATGCGGAGCAGAGCTCGTAGAAGTCGGAAGTGTGCACAGGTGCACCATGTTAGTAATGACTGCACTTGGATGCGTTTCGTTCTGCTGCACATAAAGCTCTCAAGAGGCTGTCTAAGGCGAGAATGAGCATGCATAGTCGTCGTCGTTTAACATGAAATAGGCTCACTGCTGAGTTGTCTCGTCGTTTCACGAGCTAGAAGGAGTAATGAGTACATGGTCATCAAAAGACAGGTTGAACTCCTTTAATTTTTGTGTCAACCACAGGGTCTAACAAGGATCGCGGTTTTAAAGATGCTTTTAGGCCGCACTCGCTGCCATGTTGCCCGTGCAGCCTTGTATGGCCCGGTGATCTCGATATGCGGACCTGGGCGGGCAGTGCCGAGGCGCACGGCCTTAGTGCGCCTCAGCCTCGTCAGCAATATCAGCTGGGGTTTCGGATTTTTGCTCGTAAGGTATAGGATCTAGAGTTCCGATGCTAACAGAAAATATCGACAAAAGAGTCAATCCAAAAGCTTCTCGCCAAGGCCGGCAGCGCTGAGGATGTCCACTATCGCACCGCAGGCATGTCATTATAGTTTCGGCATGTAGTCGGCCAAAAAGGCATGACATGGAAGACTCAGCTCTCTCTGGAGTGGAGCAGGTTACCCCACAAGCAGCAGTGGCCCCAGGGGAGTCGCTCTCTGCTCTATCAGAACGCCTCTCGATCGAATTGGATCTGTGGTCGCGATGGTTGACCTTTTGATCGCATGCTTGCCAGGTGCTGGATTTGTTCCACGGCCACCAATGCCAGAGGAGGATCCCAAGCCAGGATTTCGAGGCCCCGACGTGCAGTGAAGCCGCCACAAGTTGAGTAGCTTTCAGGGACTCTGCAAGCTCATCCGCGAGGTGGAAAGGCGCTCTTCATATTCTTCCTTTGTAATGCCGTCCCTTTCGCTGCCTTAATGCATTATTTGAGGCGGGGGCAGCAATGTTGGGAGTTGGGAGCGTCTCTGGAGGATGCCACCAGCCTTAGTGAGCCGGCAATGATTTGCAGGGAGCAGCGCACGGAGCGAACGCAAATGGCCTTGCTGTCCTTGCCGTCCCTCCCAGAAGACGTTGCGGCAGAAGTCCTTCGAGTGCCTCGACCAGAATCATAGAACTCCTGTCTGATGTGAAGATTTTCGAAGGGAGCGCCAGACGGCAGCATCCCTTCTGCTCGCAGAGCTTCGATGGCTGAGGCAATTCGAACTTCCTCCATTTGTTTTCTGCTACAAGACGCAGAGGCTGGAAGTGCCAGACATTGTGATCTATGCATGTTGTGTCAAGTCCTCATACTCCTTGGTCCTTGTACATGTCTGAGCTTGTTGTCTAGGTTCCCAAAGGCACAAGATTTCACAGGCGAGTCATCATCTCGAAAGTATGTCCTGCGAGGTTCATGCGAGCCCGATTGCCGCAACTCTGCGTGTGGATCCACATCCCCCCGAGGCTTCGGCCTATATTCCGCCAACAGCACCGTGGCGGCAAAAGAACGTCTACCATTGTTGTTGAGTTTAGGCGATGAACTCAGCATCTTACAATGTCTTGCTTGCTCGGACATTTCGCGAGGAGCCCTTGCCACTGGTTCCTCAAATGGAGCGAAATTTCCTGACCGTCACGTGGCCTTGAAGATTTTGAGCAAGCCAGCCTGGCATTTCACCGAGCTCAAGAGATCTCAAGAGCGTGGAACCTATAGCATTCCCTGACACAAAATCCTAAACCTTTACGAAGAGCTCAAGAGCTCATTGTGCTGCCTTGCCCGGTCAGCGCCGAAACCCGCAACTTAGGACTTGGTAGAATCTCCGGCCGTCAGTGGCTTGGGCTTTGTGCACTTCGCGGTGGCCAAAGCCTCCCCGGAAGGTCAAGCGGTGATTGCCGGACGGAGGCCTCATCTGTCCCTTCTGCTTCAATCTTACATTCCTAGAGTCCAGTGATGTCCGGTTTGTAATACTATTGCAGGTGTATGTAATTTCTGATGCTGTTATAACTTACTACTCATAGCATGAATACACTGCGATTATGTTACGTTACAACATACAGTGCTCAGTCGTCTTAGTGTTCCGATGCTTTTGACTTCCCTGAGGCAGGGAGGCTTGCTCTACGTTTCGCAAACACGGGCCGCATATTGCACAGTGAGTGGCCAGCGCAGCCCTCAGACCCCATAAACCTGCGTGGCTGCGCTTGGGTATGGAGGCTTGCTCGGCAATAGAAACTTTAGAGGACAGGCAGGCGCAGGACCCGACATCACATGCGCCAGCAAGGCTGAGTGTGCTTTCCGATCCTGAATCTAGACGACGAGTCTATGCTGCAAACCCATATACTGGCACTGACACAGATGGTTCATGCAACTCCACTGCTGTTTATATCTTTAGTCGTGAAGTGTGTCAGGATACTGGAAGTCATCATGGTCTTTCTGCTTTCCCAGCCCGGCACCTCCGTCGGTCGTGCCTTCAGCAGCCCCGACACAGCCCCAGGACTTGCAGCTGATTTTTGCCAAGTTCTAAAACTCAGAATGTGCTGGTGTTTGTTGCGGAGGAGCCACCGCCAGCATGGCAAAGCGAGGAATACTTGCTTCTGCGCCTGGCCATTGACCAGGCGAGCAGCAAAAGCAAGAGACTGTGATGACAACAGTGTTGTATCTGTTACGGTATTTTGCAAGGCCTCGCTGCAGTCAATCGTCGATGGTCCCCAGCGCTGGCAGTCGCGGCATGTACGGCGTGATAACCAAAAAAATCGTTGGGAGGTGCCCTGGTGCTGCAAGTGCTGAAGTTTCTTCCATGTCAGTTAGTGCTTCAAGAGCTTTGGAGGTCTGCAGCATCTGAGGCTGTGCCATAGCGATGGTTTTCCGCTTGCTCAACAGTGCCAAAAAGCACTCGTCACGTCAGCAGTTGAACATGGTCTATGCACTTCAAGCTTGTTAGACGAGTGCGCTTCCTAGACTGCATGAAGTCCAGGAGGGAGATGTTGATGCTGACGCCGCGCGAGCAGTGTTGAGGCTAGGAGCTTTAGACAAGGACTGTGCCGAGCCTCGGGTGCAACGGCCTGCATATTCGGCTGCCGCATGCTGAGACGAAGCGAGCCGAGGAGACTGCCAAAAAGACCTTGGACGAGCTCCAACTGGAAGCTGATGAAGTCACGTGGTCGGAGACAGGAACGATACCTGCTTGGATCAGCATCGCAATGCATATTGTACGTGAAGCTAACAGCTATGAAGCCTCAGGTTCTGATGATGGAGCTCATTGATTTTGCCAGAGAACAAGGAAGCGTTGGCAGGGACATCCAGGAATTGATTGCCAAAGCGCTGGCAGAGGCTCCATCTCCTGCATCACAAGCTTGCATACGATGTGCAAGTCCTGAGCTTGCTACCCTGCGCAATCTGACGCATGCTGGATCGGTGCATTTTCGGGGATATGAACTGGGCCAGGGATGGCTACCGTAGGGCGAGCGCAACACCTCAACAGTCTCGACATGACCTTGTGACGGTGAAGGTGCTTCAGGAACTGGATGACCCCAAGTTTACAGACACCGCGCTGGATTTATTGATGCAGCTCTTCCGCGAACAGGCAGCACCCAGGAGAGGGACTCACAACGGTTCTTGTTTGTCGTCCCACCTGGCCAATTCAAGTCCTGGCAGGATCACCATTGCGAGGTGTTTGGAGCGTATGTACGCCACCAATCTTCAAGGCGTAGACCAGGCATTGGATGAAGTGTGAAGCCCTTCTATTCCATGCTCTTGCTGCGTGATCCTGATTCTGCCGTGTAGGTTGCTGTGCCAAACAAAGTGAGCAGGTGAACGTTGCCTTTGAATTCATCCTGCGGCAAGGGCTGGGCCTGACGAATGGCTCGACCACTGAGGCAACGTGAACACGTGGTACGGGTGTCGTGAATTCATCCTGAAGTGTGGAAGCCAAGTTCATGTCAACGAACCTTAACGCCTTCACATAAACATGGTGAATGTCGGATCAAAGTTGTGGCCCGTTTGGGTGGATACAAAATACGTACAGCTGAGTTACTTCTACCAGCGCAGCGTTCACTGTCGGATCTGACTGCTGTGAGAAGCATAGACCACCGCACTCTTGTTGAAGGCTAGCGAATTGCGGGACGTGCTGCTCGCTGCAGGAAGCGCTCGTTCAATGCATAGGATCTGTTGGAGTGGGGGAGCTCCTGCTCAGTTACGAGCACGAAGATGCTTGCAGACTGTTGGAAGGCATTACTCTCATCGAGCAGCACGGGGAGGAATGCGCCGAAGATTTGTACAAGACTGTGGAAAGCTTTGAAGATAGTGCGGGCGCAAAAGCTGCAGGCTGGACACAGCAAAGCATGTCAGTACTGGCTGCCACGTGTGCGGTAGTGATCTCTGACACAATCGTAGGTTTCAGTCGTGGTGCACAACCTGACCCTTGTTTCGTAGAGGCGAGTCCGCCTCTTTGGGAATCGCCGTGTTCTTGGGCGCGCTCTCCAAGCACTTGGGCAAGGACAACCCCAAGGTCGCAATATAGTTCGTTCTGGAAAGGAGTCTAAGTTTGAATGCCTTCTTAAGTGCATCAGACCGACAGAAGATGGAGATGCAGACATAGCATGGCCAGGTGGAGGAGACGATCCCAAGGCTGCTTGCAAGGCCCAGGGACCTCAGGGGGTTTCAGTAGGCACATGAGTGCTGACTGCTCCCTTCAGGCTTTTGGACAAGTCATCGACTCCTTCCGTTCAGGACGCCATTGTGAAGGCCAAGCAGGGCATCCAACCCTACAAGCAAGCACCAAGCAAAGCAAAGCGCCTGCTTAAAGGATCATGGGACTTAGTTACTTGTTTCTAGGGTTATACTTAGGGTAACTATACTTATAACCCCAATTAAGGTACTTATAACCTTACTTACTGAGTCCCATGATCCTCCAAGTGGGAGTCTCATGCGTTTCGGTGCAGAAGGTGATGCCGCCACTCATGAAGGCCAACAAGGAGCGGAACCGGAACGGAAGAGAAAGTTGCCATGACAAGAATACTATGAATAATATACTATAATGTTCTATAATGTTACTATAATATACAATAACATACTATCATAATTCGGAGCCCCCTACGACGTAAGGCCCGGCTCCTAAAAGATCTTAGGCCTCATAAGCTCTTCGTCTCTGTCTCCGAGGAGCAGGCCGCCGAAGCCCTTGAGCAGCTCCTGGAGACGGCCCTGGCACCGAAAACGGATCCGGTGACCTTCTTGAGAAGATTGGGGGAAGATTTGGAGAATAACGATATAACTAGTAGGAGATATAATATATGAACCCTCTCAGAAGATTGGGGGAAGCTTTGGAGACTATGATCCATATACGATATAACTACTGTAGTAGGAGATATGATATATGGTATAATGTGAGAACCAAGACCCTCCTTGTACCCTCAAATAGGGGTAGAAGGTCCCAAATAAGGGGCATTTAGGGTCTGATGGAGGGTAGATGGAGGGTCTCAGAAGATTGGGGGAAGCTTTGGAGACTATGATCCATATACGATATAACTACTGTAGTAGGAGATATGATATATGGTATAGTGTGAATAGCCCCGACAAGATTTGGAAGATTTGGAGATGGTGGCTTCCGAAAATTTAGGGCACCTTTCTTTGGGGGGTCACTATACTAAGGATCCTACTATTTATGTAAAGGGAAATGTATTAGGTTACAAGGTTCCCCTATTTTCGGAAACTCCTATGTATGAATTCAACGGAAGGGGATATGTATGATGCCGGCCCTGGATATTCACGCACAGTTGCAAGTTGCAAGGGTTCATCCCCCCGAGAGCTCATTGCACGTGGACGCATGGAGGTAAGTTACTCAGTCTGGGTAGGGTGTCTGCGGCCAAGGTGACCCGTCGAGGAGCAGCCATGGGTCTTGGGGCTACCGTCAAAGGCCCGGGCAATTAGCTGGTCTTGTATAGTGAGCAGCAAGGAAAGCCGAAGTTTTGCGCCTGCCAGGTTTGAGCATCCAAGCCGTGTCGCAGTACCAGGTTCTGAAGCGGATCGAGGACGTTGCAGAGGAGCCTTCTGGTGCAGACTAGTGCTTCGGCATTAGCGTTTTGGAGACGTTGAAGACAGCACGGGCATAGCGGAATTCCTGACAGGACAAGAAGAGTGCCGCAGTGCGCGAGGGCGCCGTTCTTTGCTTGGAGGGTCTGGCCGTGAATCTGGGTGCGGGGCTCAGCTTGTCCGGACCATGTGACGGTGCATAATTCCTCTCGCCAGCCAGGCCGCCTCTTTGACCCCTACACCGTGATGTCACTGCCCATGCTGCAGAGGGCGGGGTCCTGTCGACGAGAGGCCTGGTCTTTTGCTTCTGAGCACTGCAAGCCTGTCAGGCATTCTCGGACTCACAGCAGACCGTGCGGAAAGCGTCCCAAGTCCGAAGCTTGGCGGTGTGTCTGTGATTGTCAGAGAGTCGACTCCTGGCATGTGCCAGGTGGCTGCGAATGCCATGATGTCACAGATCAGTGGTCCAGGCGTGAAGCAGGCCCTGTGAGATTGTTGCCCGAAAGAGCGGCAATCTTATTTCACAAGAGTTTGCACGAAGGGCGCCTGACCACCCAAGGTGCTGAAACCACTACTGGCTCCGATCGAGGACCGCAACTCGCCGTTGCGCGGCAGCACGCAGTAAGACCGAATGGTCCTGGTACTACCTGTATGTTGGGATGGATTGAGAGAGTAACTACTTCGTTTCAGGGTAGCACGGTGCGCCATCGTGTGCACCTGAGGTGGCGCACAAAGCTGGGCAGCATCGAACTTCTGGCATCAATGACAAGCTGTGCCAGAGAGCGGCTGGGAGCTTGTTTGCCACAGGCACCTGCCGACTCCGTCCAAAAAACATGCGAAGCATCATCAAGGGCCAGCAGTGCCCATGCGGGCTCGGCTTCCGTTTGCTGACCGTACCCCCACTGCGGGAGGTGGTGCCAGCTCTTTGCAACGTCATCAACGACGAGCACGCGAAGGCATGCAAGAGCCGGGCTTCAGGCAGTATATGCAGTATCTCCTTGGCGTGAAAGCATGCAGGTGAAAGAAGCTGCCCGTGAAGCTTTTAACAAGATCGCAAACATCATCAAGAGCCGGCTGCCCGGAACCGTTCGTTTTGCAATGTCGGCTCGTGTGGGCCGCATTTTGACATAGCTCCAGAGCTTGAGCGATTGTGTTGGCGATATTCGCCAGTTCTCTCGAGCCAACCGTGCCGCATGACCCTGCAAACTCCGTCATCAACGAATTTCACTCTTGCTGAGAGTCTTGATGCCTGATAGCCACTGATAGTCTAACTGTCTACCTATTTCATCATCTCAGGGCCGTCGAAGCTGTGCATGAACGGCCGAAGTCACCCTCGCTTCAACCAGGAATCCCAAAGGGCGAAACGAAGAAAACAATATGGAAACAGATGATGCGAAGGAGAAAACGGACGAGCGTGAATGTAGGAGTATAGTCGTTTCGTATGAGCAGAGTATCAGCTGCAGTAGCAGTCGGAACTACTAAGCTGATTTAAGTCTTGCGACTCATCACTGATCTTCAAGTGCTGTGCGGTCTGCATGTCGCGGAAGAGACATCCGGAAACCAGGCCCAGAACTGAGAGCCATTGCACCGGAGCTGATCTCGGCGCTGACTGATGGAGCGCAGCGGCACAGCTCAAAAATGATAGTCAAACATGAGAGGCACCGGGCATGCAGGCTCCCCTTCTGGCTCTTCTGGCTGCCAACCTCAATGCTTCTTACCCCGGACAAGGTACGAGCACATCACCCGCGATGTGCTGGACAAGCTTTTGGGTACGTCTTTCGCAACACATGTCGACGCACCGTCCCTTTCCCTTGCATCTTGGCTTCAGGTTAAAGACTCTCGGCTTGGGCGATGTTGCGCATATGATTTGCAGCAGCCAGCTGGAGAGGTATGTCCCGTCATTCAGCGTGCCCTCAAAGAGCGCTCTGCGGAGATGAAGCGGAAAGGGGCGCAGATTGTGGGCTCCATGGTAATGCTGATCAAGGACGGCTATCGTCTGCATTCGTCTGCTTGTTAGCTTCGCCCCTTCCAAAAACGCACGGAGCATGTGTTGATAAACTAAAGCCGGCCGAAAGTTTACACGGCGGAGTGAATCGACAATGTGCTGGGATGCCCAAACAGCGTGTCTTGGCGATTCCCCATGTCGGACATGTCTCAAAATATTAGCAGTTTATCACGCATAGTAAGTATTTGAAGGTTGGCTTCGCATGACCACATTGCGTTGCCCCAGTAACGTGGCCTGCGCCTTTTTGATGCTTCGTCTGCCCGATGCGGGGCTCTGTCCGAATCGGGTTGAGATGTGGTTACCTGTTGAGGGGGTGGGGGGGGGGTGTGGTGATGGTGGTTTGAGCTACCTTGGTCTTGCAGTATGTATCTCGAGGGATTGGAGCTAGCACGCCAGTCACATGGCGCGAGCCCCATGCTCTTCTGCGAGCCCCCCAGCTGTCAGGATCCGAAGGACATACAGCCTTACCTTCCGCTTCTTCTACCTCAGCTGAAGCTGACCCTAGTTGATCCCATTCCTGATGTGCTCCTTGGACTTGGTACTCTGACTGCCCTGCAAGCATGGGAGTGCATATGTCGGCGCCTTGTGCAATAAGGCGGGCGACCTCTGCGAAGGCTTTCGGCATACTGGCCCAAGTCTTGCCGGAGGACATGCTTGGCCTCTTTCCTGCAGCAATATCGCCTTTCTCCCACAAGAGAGAGGCTGAGAGGCTATGAGCTGTGGGAGCTGTGATTTCGACACGGGGGAGAAAACGAAACCGAAACTGCCGAGGGTTTTGGGTGAAAAAGAGACGAGGCGATGTGATGCCCTGGCTCTTTGAGATGCTAAAGTCCCCCGAGTCCAACGTCGAGCGCACTGGAGCTGCACATGGACTCTCTGAGGCGCCCGAGCCCTGCTGCAACAGCCGATACAGATCTTTGCTGATGCATATCATACCTTTTACTACACGCATAATATTAATATGGCTGTTCATACTATTAACAATATAGGGTTTAGGTTTAGGGGTTTACAGTGGGCAGGGGTACCCGGCAGTGGCAATAGGCCTGGATGCAAAAGGGGTTTAGGGTCTGGCTGTAGCTGCTGTTCAGTCTTCGTGACGACGCAGGTTCTGATGGCGAAAGGTCCCGAGCGGGTGCAGGAGTCTCTCAGCTGTCCAAGGGCTAGCGGCTGGCTGTCAGACAACGCATCCTTTCCGACTGGACGGTCGTACATGATGAAGTGGCCGCAAGACTTGCAAGCATATCCGATTCAACCCAGGCTTTTGCCGGATATCCTCTTGAATGCGAGTGACAAGGACCGTATCAGCATCCCTCACCGAGTAGAGTTTTCGAGACGCCGCAGAACTATTGCAAAGAATAGGTTCCATGCACTGTCGAAGGATGCAGAACCACTGGCGCGAGAGGGTGCCCAGGAAGCAAACAGTCGATGTCTGCCCATGGCTGACTCACGCATATGCGATACTGAAAGCATAACGCGCATGATGGCAACGGGTGTTGTCAGAACGCCTCTGGGTGTGCGAGAGAGTTGTCAGCCATGCCGAGGATACTTGGGATTGTTCGAGTACCTTCCGCCTGCCATGGGAAGCAGTTTCGAGCGGCCTGTATGCAGAGAGACAAAGGCTTCGTTTGAACGTCATCGTCCAGCCCAAAATTGACGGTCGGCATGCAGGCCGTACCTCGAAGAGGTCCTCACAACGCTTCTGGATGGCATGTCCGACGACACTGCATCTGTGCGAGATACTGCTTTAAAGGCCAGCCGTACTCATACGTGCTCAGCACCGAAATTCTGAATGTCAGCTGCTTGACAAGCCTTGCAGCCCGGAGTGCGCGATGCAAGAAGTTTTTGGCTTGTATTAAATGCTACTGTCAGAGAACCTGCAGGCAGCGCAGGTAATCATCAGACACTTTGGCTCGTCCCATACTGCACTTCTGCTGCCGCCCCTGGAGGAGGTGGCCGAACAGAAATAGCAGATAGCAACATGTCCCCTCGGACTGCACGAAGCATCATGCACTTGCAGGGTGTTTTTGTGGTGGACTGGCGTGTTCGACATGGAGCCATTCAATTGATGGGGCAACTGCTGCTGGTCTCGAACAGTTCTGCTTCTTCCTGTCGTCCTGACCCAGGGCAAGCTTGGAAGACCTAAGATGAAATCGCCTAGCAGCCACTGCCATGAGAAGCAAGGATTCAGCAGATCTTACGAGCACACCGCATTCCGACCAACAGTGCCGAGCTGATGCAGGCCCGTAGGGATGCTGACTTCCAGATTCCAGCGCCGCATTTGCTCAGCTTGTAACGCAGATCACGCTCAAAAGCGAATGGGTCACAATATATGAGAGCCGCTGTTGCTCTGCCTCTCGCTAGTTACGTTTCATCACCGTGAGGTCGAGGCGCTGCCCAAAGAGTGGCGATGTCACATGCTGGCTTCTTTGTACATCGTGCGCAGCGATGAGAACCCTGGTCACAACTCTGTCAATATGCCTACCTGCGAGTCTCACTTGCGACCGCGGAGCTACGACGTCCGTTAGTCCGCTAGTCTACTGCCGTCAACTTGAGTGTGCTTCTCCTCAGGAATGTCATGGTCAAGCAGGCATGCCAGCAGGTGTGGAAGGCCGTTGTGCAGAATCCACCGAGAACTCTGAAAGAGTTGCTGCCTACTTTGATGACGCGCTTGATCGCGCCTCGGTTGGTCTAAGGGCATGCTCGCGAGACGGAAAAGCACACAGCTGGTCTTGTGCGTGATCTAATAAGTTCTTGCCAGCGTTTTAGGCTTTGTCGAGAAACATCTGTGAGATTGGCACTCAGGCCAACCTTGCCTCCACAAATCGTGAACGGCAGCGAGTCGCAGCTCGCTGTGTTGGTGATCTGGTTGGCAAACTCGGATCCTCGGCCAGGTGCTCCATTTTCAAGCACAGACGAGCACTTTAGCTTCGCTAGGACAGTTAGCACCGTGGGACGATATGACTATTAGCAGCTCGAGCGAATGTTAGTGTCAACTAGGAGAGCGCGTTATGCCGGAGCTGATGCCGATTTTCATGGAGACGCTGTCGGAAGGCTACAAGCACCTGTTGGCAAAGTGCGGTTTCACAAGACAGGTCCTGCATTTGCATATGGCTCGCGAACGTTTGTATGGACAGGACGGATGTCTGGCAAGACAAGTGGCTCTCTCCCTCTGTCTGTCCGTCTGTCTCTCGCTCGCCACGTGTTCCTCTGCCTCGCTCTCTGTCACGCTCCCTCCGTCCACATCTCTTTGACTGTCCATCTCTGTCTAGTAGTACGTTCCTTGCAGGTGACACGCATGTGCGGGAGGGCGTGTGTCTGGGGCTGGCCGAGCTCATCAATGCCACCACGAAGGATTGTGCAATGCTCCTGTGGTGGCTTTTTATTGTAGGGTGTGTCGGCGCACAAACAGTGCGAAGAGAAGCCGAGCGCAGCAGGAGTTGCTCACGACATATTTGGAGCAGCTTATCCCCGCGATTCAGCAAGCTCTGATTGATGATGATGAAGCCGTGAGGCTTCAAGCAAGCACTGTGCCTTGCATGCAACCACGTCAGACACACCCGCACCCTCTGAAAAATGTCACTGCCCGGCCACGGAGGTCGTGGCCCTGCTTCACAGCGCGGTCGGTGCACGTGCAACCAACGAGATCGTGGAATGGCTGCTTGATCAGCTGATGGAGGAGGCTGGGTCGCGCTCGCGAAGAAAAGGCATGATGGTGGCGCGACCGCACAGGATATTTTTTGTGTGTTCTCTGCCAGGTTGTTGAAGAGGGCGACCTGTTCGTGCTGGGACTGGAGCAGCTGATGAAGAAGCAGCCAGGCCCGGCACAGCCCAGCCAGATCTGAGCATTTGTTGGCGCCACGTTTGGCTTCGGACAGGAGCAGTAAAAGACCTGGTCCTCAGTCGTTTGACCTCTCCTGGAGAAGACGGTTGGACCAGGTTGCAGGCATGGAAACTTCACGTGCAAAGCATCAAGTCCGTCCTCTTGGCACCGGATGCCTGCGAGGTGCAAGGGCTGGCCTCTCTCGCGGTGGTTCCTGACAGCCACACAGTCCACAGCTCCTCAGCCAGAAGTGCTTTGCTATGCTGCACACAGCGGTGATTTACAGTAGCAGATGAGTATCGCTTGCTAAGCACACCTGTCGGACGTGATGCCCGTCTTCATCAAGGTGGCAAGCATCGAGGTGGCCTGTCCTGAAACCACGGCACTGCATCGCGCCAAAAACGGACACCAGCTGGCTACTATTGTTTGACTTCCACGCAGCTCAGGACGAGGATCAGCCCGAGATGCAGGAGATTGCGATTGAGTCTGCGACGCGGGTGATGGACGCGGTGCAACAAGACGGCTTGACGTTGTTGATGACGGAGCTGCAGGGGCCGATGCAGGAGACGTAGTAATCAGCCAGCAGCGTGCGGCATCACGCTGCTTCCAGCTCGTTCTTTTTCTCACAAGGGGTGTTAATCACAGATATCACAGCCTTCATGATCTAGTGAGTGGAGTTTTTGGCGACTTGAACCATGGCATGGCACAGGACAAGAAAAAAGCCTCGCATCGCAGAGTGGCAGCACAGCTTCTGAAGCACGTCTTTGAGAACACGAGCTACCCAACTGCAATGCGCACTTGAGACGAGCTTGAATAACATGTTTAAGGTTTTGCCAGTTCTTCTGCGCATCAGCGAGCCAGCAAAGTCTTGTGTCATATGCCTTATGTAGCCGTTTCCATTTGTGGGATGAACATCTGCCATGTTTCGAGAAAGTTGGTTCCATGCCAGAGTGGGTTTTTTGTTCTTCGCCCGCCTGTCTATCAGGCTTAGAGGTGGTGTCCGTCCTGAGCCTCATACTGCCAGCACTGTTACCATCGGCGCTTGCGGATGAGGATGACGAGGCTCTGATCTGATGTATTTCCCGAGCATCAGGCTCGAGCGAGCGAGAGAGATTCACCCAGTCGTCGGCAGTGGCCGCCCTGGCCGTGCTGCTGCCGTCGCTCGAAATCCCAAATCCCAACTCTTGCTCTTACCACCCATCTTCACCCCCACCCACACCAGCAGCACCACACACCCCGCCAGGCCCCCAGCTGTCCACGGCAACTCCGGCACGCGCCCTTCCACATGTGCAGCACATGACACGGCTCGCCGGCAACGTCTTGCCTTGGAACGCCCACTGCGAAAACACAAGTTACTGGAAATCTAGGCTACAAAGGTTGCAGAACTGCAAGCGGCAAACAAGGACAGCAACAGTGCCGCGTGAAAAGCCCTCGAACCATGTCACATGAACGCCCATTTCTCACAAGGGAGTATCAATCCGCGGGCACACGTTTCACAGGTACAGTACCACTTGGTTGCCGTCTTTTTTCATGTGTGTAGCATCCCTCCGCTGTTTAGCAATCCTCTTGAGACACAGCTGGTAGCTGCTGACACCCACCCGCGTACACATGCATACCATGACACGGAGAAAGAAGCCGGCGAGAGAGAGGCAGGTTGGCAGACCGAAATTTAGACAGACTGGAAAACAGATGCACAGCAATTCCGAAGTCAGGCTTTGGCTACATCTATGGCAGCACTGAATGCCATCACAAAGAAATGCGCCTGCTCTCATATGTGTCCGAAGCATTGTCGCGATACAGTAGTAGTATGAATCAAGCCTCAGGCAAGAAAGAGGAGCTGGCCCCGTACTTGAACGATGTGCGCTCGGCCGTCCTCAGCCTCATCACAGACAGCCAAACCAAGAAGGAAGACCCGGACATCTTTCTTCCAGGACTCCGGAGTCTCTAGCTGGCGCTCGCTTCAGTCTGGAGACAGCTGTAGGAGAGTTACGGGGCATTCCGGGGCATTTGGCTTCTGCTCTTAGGTTTTTCAGCTTTCCGAAGCATTGCCGAGACCCACTTTGCCATACGACATGTTGACGTCGTAAGTGTCGTGGCTAGTACATCAGGCTGGCCTCACCGAAGGTCCGCGAAATAGCCTACTTCACTCCTCGAACTAACGGAAGAAAGGCAGCTGTTTTAACATGCTTCTTCCCAGCATGGTTTTTCGCCGCTTCGCAAGCTTGGCGGTAGCGGCAGCTCGGAGGCCTCTGCTGCCGAGATGCGTGGGCCCTGCCCCGGCCGAGCGGCTTCAGACGGACATCGAGTGGCGACGGTTCCGAGCAGCCATGGAGGCAGACCACCCGAGCCTGGGGAACTTGCGCACGGCGGTGAGGTCATGTAGCCTCGTGCAGAAGGTTTACCGTCGTGCCCTGGACGACCTCTTGCAAAATCTCCTAGACGAGGAGGTCCTGACACAGGCTGCAGTGCTTCGGGATGCCGGCCATGAAATCCCTCCGGAAGATCTGTTGTGCCTTATTCCAGCATACCTTCTGACCGGAGAGCTCGGCGAGGAAATCGAGGCAATCGCGTTTGATGTCCGGGTGGCCCAGCAAAAGGCCGAGGCCAAGAGAGAGCTTCTGGTACAGGAGGATAGGAACAGAATGGCAGAAGTAGAAAAGCAAGAGGCAAAGCAGAGACGTCGTCTCTGTCGGTCCACACACGACAAGACCAGACAAGAGATGCACCATCACTATGAAAAGCCATGGTGAGAAGAGCTTTTTAGGGTCTTGGCAAACCAACTCGGGATCGGAGAACTACCTTGGTAACTGCGCAGTCCTGGAAGCACTGGACCTTCCGAAGAACCTTCAGCAAGACGAGCCGTGGACCTGATCAAGCCGAGTGGGGAATTTGTGCCTGGGGCTATCGACAAAGACATGGCCGCGATCAACTTCTTCACCTCCCCGTTGGCGGGAGAGCCAAGGCTGCCAATTGATGGATCCATTGAAGGCAGATAGCGAGGCCAAAAGCAAAGTCGCAGCGCCGCGCTTTTGCAGCATAGCACGAAAGACAGGTCAACACGTTGCAGCAATTGCCAGTGGTGCCAGCTTCAGTTGCACACTCTGGGGATGTGAAAACCGACCAAGAGACAGCAGTGCTTCTTTGCAGGACTTTGTGACCACAAGGGCTTGGAGCCTCTCTACCCCATTTATCAGCATGGGCTGATGTATGGGACTGCTGAAGCTCGAGAGTTGGCAGCAAAAGGCTGGATGTAGGTGACAGTTCGGCGTGGCTATGCTACTACACTACTAGCTACTGACCTGTCCTCGGTAGAAACACGGATTCGCGCGGACCACTGCAGTACCCCTGAGAGGTCTTGGCGAACTCGTCAACCACACAACGGAAAAGGCATTGGCACCCTATGCTGTCAAGATCACAGGCGGGAGGCATGGGCCGAAAGTACCGCCAAGGGCTTCAACATGGGCTGAAATAGCAGGTCCGTTGATCCGCATTGTCGGTGACAAGTTCCCTGGCAATGTCAAGAAGGCGATCGTAGACACTTTGCAGGCCCTCCTTATCCGCGGAGGTGGGATCAACCGAATTCAATCCTGCTCGTAATTTTCAATTCGAGTATTCCGGCCCCGCATGAAGCATGTTTGCCTGTGCTTGCATAGTGAAGTAAGTATCACACCTGATCTTATGCTGCAGGTGAGACACTGAAGCCTTTCCTGCCGCAGCTGCAGACAACCTACGTGAAGTGTCTCACAGACCCGCCAAATTCAGAGGACAGCCTTGCCGTGATGAGAGTGTCAGAGTGACCGCTGCATGAATCTGCATGCGACTCCACAGCAGTCATGCCCACAAAGGCCCTGGAGCTAGGGGGTGGATGTTAGTTTTGCAAAATACAGCAGGCAGTTCGTCGCAAAGCTGCAGAGTCCCTTGGACTTCTGGCACGAAGGCCCGGCAAAAGCTTGCGATGCAAAACAGACACTGAAGACACTTCATTCACTCGCCTGTCGTTTGAAGCTCATGTTTGCTGAAGTCTCCTCGCATCATGACATACCCTGTCATTTGACAGGGCTGCGCGCACCGAGCCACTTATCAATGAGCGCCTTCGTCATGCATTTTTGCAGGAATAGTTGCGTTGCATCGATGAGAATATTGTCGAACATAGCGCAGACGGCGAGGCTGAGCGCTTTCCCCGGCAACTCGGACCCAGCTGCACGAGTTGCACTCGTCGTCGCCCTGGGCGAGGCAATCAAATTCCTTACTGTGAAAGAGCACACTTTCTGCCAAGGGATTACAAGGGATTCTTCTGATGGAAGTTGTGCCGTGACCACGTCGAGAACAGCCGAATGATCCCCCGGCTTCAACCAACTACCTAGTTGCTGCACGACTTGAATGTCCTGGACCAGTTCCTACACCATTGGCCTGTAGACTCTGGCTCTTGTGAATGTTGAAGATTCAGATGCTTCCTAGTTTCCTAGTGGTACTAGCACTAGACTAGCACCTGACTTGTGTTGATGGCAGGTGCTGCTCAATGTGAAGCAAAGTCCAAGTGCGGCCGTCCAGGCGCTCGTGCCGAAAAATGCCGAGAGAAATTTGATGAATCTTATTCCACTTCTTATGTGCAGTTCATGCATGTCTCACTAAACAGCGTGTACTCTTTGCAAAGTGTGGAAGTCACAGCCAGGAAAAGGCCTTGAATGCCGTCGTGTCTCGTGGCTCCACTGCCGACGCTGCAGCTGACGAGCGGCAGGTGCGAGGGCGTAAGCAGCGACATTCATGCTCCTCTTGGTTTGTGCTTCTTCTTGACATTCAGATGCGGTGAAGCCCAAGGCCTGCGGCTGGGCTCTGGGCATCTTGCTGAGGAGGCACATGCCAGCGGAAGAAGCCGTGGAAGCATTTAATGAGAAGGCCGGGGCTGAAATCTGAATGGTGTCTCATTTGCTACACGGCCTCATGCCCTGCCAGTGAAGAGCGTTCGGCAAGGTATCGCCGGCTGTGACCGAGAAGGGTCCCCAGCGCAGCTTTGCTGCTTTCGCATTGGCAGGCCTGAGTTGTCCAGCCGTGTAGGTGAACCTCTCACACCAGAGGACATCATCAGTTCACATAATGAATGTCACTGCGTTTCTGCAGCCGCAGGGATCTGTTGGATACAGCAGCCGAACCTCGCAGAGCCAGCCGACGAGTCCTTGATGAAGCCTGCAGAGACCTCGAAGCAAGATTCCAAAAAAGAAGTCGATGTAACGAAGATTCGAACCAAGGTGCTTCTGGTTCCGCCAGATTTAGTTTTCGCCAGCTGAGGACAATGTGTCGGTGTCCTGCCTGCCACAGCTCTTGAAGGACAAGGATGCCGAGGTCGGGCAACCTGATAAAGCTTTATTTTGAAGACTTGCGCGAGCTTCAAAGCAGGTCCAGGCTGCCGGACTGGCGTTGGCCGCCAGTTTGGCGAAGTTGCACGCGCAGCGACTTTGTAGCAGTCTGGTACCGAAGTGTTACGTGTTGCTTGCAGCGATGTCGCATCAACTCGCAGATAGTGGCACTTGGAAGATCTTGCAAGATTGGATCTTGCATTGTCCCCTCGACGTCTTTTCCGAGGAGCTCTGGATCTTTGAGCTTTGACCCGCTGAAAGCAGCAGCGGAACGCATCGCCGTGCTGGTCGGTTCAGGTGGCTTGGCTTGGCTTGGCTCTTGGGGCAGATGTTTTTTGTGGTTCGGCTTCAACTTTGTATGTTGCTGTCTGTGTCAATCGGAAAGATGCCGCCCACGGCATGCACGCTCAGGCGATGCGGCTGTCCCGGGCCGATTGCCCGTCCTGGCTGCACGTCACTTCCTGGCAGCCTGCACGCTTGAGGTGCGGCCCGGCACCTGAAATCCGTTCGGGGGGTTGTAGCATCCATTGACACCCTGATCAAAGATCGCTTTGTAAGCGGCCGACAGGCGAAAGGAGTCTCCGTGAGTGTCGCTGCTGCGCAAGTGGCTGCAGCTGTGGCACAGCGCAGTGCTGCCTGGGAGGCCACGGCCCCGTTCACCCCCAGGTCCTAGCGCAACTTAGCCAATCGAGAATTGAAATTGCGTGAGGATGCAGAGGACGGCGAACGTGCTTTGGCGGCTGCTTTGCCGGCCGAGAGCCGCAACGAGGTGTGCCATGGCGTGCTTGATACAGCCCGCACACTTGGGCAAAGTGGACGCGTCACGCTTTGTGGCCAGGAGGGCGCGAAGGCAGCACTGGAGAAGTTGGCAGGATGCCTTGATGGCAAGGCTGGCGCCATTCGTGCAAGGTTTGTGGCTTCTGGAAAGCTGAGCTACGCCAGGTTACATTTCATGCTTTCTTCGTCTTTATCCAGAGCCACACAATGCCACTGCTGTGCAGACAATCTTTCCACTGGTCAGCCCTGAGGCATCGCAGGCGTTGAAGACCTTCGGAGCCGCAAGAATACGACGCCTGGCCAACTTGTAAACGGCTCGTCCCAAGACCTCCTCCACGCAATGTCATAGATAGTCCCATGACACTGCTGCTGCAAGGAAGCCTGTCGTTCTTCACTGGTTGCAGCGACTTCGCCTGGGACCTGTGAAGGGGACAGTGTGATCTAAATAGCCGTTTGCCGAAGAACGTGCATCTCGGGCAAGCGGGGCGCACAAGCAAGAAGTCTTGCAATGGCGCACCGACCTTGCAACGGCGAGTCAGGACGCATAGCACTCAGAAGTGCCGCACGAGGTGGCACGTCTTTAGCCAATACAGCTTGTTCCATCATCAGTGGATAGACTGCTTTTTGAGCCACAGCCAGCCGTAAGCGAGCTGCTCGTGCTGTTCAAGGCGGCTTGATTTAGCACTGTCCTTAGCCGTGAGACGATGCACGGTGCAAGCTTGCGGATGCCAAAACAACTCCTGATCCCATGCAATCATGCCGCGAGGATGCCACATGCTAACACGCCCGCAGCTATGCAGCTGGATGTTGTGCTCGGGCACGGACGGAACACGACCACACAGCCGTTGGTGGAAAGCCGTTTCGCATTGTAAACTTCGAAGTGAGTCGCAGGCTGCCCGATTCCTCGCCGCCGTGGTGGACTGCGTGATTGTCCACGCTTGCACCGGGCTCCAGGACTTTCGACCTTCCCATGCTTTCTTGAGTAGGCACCCACACACTCACAAGCTCGGTTGTGGCATGTGAGCTTTTCACATCCCGCAGGATGTTCCTGCCGAGTTCGTGGCCGGCAGCTCAGTTTCCTCCTGGACTAGGCCCTAAATGGAGCTCCAAAAAGACTCAGGGGCTGCACAACGCCAGAGGTCATGGGTAGCGTGCCGACTCGTTTTCGCATTGACCAGCCATGACCTTCCAAAAACATCGCAAGAAAGGAGAGCATGTAGTTGGTACAGGAAATGCATGTATTCTACCGAAGATGAATAGCCAAAAGTCGTACAGGCAGAAGAGCACCGGAAGAATGACGATAGACAGCAAGCGCGGAGGAAGGACCATCCATGCCATCAGCACCAGGCTCTGAAACCGGAAGGCGACGAATAGTTGACCAGACCAGGATACTTAAAGGATCATGGGACTTAGTAACTAGGGTTATAATTAGGGTAACTATACTTATAACCCCAACTAAGGTACTTATAACCTTACTTACTAAGTCCTATGATCCTCCAAGTGGGGGCAGAAGGGGAGCTCCCTGTGAAAAACAAACATAATTCCCATATTCCTGAAGAGTCCTCCCCAAGGCACCCCCCATCCCTTCATCAGACGCAGGTCTCGTAGTGCCAGTCTGCGGCCTTCAGGGGCTTAGCTTTGCTTTCTCTACGGTTTTTCGGATTTTGCTTCATTGTCTCCTGCACGTAACCTCTTGGACTCTTTCGGCTGTCAGTGATTCTATTCCGCCTGCACAGCAACAGTAGATCAGTAGGCGCTCATGGCTTGCAATCCTCGTCGTAGTTTGATCTGTGGGCAAACGACCACGAGGAGCTGAGTCGGAACTTTGATGGATCATCCTGAGAGATCTGCCATAGTAAGACTGCCGTGAAGCATCACTCAGGAGAGCGTCTCACCTTACCCAAACTTTCCGTGCCAGCAGCAGAACAAGTCAACAGCCAGGGGTGGGCAAAGATGTTTCAAACCATGGAAAACTCAGCGAAAGCAGCCTCAGAAACCGAGAACTCTTCGCAGCCTCGCTCCATGGCACTGGCTCCGCCTTCGCTTCTGGTCCTCCGCTTCGAGCACCCGGTCTCCGGATGTTCCAGAGTTCGCACTGAAACCACCGGGGTCCGTTCCCCTCTTGCAGCTTGTCCCTTCCTGTGCAGTGGGCTCCTGGGCCTGAGCACTTGCCAGAGATGGCTGAGAGCTGCCCGGTGTCAGGCTCGAGCCAGGGACGACACGAAGACATGTCACCGCCGGAGAGGGAGACGCCATGCCGCTGCCAGCATTGCGTTTTGGGCAGCAGCACCGCTCCGGCCTGCAACAGCAGAGTCTCAGAGCCGTCAGGGTGAGCTGGTGACGGTCAGAGACCCGGAGACTTACAGTGCCTTGGCCTACAGCCCACGGGATGTCAAAGGGCCGCTGCCACTGCTGGTGGTCCTGCCTGGTGCGGGCCGCAATGACAAAGATGCGACCGACCTTGCAAACATCCGTGGGGAGCATGGTGGCCTGGTTCCGAGCCTCATCGCCCAGGGCATCGCACCAGCGGATCTGACAGAGAACTTCGCTGTCCTAGCGCCTTATGCTGCCGGCAAGAAAAGCTTCTACGAAGAACCACGCAAGAAGATGCTTCAATTCATCGCTTGGGCTTGCAGTGACGCGGGAAGAGCTGCAGGTGTGCCAGCTGTGGACCCGAAGCGGCTCTTTCTGTTTGGCTTCAGTGATGGAGCTACTGAAGTCATGGAGTTGGCTAGCACACGGCGCTTTGCAGGCTGCGTTGTAGCTGCCTATGGCTTCACTGGCGAGCTGCCACGTTTAGCTCTGGAGCGGCTGAAGGACATTCCCGTTTGGGTTTTCCACTCTGCCGATGACGTCATTTTTCCAGTGAGCTGCAGCGACAAGCTGGTGAAGCGTCTCAAGGAGACAAACTCTCGCGATGTGGTGCGATACACGCGATATGACAAAGACCAGGAGGGTTTCACGGGTTCTGTGCGTGGCCACAGCACAGGGATCACAGCCTCCCGGCAACCGGATCTCTATCGCTGGCTCCTGCAGTTGACGCCACTGGATTGACTAGCGCTTCGGGCTACCTTTCTGCCCTATCCGACTCGGTCAGGCACATGGATGTGGTGGACACAAATTGACGAGAGTATTACGTCCACCGTCTCTTCTACCATTGCGAGAAAACTATACTACTAGCGCCACAACCACGATAACCGCGAAGACGACGACGATGACTACTACTACTACTACTACTACTACTACTACTACTACTACTACTACTACTACTACTAGTGATAGGATGTTCCGGATCGACGGGGTCGGCTTGTCCTGTGTGGCCTTAACTTCGGTGTTGGGTTGTTTTTCAGTGGTTGATCCCGTCGTGACTTGTTGACTTTAAGTCCCCGCAGAGCTGCCACAGGTGTGCCAGGTGGGTGACAAAAAAACTACTACTACTACTACTACTACTACTACTACTACTACTACTACTACTACTACTACTACTACTTCTACTACTACTACGACGACGACTACGACGACTACTACTACTACTTCTACTACTACTACTACGACGACGACGACGGCGACTACTACTACTACTACTACTGCTACTACTACTACTACTACTACTACTAACACTACTACTACTACTACTACTACTACTACTACTACTACTACTACTACTACTACTACTACTACTACTACTACTACTACTACTACTACTACTACCACAAGGAGCACTGCAACTTCTACGGCTCCTGCTATGCAGCACTACCCATGCCAACTAGGTACACCAAGTACTGGTGCATACCATTAGCTATATTAATTAAAGCTGAATACGTCTGCTTCCAGCACCGCTACGGCTACAGCTACTGCTGCCGTCAGCCACTGCTACTAGTAATAGTACTAGTACTACTTGTAGTACAATTACGACTATGACTACGACTGCGACTACGACTCCGGCTCCGACTACGACTGCTGCTGCTGCTGCTACTACTACTACTACTACTGCTGCCTCTGCTGTCCTGCTACTACTGCCCTACTCCGTTATATACCTTACGACTACGACCATGACGACCAGTGTCATGGTGGTCATTGCTACACTTGTGATTTTTTTGCAGTTTTTCGCCGTAAGAAATGTAAGAACCAGAACGTCGTGCCCACCCGACCCCATCACACCACGTCCTTCCGGGCCTACATGCTCGCATGCGAAATGCCCAGGGAGTTGTAACAAGTAATCGTTGGGAAGTTGGTGTCCATTAGTCGGACTGATCGGACTGTGTATTTGCAGGAGGTACGTGCATCAGGAGTGGTGCAATGCGCAACAACTTAACCTTTTGCTGAGGATGAGGCTGCCAAACTGCCGGGAGAGCCACAGCCATAGTGCTTGTGTGAACAACTTCCAGAGGAGTATCTCAGTGACCAAGTGTTTCAGGTCTGGGCTGTTTGGGGACCTCGATCGAAACGAGACCAAAGATCTCAGATGGGTGCTGGACTATTGGCAGCGCACCCAGAGGAATTGGATGGATGGCTTTCGCAGGCTGAGATCGGCTTTCCGCCCTGAGGCGATCCAAAGAGCCCGGACGCTTCGAGGAGTTCGCTTCTCTCTACTACGGCCGCTTGCTTACCGGTCTCCGTGCGTGGCACGACGCGATCTCCATGAATGGTTTTTGCATTCGGCAGTGCAGACAGGGACGAACTCTTGACAGAAGCTGTCGGCAGAAGGCTACTTCCTGGCCGTCATTGCTGACCAGCTCAAGGCATGAAAGTGTGTCAATGTGTCTTTGGCCCATCATGAACATAATGTCATAAGGCTCAGCAGCAGATCTCAACTGAATAGATCTTCCCCTGTCTCCCTGCATTGTCAAGCTGAGAGCTCCAGCTCTAGCAGTAAGCACGCCAGCAGATGCTTGTAAAGCCATGACTGGCTCCAGCTTTGAGGTAGGCGATCGGTTCTCTGAGGGTGGCATACATTACTCAAGTTGGAAAGATCGTGTTTGTTCGCAGTTCTGGCTATGCCGGCCGTGACTATGCCGGATATCCCATCTGCAATGCACCCTCTCTGGGACGTGATTTCGGAGGAGACTTTGCCGCAGGATAGGAACAGAGGAGCACATGTGGCATACGTGGCAGCCCTTCTCCCAGGAGTGCAGTGCCTCATGCCTCACACTTCTCGAGCCGCAGCTTGCCTTTAGAAATCGGCCGACGCCTCTCGCAGCGACTCGTCGGCTGTACACGCCACTTTACTCTTCTCTGCCGCTGTAGGCACGTTGGAGTCTTTGTGCGGACCGCAGACATTGCGGGACAGCAACTTGGCCGACAGACTGTATATTTAAAAATGCGGGCACGGCGTCTGTCGTGGCTTTAGGTGTCATGTTGCCATTCAATCCTTCGTTCGGTGCGAAACTATACCGCACACTGAGGACCTCCTTAGCAGTATGAAAGTCGGGATTTGAAGGATGCTTTGCACTGACTTTGCACCCTGAACTTCTGAACTTCACTTGAGAAGAGCAGGCAGCCGCGTGGGCTTCCTGCAGGTTAAGTGAGCCAAATCTGAATCTATGGATCCGCAGGAAAACCTTTGGTGCACTAGTGCCCAAGCATTCCGAGCAACAAATACGTTAGATTTGGAACAGGCAGGGCATGGAGAAGTTGCGCGCCTTTCTTCGCTGCTTGGGTGCCTCGGCACAGACGCGAAAGGTGTGCAACCGTCTTCGGAGCATTCACCGGGGCATTAAGAATTGGTGGCTCTATGGTCTTCCGCTGGTTCTGTTGGTGTTTGATGTAGCTCCGAGTGGTCGCTACTTGTAGCTGATCAGAACCATGGATTATGTGGAGCAAGGTCCACTGCGTGCGAGTTGCGAGAGTCGAAGCATGAAGAGCAACACAAAGGGGAGGCGCCCAACTTTAAGACATGTGCAAAGACGTTCAAAAACGTTCAACCTTGGTTTTCTCGAGGAGACCGTCAAAACAAAGCTTGCCCTCAATCTTGCCGCCATGTGCAGTCGGAGACATCCGGAAACAGCCCGTTTTGGTGCATCTAAAGCCAGTGCGACACGGTGCAATCCCTTCAGGTGGATTGCACAACCGCGCTGAGCATGCAGAACGTGCAGCGCGTCACTGGCAGAGTTTATGGGAAGAGTCTTTTCGCAACTTAGGCTCAATGTTATTGGGCCTAGAGCCTAGAGCTTAGGCTTTCGATCTGGTGCCTGTGCTTTCACAGCCCAGGCAAGATCTTGGACGTGCGCCGGACAGCAGACAGTTCCAGTCTTGGCAGCTTGCATGTAGTTGGATTTATGTGGCTGCCTGATCTGTCTAGTCACCACGCGAAACATTAGACTTTCGGATGTCTCGGGTAGCGGCTGAGATGGGATACGAAACGTGAGTTGTTCTCCTGACATGGTTGCATCCTTAAAGAGTCTTAAAGGTGGCATCGTGTCTGAGTAGTGAGCTTTCACGACCAGTTGCAGACATGGAGGTTAAGATCTTCGAGTTGAGCATGCCAAGTCTGTCGGGCTGCGAGTTTGGGATTCCAACGCGTTGTTCTGGTTGTATCAAGGTGGACCATCGCTTGCTGCGCGAAGCTTCAATCAAACAACGTGCTTATTTGGAAAATATCTTGGGAGCTGTCATCCGCGACATTCAAGGCTTCCCTGTGACCTTTGCGACCGATGAAATCAAGCTCTTTCAGTCGTTCATTATCAAGAAGTAACAATGCCCCAGAAGATGAATTGCGTGTAGCAGCAACGAACTTGCAGAAAGGTTTAGCCTGTAGCCAGATATTTCTTCTCATGAGCTGAGGCCATGAAGTGCAGGTTTCTGATCTTCTCACAGCCCTGAGCAGCACCAACCGCGAGCGACAGAGACTGGCCAAAGAGCTGGAGAGCATGCAGCGAACCTTCCAGGCCGGGTGTCGGGCCCCTGGAGCCTTGCGGGACTTCCTGAGAAACCTCCAAGACCTTCCCGGCACTGCGAGCACTGTGAGAGGGCCGCGTAAGATCTTGCCCTTGTCTGCCGCTGCAGTCCGCGACGGACACACAACTTTGGCATCGATACGGCCAAGAGCTCCAACTCAGGCGCCCCTCCTGAGAGTACAGTGCAACGACTGCAAGCACGATTGAGCCAAATATGTGCCCTCAATGCGAACTTGGCTGCAGGCAGCTGTGGGGTGCTACTTCCGAGCAGTTCAGTCACTGTGCACCTTTTCTCAATCTGGTTCGGGGCTGCGTGCTGGATCGTGCTGGTGATTCCATCGGTTCAGATTCTTTTGCGGGTTCTGGGACCCTAAGACATGGGACCGTTTGTTTCTGCAGCGCGAACCTGCCTGATTTGCGCGGTGCTACAAGGCATGTCGGTCTGGTTTCAGTGGAACTATAGAGACTTTTGCCCCGTTCCACGGTTGCACGTCGGCTCGCTACCACAGCGGGTCAGGGGTCCGTGTGGTGTAAGGAGACTGCGTACATTGCTGCACGTAATCCAGGCCTGATATGGTCAGTGTTGTTCCCCAATCTTTGTTTGGTGTGTTAGGGATGTGTTTATCTGCAGGGCCATGACGTTGCTTTCCTTCGGGTTCCCACCTGTGCAACACCGCTGCGGTCCAGACCTAGGCACTTAGTATGGCCTCGTCTGTCTGGTTCTATAGTAGGGAATGGGGGAATGGATCCTTATAGTAGTCCCTACATCATCCCCAATAATAGTCTCCATAATCCATTCCCTACGAAGAACCAGACGGTCGTCATAGTCTGAGCCCAATTTCCATCTCGAGGCGATGCTTCAGCGGCAGCTGGCTGCCGAAGCGGCCGTCACCAAGCAGCTCCGCAGGGAGCTTCTTGAGGCCAGCCTTACCTTTGGTTAGTAGGGAATGGTAGGGTTCCCTTTAAGGGGGCCTATAAGGGTTACTATAAGGGATCTATACTTACCTTTAGTTAGTAGGGAATGGAGGAACGGGGTACAATTATATATGTAACTACTATTACTACTATTCTCCCATTCCCTACTAACCAAAGGTATGCAGCTCGCAGCTCAGAGCCATGAAGAGAAGCATAGTTGCTCTGCAAGGAGAATACTCTACAAGAAAGTCGCTGGACACCCGCTTTAGTCATTGTCGTAGCTGCTATACTGCCGCTTATATAGTGACCTTTGCAGCAGTCGAAGGTTCAACTTCATCCTGACCAGGCGCAGCAAAACCACAGCATGGCCGAAGCCAAGCATGGCGATGCGGACGCACGTGCCAAAGAAGCCGACGGGGCCTCAAAAGGTATTCGTGTTGCAGCAGGGGAGCTGGTTTGTCGCAGCCGGCTTTTGCGTGATGCGCTGCCCCCTTACAAGGAGCGCTACGCACAAGGAGCAAAGGACTTTGTCCACAAGCAGGCCGAATCGCTGCACCGATAAACTTCCCCGCTCAAATACACACGATTATAGGAATAGCAAACTTGGTCCTTTGATGCCTGGAAGCGGCTGGCGGGTCCGAGCCTATCGTTGCAGTCTTCTTTGTTAGGTGGCATTTGTCATTTCCCTGTGCTTATCTAGCACCCGTCCCGTCCCCACACTCCAAGCCAGAACAAAGGCATATCAACCACTGCTGTGGGGTAGACGATGTTGCAATTTGCAATGAGGTCGACGATGCACTGAACTCGCAGTGGAACCAGTTCCAGGAAGAGCTGGAGTTGGAAAGGAAGGGCTGGCGGAAGGATGCGGCCGAAGCTATTCCATTGCCCTTGGCAAGAGAGGTGCACTGACTTTGCCACATGGTGCGTTACATGCAGGGAGAGAGACCACCCTCAGTTTGTGAGGGTTTGGGATGGGGAACTTACAGCACCCGACGAGGGGAAGGCCTGGGATGGTTGGCGGTGAATTTTCAGAACCGACCATGCTGTATCATTGCACATCCAGGACATACATATACGGCTCCACTTGTCCTGCCAATCTATTTTGGGGTGTGTAAACGTCCGCCAATCTACATACCACACCAGACCCTGGAAAAGTTGAAGTATGGTGGTTGCTCACAGGCCGCCCGCTAAACTTGGTATGCGACAAGCGCGCCTATGGGAGGAGCCGCACACAGATTGAAGGCAGTCCCCTCTCATGCGGCACTGCATGCTCGTTGTAGGACATGTGCTGTGGTGAGCTGTCGGACAGGCCGTTTCTCTTAGAAAGTGGAGTGCGGATAGGATAGTGAAGTTCAGAAAGTTATTTTCTTTAGATTACACAGAGGTTGGGCCGCATGCTCCGTCATGAAAGGGGTGAAGCTGCAAGCTTCAGAACTGGCATCCTGAGCCCCGCACACAACTTGCATGAGACAGCTGTGCTGCAGACTCATGGGGTGCGCCACAGAGATGGCGCGACTGTCCCAGAACTGACACATTTGAACCACCAAATTCTATTTTACACATCGCGACGTACTGCTCACCATTTCTGAGGAAAGCATGCCATGGGCGCCGTTTTGGAATTGCTATGACCTTGAAAATGTTGAGCCTAACATAGAGACTTTGGGGTGCAACAAGTTTGACCTTCCTGCTTGCCTCATGTTTGAGGTTGCACTTGAGGGATTCAATCTGTGCGCTCGCGGAGGCCCAACAACCTCAACACTTTAATCCCTAATCCAAAGCAAACCAAAGCAAATTCGTTATGTTGTATGTTTTGACTTAAATTCGACTCGACATCTCTGAGGGGCACGAGATGCGCAAATTCAGCCTTGGGAGTCACTGGAAACCTTGCAGAGGTGCTGGCTGCCTACTCGGACCTTTGGCGCTGCACCTCTGGCCAGGCAGGACCAAGAGATATGACCTAACAGACACATGTCTCATGTCGCAGACAGACTTGTGCAAGCCAAGAAGGTCCCTGGCCGGCACAGAGCCCAGGCGGAACGAGCATTGAGGCACCCGTGGAATTATTGCTGCTTACCCTACCAGCGTGGCTCCCACAGCCAGGCGTCTTCGGGATCTTGATGCCTACGCCGTGCTGCTTCCGCCCCAGGATGAGATACTGCAGGACTGGGATCCGCTTGTATCAGCAAGGCTTGTTGCATCATTATCACGAGGGAAGTTTCACCACATTTCGGCAAGGTCAGCGGTTAGCCTCTGCCAATGTCAGCACAGTGGGGCGTGCTAGTTGGGAATTGTTGCATTCACTCAGCAACAGCATGAGTGTGACGACAATAAGTTTCCAATTGCTAGTTCAACAGATTTGAAGTCAGTTTTGATTAGTGGAGGGATTGGATTTACGGGGTCAAACCAACAAAGCCACCAAGCAAACCACATACACACCTCCATTTACAAGCCTTTTGATGGACGTTGCCGTGCGCCAAACATTGCCTGGTCGTGGCATGTTCACTCCTTCTGGCAGAGTGCCCTCCGGCAGCCATCTCTAGTGTGGATGCTTAGATCACGAGCAGCACGAAGCATGCAGCTCTAGTTTCTCAGCCATGTTTGCCAGGAGCCTCTGCGGCGGGCGGTCGGTGAGGCCGACGCAAAAAGTATGGCAGAGGCTGGTCTCCTAATCATGCTACCGCCGGAGATACGGACAATGACCACCTTGAGTCATCACCATATGTCATCAGATACCATATATATATCATCATGGTGATCTGCACCACATGCATCATCTCAGTCATCATGACATCACCACGGCCCCAACCGAGAAAACGTGACAGAGTCTCTAGTACAGAGTGCCCGCAGCCGCTCGTTGCCTATTAGCTTCATGTGGACATCTGGAAGAAGCGATACTGAAGCCTTAAGAGATAAAATTCCCACAGTGGTGAACGACGTCAAGGTGCCCCCAGCCCTAATGAAGGCCCGAATGATTGGTGTTCTCGGCGGAGTGTTGCGGAGGCCCTGGTGGAAGAGCTGCAGCAGTGTCACACGCCTGCTCAAAAGCACCTTCTCCGCAGTCCATCCTCAACTGCAGACAAAAATTGAGTCGCACCTTCGTACGCTTGAACTTGGAATAATGATCGTCGCTCACAGGTCGAAGAACGACTTGAGCGGCTGGGGCGCAACATCGACGAAAAGCTCGCACCCGCGAAGTCACGTGCCAGCTGGCTGGGAATCTGTATGGTGTCGAAGAGGGATAGAGAAAGACTGTTGACGTGGCAAGCTCGAATCACTAGAGAGTCGAACCAGAGCAGTTGTCTGATGGTGTGTGTCTGTGTGTGTGTGTGTAGAGATCTGCCGTACGCACATTCCTCGCCAGCCCCTCCTCGCTGTATTTTCCGTGCGCTGAGGCCACTGCGTGCCCGGACAATGATTATGGCCTCCGAGAATCGGTAGCCATGCGTCAAGAGCACCAAAGCTGTGCTCGGGCCAAAGACCCCTCTCTCTGCACTGGAAAAGGAGGAGAGTAGCAGAGCAATCAGCAGTAGCAGACATCCAAAAGAGAGCCTGGGCCCGGGCCTTCGCGGCCGAAAGCGATGGAAGGCCGGGGCTGCCCGAGTCCGTGGATCTCCGCGGCTGCAACGGCCTCGAAGTCCTTGCTGTCAAGAGCCATAAACATCATACATGTTGGCACGACACTGATACTAGTAGAATCACGGGACAAGGCTCGCCCTGTGTTCTGAGAACCATCACCGTGATGAGCGACACGAACATCGTGCCTCTACTTGCGATTTACAACCTCACCAAAGCCGCGTCAAGGACTCCGGGCTCGGGGGCTACATTATAGCAGCTATATGCTGTAAAGCGAGTGAGAATCTTCTTTCGGGTACAAAGCTACACCATTTGTGGGAGGCGGCCTCCTTATCTCTCAGCACTTATCCATGAGCTGCCAGGGGCTCAACCTTTCCGGCTTTGACATCGTCGCTGTTTTGTGACCTGACATTGACCCAATTCAAGGTACCGACACAAACAGACTCGCAAATTGTTCATTCGAGCTCGGCCGCTGAGTTGTTTTCCGCTCTTGCATCGTGAGAAGGACGGGCAAGTGGCAAGTAAGCAAGTAAGTGCGTTTCAGGTCCTCTACAACGGAGAAGTTCAAAAGGCCCTGGGACCCAGAAACAGTAACAAAGGGATCAAGCCATTCGGTGAGATCACCTCGAGGTTTGCCACGGGCATGGTATGGGCTTGCTCTGTCCTCTTGAAAAGCGACTTGGCTCAACACAGGCACGTGTTTGCTATCCACCTCTCTAGCACTAAGCTGCCTGCATAGGTGGGAGGAACTGGTGGCAAGATTCACACCATCTCCAGAGTTGGCCTCTCAGAGCAAGTTGTTGCTCGGAGATTGAATCGCGCTGGCTGGCCAGGGCATGTCCTGTCCTTTACGCTGCATACGACTTCCGAGCTCCCAGGCCGCTCCTGCTTTTAACGAACATGCACAAACCATGCAGCACTCTTCGGTACAGGCAGCACGCTGCAACACCAAGACAGGTTTGCAAACACCAGCCCCGAGCCGTAAGCAGTCGCAGATCTAGGAGTGCTGAGATTGAAGTTGCTTTCAGATGCGGCCCGCAGAAACCTAAGAAGCAGGCAACTTTTCGCGGATAGTGCAGGAAGGAGACGATGCCGTCGTGGCACAGCTGGCCACAGGAAGTTTGGCAATGGCTTCGACAGAGAGCCCACCAAGCTGGCTCGGATCTTCCCTCAGAGGAATACGCTTGCGCTTGCTTCCGGAGATTCCACTTTTGGCCAACGTCCCAAACGACCCATGCCACATGCTTAAGGGTTGGGCATCTTTCCAGCTCGTGCGCTGTGAAGATCGTTGACGCAAGTGAAGTGTTTGCCGCAGCCACTGCGAGCTCAGGTGTTGCAGCAGCACGGGATTGATAATCAGGCCGAAGTCTGAGATGCCTGACGGTCCAGTATGACATGTTCGGCATGGTTGGGGCTTGCTCGCTGTTCCATGTGCTGCTGTTCGGCTTCGAGCTTCCAGCAAGAACCCCAAAGCTTTGCAACCTCTTGGACCTTCCTTTCCTTCACTCAGTCAGTATACTCATGCATGCACTATACTGGCTAGCTTGGCTTGCTAGCTTGTGCAATAGCAATAAACAGCAAGGCATGAGCTCCAAAGTCACAAGTCGGCACAAGTCACAAATGCGACAGCGAGTGCTATGGCTTCAGCTGCGGCGGTCTGTCGAACATGGGCGTCAGCAGCCTCCTCGGACTCGGGCATTTGAACTGTAACTGCTGTTGTTTCAGCCTAGTGGATGAGATCATATATATGAATCATATGTATGTTTCTACGAAGCAGGTCGACAATCATGACTGCTGCCGACCGCCGCAGAACTGGTCAGCCGTTGCATCTTCAGCCTTGCCATCCAGGTGCGCGCATATGGCCGCAGAATGCTTGAGGACATCTGCGACACTGCCTGGAGGCCAGGGAGACGTCACAGAATTGGTTGGCGAGGTCAGTAGCGAGGTCATCTGATGCAAGCCGTTCTGGCCGGCTCTGCCTGCTCCTGCGGATGAATTCTCAACCTCTGGACAAGCAGAGGCGCCGGGCCATGGACCCGCATCCTCAGTTTCCCGAAGAGGCACATGTTCGCGACGAACATGCTGTACCTTGGACGCATGATGCAGTAACTCCACCAAGAACTACTGTATCAGCCTGAGACTGTGGAAGTATGCCAGGCGGTTCAAAAATGTTCAGAATGCCTGATGTAATGCAACAATGCATGGGCATGTTTCCCTCTGGGAGGCTTGTGGATCAAAGATGACGACAGACGAAGCTACATATAGTGGAGTTTAAGAACGCTTCTGGAGTGGCATCCGTCGGCATGTACCCCAAATATGGACGCACGACTGCAGAGCACGGCAGCATATAAAGTTGAGTCAGAATATCGACCACTTTAGCTGTAGCAGAACTCTATTAACTCGCGGCATGGAGTGTGCGGCTCGGCCAAAAAGCCAATGAGCTGGCAGGGTGGCGTTGTGGCATCCTTCTTAGGTTCCTTTACAGGAACGTTGGGGACGCAGCTGAGGATCAGCTCCCTGACACAAGAAGTCACAACCAGAGCTCAATTGCTGGCGGTTTGTGGCTGGGGATTTTGGGGATTTGGACAGCTCTTGGGGCAGGTGGCAATTCTCCTAGCACCCGCATCTTTGACAGCTTCTGTGAATTTCAGTGGCTCGCTTTTAAGTAATGCAGTGTTGGCACCTTTTGTCCTCAACGAAAGACTCACTAAATTACACTGGTTAAGCGTGCTGCTGCTCGTGGTCGGCAGTGGGATGGTGACGTCGTCCTCCAGCCATGCAGACCAGAAGTATTCTTACCTGCAACTTTGCCAACTCGCACATCGACCGACCTTTCTCACCTGTGCCGTCGCTTTCGCTCTATTGTCTTTGCTTCTGCTCGGCCACGCGCTGAGGAGGCGGACATTGGAGCTCCTTAGCTTTGCCTACCTCTTTGCACTCATCGGTGCCATCGACCTCTTGGTCACGAAGTTCACCTTGCAGCTGCTGCGCCTGGTGGTCGTCGGCAAACGGGATGCACCTGCCGAGGGGGTCGTGACATTCTTCACAGCCATGACCTTGACGTTGCATGTTGGCGTTTTCGGTTGCCAAGTGGCTGCTGCATATTACAGGAAGGCCCTGACAAGTCTACCCTTGTTTCTTGGGAGTGGTGCTCTCATGCAAGTGATCGTGTGTGGCACTTTTTTCGACGAGTTTCACAACTTCGGACTGAACCAGCAGCTGCTCTCCTTCGGCAGCGGTTTGCTTCTGGTCATGACGGGTATGATATGCACGAGTGTGGCAACCAGCAGTTTTCGGGAAGAGGTGCCAGCATCAGCACCAACCACACCGGAAATCCCGGACGTGGAAGCAGGCAAGGGCACCGTGGCCGTCCAAGAGGCGCAGAGGCCTCGAACGCCAAGTGCAAGCCCGAGCTCCCATCGGCGGTCGGCCGTTATTACTTCTGGCCTTTTGGAAAGGAGTAGCTCTTCCATGTCCTCTGCTGATCTCCTTCTGCTGGGCGACATCCAACGAAGTGCTTTGTGCTTCGGGGGGCGTTATGCCGTTGGAAGAGTCACAACTTCGAAGATCAGCTTGCACCGCCGTTTTGCTTCTGACAACTTCCTCCTGATGCCGCTCGCATCGCACCAGGATCCGGACATCAAGGAAGGAAGCTCGGCGATGTCTCTGGTAGGATCTACTGTAGGGACATGAAACACTGAGACTCACTAAGAGGAGTCCAGAGTCTGAAGTAGGGACCTGGTGACCTCCCACTTGCAGGTAGTGACTAGTGCTGAGGACGGCTTGGTCGAGCCGCCAGCGCACCTCCAGGCACGGAGCCTATGGACGTCGGGATCCTCGGCTTGCGCCGAGAAGCATCGAGCTGACACGGTTCAGCACAGATACACGCTCCGACGGCCAAAGCTTGAGATCCAGCTTCTTGTGATTAGGATGGAATTTGTGGTCTCAGACTTCACGCTGGCTCTTTTCAAGGCAAGCACGAAGTCCGGCTGCTTGATTCGACAACTGAAACGGTTGGCCAGAGACCCATTGCTAGTTTTGTTAGTTGCGCGATCTATTTCTATCCGACGTAAGCTATGGAGGGGAAAACGGCAAGACGAGTCCAAACAGGAACGCGAGAGCTTGCTGAAAAGGTGCGTTTCAGTGTGCCAGTGCCCGGAAATGAAGTGCAACTGACTAGCACCTGTGAGTCTGGAAGGGGTTGACTCTCAGCGGTTCCCGGTGCCGCCAGCCTGCCTCCCCTGGTGTTTGCTGAGGATTTGCTTTCTTTGCTGCTACCTTGTCATGTCCTGTGTCGCACATGGCGGCAGCGCCTTTTTGCGTCGGGCAAAAGGACCATGCCGTAATGTGCTTCTCCAAGAGCCAATATGAGCCAATGCATCCAAGATCTTACCGCATAAGGTGTGCCTTTTGGTTGAGCCAGGGATTCCGCTTTCTGTAGTAGTTGCGTACGTGACAGTTGAATGGGCCGTCTGCTGTGAGTGGGGGTCGGTTGGATGCCTTCGCACGCCGAGGGTGTCTGCTACGTTGACGCCAGCATCTGACCTGTTCGTGCAGAAGCAGCATGGTGCACCGATAGACACATGCCGCTTGCAAGGCGGGCACAGGGAGCCTCAAGTACCGTAATTTTGGATGTTGCCTGCATTTGCCAGCGTTCCAGTCAGAGTCCTGTTTAGACTGTTTCGATTTCTTGTGAGGCTTCTTTATGCTTGGTGTCGTGCAGGGCGTGACATCATGGCTTGTATATGTCAGCCTGTTCACGCGGTGCTTTCCGCTCGCAACATGGCCGCAGACGGTGTCTGTCCGCTCGTGAATCAACGTGGCAGGAGATGAGCAAGACTGTGTTACCGTCAAGCAGCATTGGGCGATCAAACGGCCGGCCAGTGAGAGAGCGAGGAGAGGGGCATGAGGCAAATCTCGGCGGGCAACAGAAAGCGGGATTTTCGTGGACTTTGGGCGTGGTGCATCTGATCGCCCGCCCATGAGATAACCCTGTGCGGGTGCTGGGCCCGTAGAGGCAAAGGCCTGCAGAAAGCGAATGCGAACTGTCACGCGAGATATCGAAGTTGGGGCAATGAGAGAAAGAGTGAGACGTCCAATACATCGCAGACAGCAGCTGTACTGCAGCATCCCGATGCATTAACTGATGCTTGTTGAATCGAGCCGCTATGCGGGTACGCTACATGTTGCAGGCAACGCGATTGGTTAACTTACCTCTCAAAGACAAGTTCAAGGTCCACGGCAGTTAGAGCGGACATCATGCATCGTGCAGTTTCGCTGTAACAATGCACAGAATGATGCGGAATGCTTTTGACAAATACTGACGACGGAGCAGGATTGGCCTGGGCTACGGCAGCTGTGTTTCCAGATTGCTTTCGATCTGGCCGTGTATGCTACTCGGCTGAAGGACCGGCGGACAAAGACAGACATAGGTGTCGTGGCAATGCCGCATGTATGACTCAATCAGCAGATCTCAGCCTGTAGAATATCGGTCGCGTCACATTGCAAGGCGCTTACGATCGGTAAGTTTTTCACACTATGTGAATTGCCCACGCCTTTTCGTGAAGTGTCTGAGAATCTGATTAGAAACTGTGACGATCAACGAGGTGCCTTTTGTCCATTTTCCAGTCTTCTATATTGCACAAGGACGGGCGTTTACGCTTTGTGGCGATCGTTTGACTGTTTTTGGACACCTTCGGAGCTACGTTGGAGATACGTCAAATGCTCTGTGTAGCATAGCCAGTCTTCTCGCATGCATCCTGAAGTTGATGTGTGTTCTAGCTGATCCATGTCGGAGCAACAACTGGAGGCGCTGCGCACGGGGAGGATGCATCATCCAGCCTGTCCAGGCACTGCCTCAGTTCCATTGACATCCCGTTCATTCACATCCCTCCAGTTTCCTCATGGCGCGAACAGTGTCTGTATGACCGCTCGAGGTGGCGATCTAACCTGATGCAAGATGCTGCAGGCCTTCGATTCGCACTTTGCTCATCACTTGCACTTTGCGGCGGTGCTGGGTACCACAACGTATACGCCTGCAGCACAGCGGGCACCATGGGTGAATGCCGCATGTAACCGCAGTACGTGATGCCGAGTTTTCGTTCACGGGACACTCGTAGTTCTGTTTAACTCAAAAAGCCTATGAACACGTTTCATCCGCAGGTGGAGCTGCGTTTTGGCTCCCAATGGATGTGCTGTGCTTCACTGTTCCAATGTGGCTTCGCATGCCGATCGGGCGTCAGACCTAGATTTATCTGCCAGTCTTTCGCATAAGGTATCGTTCCTGCCTGCCTTCCAAGCGTTGGCCTGCGAGGTACTTTACCACTTTCTGGTATGCGGCGCTGGTTTCCGTTTTCCGGGGCGGTGAGTTGCGAGCTTCCTTGGAAAAGAACCAAATGTTTCAGATAACTTCGACTGGAGCAAATTGTTCTCCAGGCTGAAAGATTTATTGATTCCCTTGTAGCCTTTGGGCTCTTTGTGATTCTCTTATAGAATCCAACTCTCGGGATGTGTTTGCTTCATCAACGCAGCTCCAAAGTGGAGCTTGCCCCAGCGCCTCATGGTCAAAATCCGGCCGACCAGAAGTGTCCCGAGCAGAAAACCTTTTCTGCTTGAGCTTTGCTTTGCTTAGGATCTAGCTCTGGGAAGCCTCCTCCTGATGGCTTCTTGCCTCTCTGCCTGCTGCGGGGGCCACAGGCACCAACGATCAGACCCACCTTTCTCAACAGTTGCTTTCGCTGGCCAAGATTCGTTTCACCAAGGCCTGTGTCGACGAAGACGGTCGACGGAGCAGAGCACTAGGTGGGAACCCGTGGGACGGAATCCGTACTTTGTCTCCCTGCACAGTGTGGCCACACTGCGGTTCGCGAGACAGGCACGCACGACGGGTACGCGGTGCGCTGCACAGTTTCGATTGAAACCAAGTGCTTTCCACGTCCCTCTCAATTCTCGTTATTTCCCGCGCACGTCGAATGTACCGCAAAATCGCGCTCCCACCGCCGCCCCTTCTCGTTTTGGCCACTGTAGTCAATCTTAATCCCATTGAAGTCCCAGCCGGGCCAAACTAGCAGCTTCTCTATGCGGTCTCGACCTTCGGTTCGGAGTTCGGGTCTAAATCGGTCTCCGACCCGATTTCGAGTTCCCGACACGGCGCCTTGCATACTGTGGCTGCCGTGTGTTCCCATCACAGAGCGGTTACATGTCCTAGGTGCCAATCGTACTATTGGCTCTGGGGTATGTGCAGGCTGTGTACATGGGTTGAAATTTGGTACGCTATTTCACTCTCTGGGGTCTAGTTTCGCGGGCTTGTAGTATTTTTCAGACGGGTTAGCTCAAAACCGGGCACTGCCTATCCCTCCACAGTAGCCCGAGTAGGGCAACACACGCAGTTGCTATCCGAAGCTACTACTTGTACTGGTAGTTTTGATTTGCTTCAAACGCTTGCATCAGTTCTGATCGAATGATCTCGGAACGTCTCAGAACAACGCCAAAGCACAGTTCATTCTGCTAAGTTGCAGAGTGCCCGTGGCCTGTGAACAGCTTACTTTAACATTCCAGGATGCACCAAAGTCTACATGTAGAAGGTTCACTTCATATTAAGAAAGGCCCCCCCAAGGATGTAAGCCCCAGCCTCCGTAATGAAAGTCCGGATCCAGCATCAGAGCCGTTGACCTCCACGAGCCTTAAATCCTTTTCAGTTCCTTGAAGCTTTCATCTATATGAACAAGATTCTGGTTGCATTTTTTCCGCTGAGGCCGCTAGGATTGTGCAAATACGGGGGGGGGGGGGGAGCGGGTTCTAATTACTTTCTGGGAATTGAATTTTGCAATTATGCGGGGGATTCTAAATATGAGGTTGACATAACGTTGACATAACACACACCCCCACTGGAAGTCTGGAAGCATGCAGACTCACGTGGATGTGAGGCTGGCAGCAGACTCTTCGGACTCGGACAACACGCCGATGCCTGTGCGACAGGCCCTTGAATGATTGAGTACAGTTGCCCCTGATGTTGTCTCGCACTCCGTTGACATCAGCCGCGGTGTGATACGGCGTGGCCGCGCAGAGGCACCTCTGCAAATGCCGCTGCTTCAGCCAACGTGATGTATGCAGCTTGGAGAAAAAGCAGCCCCTTCCGCATGGTGCTGGGCACATTTGCGACATCAACCATGCACCGGGCAGCGAATTTCCCAGTATTTGCAATGCTTTGGATTTGGGCCTTCGCGGATCAGATTTGCTTGTTTGGTGAGGATCTTGATGTTTATATCGTTTTCGAGCTATTTTCACATCGGGCAGAACTCGGATCCGGGTCCCTGAAAACCCTGGGCGTGGGCCTAAACTCGAACCAGCCCCAGAAAATCCCAGAACCCAAGAAAAGAAAGGAAAGGACCCTGAAGCAGCAGAGCGCTAGTCGCTAGACCAGAAGCCTCTATTTCCGTCATCGATGCTTTCTCGGCTTTAGGGTTCAGAGTTTTTGCTTCGAAGGCTTTACGAGAGTTCCATAGTTAGGGGAAACGCCTGAGACCAATCAACAGCCATGACACTGTTCTTTTTTCTCCCTTTTTTCAGCCACATCATCTGCACGACATATCCCAAAGAAAGCCAATCCACCCACAGCGGGCTGGACCTAACAGTATCATGGCGAAGTACGCCGTAACACTGAATGTTCACCGCGTACGTAGTTGCAGATGGCTCAAGCCTGCCGTCTTTACAGAATCTGGTTGCTGACACTCTGAGAGCATTCTGCCATGGATTCCACGGCTGCGTCTTACTCACTCTGGCTAATGCCTGACCCTGGTGACGTTCAGGAAAGGCTGGACAACCTGGTGGAACGGATGGCACGGGAGTTGGATGCTCCAAGATTTGACTTTCATGTGACCCTTCTTGGCGGCATCAAGTCTGCAAACCTTCCGGATCCTTGGGCAGAGAGCCAGGAACTAAAGGCCAGAATCTGGCTTAGTTTTTCTGCACGTGTTGAGGAATGCTGAATGCCACGAAGGTTTGGTTTGGTCGGACTTCGGTGCTTCCCGTACAAGGTGAAGACCACTGGTTCTGTATGTCTTGCTTTTCAGGTCTGATCGTGTCCCTTCCAACGTGACCGTTGCCGTGCAGTTCTTAGGGAAGTTGTACCTCCCGGTCTTGTTCGGAGATTTTACCTGCATCGGTGACTTTGGAACACTCTGACGATAACCTACTCGCTACTACGATGCATGCCTGCCTCGAAGCTTAGACAATCCACACTCGCAACACCTCGGAGAAGTGGCGAGCCATAACGACGCAACGACTCAGACTAAGCTAAGGAGTTGAAATCCTCACTCGAAGCGCTGGCTGGTGGGCTGCAGCCTTTCGATGTGTTTTTCGGGGAAGACAGCCTCGCGGTGTATGATACCTGGAACCAAAGCGTTTTGCTGTGACTCGGCTCGTCTGCAGACCGGTTTATTCTGTAGGTTTTGAAGCCTGAGTGTGGAAATTAACCTCCCTGTCCGAATCGTTCGGTAGACTCGTGGGAAATTCGGACTGCTCCTTTGGGCATGACTTGGACATCCCTGTGCGTGAACAGGCTGGCAGAAGAGAGAGCTGAGCTGAAAGCCGCCAACTTGGCAGCCCAGCGGATCTTTGCCGACCCAGCGGCGAAGGCTGGTGTAGCTGGCGTGTGTAGTCTAGCCAGGAGATATACCTCGGGTGTGGTTGAGTCTGCAAAGCCGTAAGCACTCGAACAGGCTAAAATTTTGGTTGTGCGTCGTGTGTCGCATTATGTCACATTTATTCTGCGACTCTGTGAAACTTGAGACCAATATCAAAGAAGCCGGTGTTTGGATTCAGCGGGCGATTTTTCATGGTGCAGACGTCCAGAGAGGGCAAAGTCGCTGGATGAGCAGGCTGCGTATGCCACAGATCGAGACAAACCGTTGGGCTGATCAAGAGCTGTTTCGTTGTCCGTATTTCTATCGGCCATTTAAACTGAAGATGCACGCACGGGAGGCGAGCCGGGTTCGTTGTGCCAGCGATGTAGAGCTCAAGCTCATCATTACTTACGGCTTCTCATCACCAGCTTTGCGGGTTGGGTGTCATAAGAAATATCAAATTCATGACCGGTACTTTTCACTGGCGTGGTACATGTATTTACTAGTTTCTAGTACTCTCACGACGACTGTAACTACCCTTTGCTTGGGGCCTGCTACCGCTCAAAACTACTACTCGTACAAAACTACTACTACTACTACTACTACTACTACTACTACTACTACTACTACTACTACTACTACTACTACTACTACTACTACTACTACTACTCCTACTCCTACTCCTACTCCTACTCCTACTCCTACTCCTACTCCTACTCCTACTCCTACTCCTACTCCTACTCCTACTCCTACTCCTACTCCTACTCCTCCTCCTACTACTACTCCTACTACTACTCCTCCGACTGCTACTGCTACTGATGCTGATGCTGATGCTGATGCTGATACTGATACTGATACTGATACTGATACTGCTGCTGCTGCTGCTACTACTACTACTACCACTTCCAAAACAACCACTACTACGACTGCTACGACGACGGCTACTGGCCCTGTACTTTGCTTGTACTTCTACGTCCATTACTTCTACTACTACCACTACCACTACCACTACCACTACCACTACTACTACTACTACTACTACTACTACTACTACTACTACTACTACTACTACTACTACTACTGCTACAGTACTGCTACAGCTACTGCTACTGCTACTGCTACTGCTACTGCTACTGCTACTGCTACTACTACTACTACTACTACTACTACTACTACTACTACTACTACTACTACTACTACGTACTACGTACTACGTACTACGTACTACGTACTACGTACTACGTACTACTACTACTACTACTACTACTACTACTACTACTACTACTACTACTACTACTACTACTACTACTACTGCTCAATTGGACGCTGCGCGAGCGGGCTCAACGCATTGCGGGCGATTGCCGCACTCACCAGCTTGTGAAACTGACCCGATGCCCTTATTACGTTTGGTTTATCCTCGTCGTGAAACGTGCGCCCAGGGGACCGATCCATGCTATGCTGCACCGTGCCTCTTAGGGCCGTCATGCATTTGAGACTCTTGTCCTCATCTCCGCCTAAACAGGGATGCCTGTTGTGTGTGCCGCGTATCCTCGAAGAGATCGTCAGGCATTGGAGAGGTGTCAGAGTCCTCCACATAGCAGGACCACGGTCGGGCATGGAAAAGTGAGGGCGCATAGCAAGTAGCTGCGGTACCTGCAGCCATTGGTGTGCTATAGCCATCAATGCAAGTCGTGAACTCGGCAGCACGGCACACATATCTCCGAAAATGCACAACCTCTTTTTGTGACAGGCTGGCCAGGGCTATAGCAGAAAAGCCGGCGGTCTTCACAAGCTTGGCAAGAAGATGGCTAATTAGCTGCTAATTGCGTGGGCAGTGCCTCCGTAGGAGTAGAAAAGGCTTTCAGACCGGTGGCCCCGCCTCCATGCGATTACTTTCGCCAGTTCCGGCTGCTGCTGGATCCCGATCCGCCACCAGTTGCCTCCTGACCAGCGCTGATCCGGCCAAGCTTCTTCGTCCCGAGGCCGCTTGTCAGACTGGGTAGGAGGGGGTCTCCACCTGACGTTTGTCCCGGCTTTGCTGTTGTTCCCGCTCTCGCTGCCGGTTCCACAGGTAGGCGGCCGTGGCTCCTCTGTTGTGCTCAATCCGGGATTTCCTTTAAATGCAGTCCTGCTTGGGCTGGTAAATGATCATGCGGTTGAGGCTTCGGTCAAAGCAAAGCTCGATGCCCATCATCGCGTCGCAGATGGAGGTCGATGACGATGGGAAGCATCCTGCGGACGACGCCGGTATGGATCAGTCACAACAACACGACGGCGCGGGGGAAGACCCGAAGAAAAGGGACCCACCTGTGAAGAATAGCCCGCCAAGGAAGAAATCAAAGGATGCTCCTTCCCTGTTTGGATACTCGCTTAAAGATTGCGGCGCTGAAGGAGCTTGCGGCTACAACAGTTTGGCCTTTGCATTCTGGCTGAGTAACAATTTGGACAAAGCATCCGAGCTCTTCGTCTGTTGCGCCAAAGAAACGGGCGGGAGCAAAAGCCCGTGGGACCAGCTTGGTCCACCAGCCCGCTACACGGGAAAAGGACGGCACTTGGACTTGGCCTTGCCCCCACTGCGACGTTGTTTCGAGGGGCAAAAGCAGCAAAAACCTGTCTAGCAGTCTAGCAGGCGCTCTTCGCACATGCTGTTTCGCCACAAGGGCATTCTCGCTGTTGACCGTGGCACCAGGATCAATCGCACTGAAATCGTCGAATCCAGCTGGGAAGTTCCAGAAGCAGAGCGTGACTGGGAATGCCCCTGGTGTCACAAGTACCTTCCGCTGTTCGGCAATTACCACCAGAAGCAGAAGAACGTTCGACGCCACTACCGCACGAAGCACCCGCGCAGAGACACGTCTTCTGCAGCCATACAGAAAGCCGTCAGCAGGAACCGCAAGAAGGATCCCAGCAGCCACCCGAAGAAAAAGAGTGGCTACTTGAGGAGTGCTGCCAAACGCATGGCCAAGGAGCGGGACCTCAACCTGGGCGGCCACAAGCTCGTTGCCTTTCAGCCAGTTTGGAGTGAGTGGCCTCGTCCCCTCAAACGCAAAAAAGTCCCTCGCAAAGGCCAGCTTTTCACCTGCCAAAGTTTCCACGCTGTTAGCCTGCTGGAAAACAACCAAGGAGACCGCAGACATGTACTTTAACCACTTGGTGGAGGAGGGAGTGGAGCCACACCCTGGGCCAGAGACACCTGACGGCAGCGATGAGGGCGGTTCTGTGGATGACGACCCGGACCCTGGTGGCTGTTCCTCTACGGCTTCTCCCGAGCGGGCGACTCAGACTTCGTTCTCTACAGCGCGCCTTTCTGTGAGAGGCTCTTGTGTAAACGTTCGTGATGGCCCTGGGCTTTGGAGACTTGTCAAGATTCTGGAATGTGACTCTAGTTTTACTGACATCATCTGCATCCAGGAGTCATGTATTCACGCTAATGAGTATAGCACGGTCGCTAACAAGTTTCTCACTATGGGCTTCAAGTCTTACTGGGCCGAGGGTTTTCCTGGTAAGAAGGCCACCGGTGGTTGCATCACGGTGGTGAGGTCTACCATTCCGCATCGGGTCATTGAGATTTTCTCGGGTGGCCCACACCAGCACATTTTCATCGAGCCCACAAGTCCAGCTGATCCTTGAGGCGATGCACGCTCTTAATTTGTTACCGGAAATCGACGCGCCTGCGTAAAGTGGAGTACGAGATGGATCAGACCAGGAGGAGTGTCTTGCTGCTCGGCACAGACATGAAGGACCTCCACAACGTTGCAACGGAGGCAATTCATTTGCATGACACCTTCACAAATGAAGTAATTGATTTGCAAGCCGAACTTTCGGATTCCATACCAGAGTTCAACAGGTTGTGTTCGGTTGTTAGGCATAGACTTGATACCCAGGATTTCATCCTGCAATGTTTGGTTTACTCATTGGACGAGTCTTTCCTACTTGCCTGTGACCTCGCCAATATAGTAGAGGAGGCTATCGACCCCCATTGCCCCTATCCTTTTACGCTTAGGCTCGCACATAGACCCAGGGGACAGGGTCCTAGACCTGCCAATCGTCAATACTATTAAATGCCACTCTGCTTGTATTCATGTATTCATGCATGTCACGAATTTATTTGCAAGACTGCAAAAGAATTTGTGCATGCCCGTCGCGGTGGAGCAACACATCACTGCAACAAAGTCCGCTCTATTAGCCCTGCGTAGCTCACAAAGTCCAGGGTTCTCATAGAAGCATAGGCTCAAGCATTAAACTGACTTGATGCATTATGTCCTTGCCCCCTCGCTCTGACGTCCTCACACCGTCTCAGCTCAGTCGAGAGTGTATATGGGGGCTTGAGCTTCATAACATGTTGATCCAATATCCTCCGGACCTCTCCTACGTAGCAGCCTCCAGACTCCTGGTCCGTTTTAGAAGAATGCGTAGCATGATTCCCCTGCAACATAGTGGTTCGGTTATTTGGTCGTATTGGTGCACCCTTATGGATATTATCTCTAGCACTCTGGCCGCGCAAGAGCAAGACAGACCTGAAACGGTGAGTATTCTGGATAACAATCGTATCTTCATCTGGTCTGATCGAGTCTCTATTCGTGTGTACCATACGCTAGGTTGCTACTCAGGCATTCATACTAACTGGAATTTACCGTACCTGTGGCCAACGGGAGATGTCAGGCTTCTTGCAAGTGAGAGAGTTTGTTTCGTGAACCCATCGGACCCCATCAATTCCCAGCCGCCCTCACCGGAAACACACTTCTGCTGGATGCATCCTCAGAGACCTCTTTAGACTCAAGTCTTTAGACTGAGTTTGAACTGAGTTTTCTCAAGCATGCCACTTGGACCTGATGAACTAAAGCGAAGACTTAGGCATGAGCTCCAAAGCATGCCGGCAGGAGTATCTAGGGTAGCTGCGGACTCCCTGTATTCCCGGTTTGCACAGAAAAGGAGCACATACCCTCTAGACGGGATCATAGTTGTTCATGATGCTATTATGGAATGCGCTCCATATTGGCTAGATAGCTCCGCAGATCCGGTTGCAGATGGGGTTCATACTCACACAAGGGAAGAAGTGCATGACTGGGTAGTTTGGATGGAACGACAAGTATATGAGACCTCGGTAGAAGTAGCTCGGACGTTTATGCCTCCTGTCCCCGACCCAGACCTAGTCACCTACCCTGTGTCTACGCCTGCCCCTGTTTCCCCTAGAACCAGGCATGCTAGCACACAAACAGAGTGGAGTATTCAACCATAATACGCAAGAATGCGGCTCAGATGGCTTTGCCTCACAACGCAAGCATAGCAGCCCCCACCTGTGCACCCAACAAAGTACAACAGGTTCTTGAACTGAAAAGGCAGGTGCTCCAGGCCTTTGATGATGCTTCGGATAAATATAAAGTGGTAGAAGGCCAGGGGCACACGCTCACAGTAGGATTGAATCCTAGGGACCTCACGCGCCTCTGTGTTGCCACAGCCCCTTTGCAATACCTAGCTTGCCAACTTAGTAGTCTTTTTAAAATGGTCACCCCGAACCACAAATTCTCCACTATCACTGTCAGGGATTCTGCAGGTAAGGGGCTACATAGGGACCGTCGGAATTCTCACTATCCACAAGCTGTCACTGCTTTAAGCGACTTTGTTGGAGGGGAAATTTGGATTGAGTCACCATCAGGCACCATTCAGAAGAACTACATGGGGGGTGTACTTCAGGGCTCTTTGCATAGTTTTTCATCTGGAGCCCCACTGATTTTTACGGGTAAAAGGCTTCTGCATGCAACTGAGGATTGGGAAAATAGACGGGTAGTAGCAGTTGCCTTTACAGTGATGGGGTCCATTAGTATTCCTAGACAACTTGATGAAGCACTAGGAGCCTTGGGCTTCATTACCCCTAATAGCCTTGAAGTAGATTTCTACACTAGAGTTCTTGTAGGACCAGGGCAACTAAAGCAAACTACCCTGCACAAACTTCCGAAGCCCATGCATACAGGAGTCTGGGGAGTAGGAAAACTGAAGCAAGGTTATCCTATTACTCTTGTTCTTAGTGATAGTGAGGATGACAAGGACGAGAATGAACTTGCCTCGGCAGCCTACGAAGTAGACGAGAGCATCACTAAGAGGCCCCGCCCTACTCAGGTAGACTCCTACACTTCAGATTCCCAAGCTACCCTTCCTTGGCCCTCCGATGCCGCTACAGGGGCGTAACAGGACAGCAGGAGCGTGTGTAAGATATGCTCCACGGAGTGCCGGCTGGTTGGGGTCATTTAGAGTATTCACGTCAAATCTAATGCATATCTAGTGGATATGTTCTTCATACTTCTGTATTATACTCTACGTCGTCTCTTGTCCATGCTGGTCTTGCCTTCTACTCCCTCCTTGGCCCCACATACTTCAGCATGTTTTATCCCTCGTAGCCCCGCCTTTCATAACTAAAACTGCACATATACAGGATATGTAGACTACACATGGGTCCTTGAGAACTTAAGTCTCCCCACCTTAAGAAACCACTAACCCGCGATTGCCAACATGGTGCATCTACGCAGTTGCCAGTGGGTGGCCTCAACGCTGACAGGATGCCAGTGTTCTGAATTTGTGAATTTCCTCTGCATGGCCTCCGCTGCCAGGACATCTATGTGTTTGCGTGCGAATTAGTATGGCTTCACAATTTGGACCCGCATGGGGAAGGTATGACGGCCTGGGAAGGTACATCCTGGTGGCTTTGCGAATTCTACACTGCCAGTTCGCCATTGCCTATTTTTCTGGAATTTATTGCAAGAGAGGCTGGAGACTGGATAGCAGAAGCTATGCATGCGAGTATGAAGTGGTCACCTGACCTTCCGGCCTGCCCATGTGTGGTGGCGCAAAGGCAATCTGCCTGCACAAGTGGCCAGTCACCAGATGGTTGGCTTCTCAAAAAAAAAGCAGACACAGACAAAGGAGATGCGCTTTGAAGCCGATGCAAGTGAATTCCAGATTCATGACGGACACCCCAGGCGGTCTGCATGTGTGGTGCGCCATTAGCGCTACTTTTGGCTGCTCTGGTGACAACAAACAATCTGCCTGTACCCGAGCTTTATGCTGCAAACTCCGAGGCGATTAGATCTTATTGAGTGCAATGTCCAGGCATGGCATTCAATCAGGTCTAATTGTCACAGTGAGTTGAATTCAAGAAACAGAGGGTTGCGTAGTAGAATTCGTCCTGTACAAGGTTCTGATTGGTTTTTGATATTGGGTCAGCATAGTTCTCGGGTCAGGGGTATCAGTCCTAGGGATGATATATACGTATGGTTGCGACTTTGCACTCGTGCACGCAGGCAGTCCCACATCCGTGCACGCAGGTAGTCCACAGATAGCTCCACATATTCCGCAGTTTCACAGGGTCTGTATGCAAGTAATTAGTTCCGGAAACAGTCGGTAATAAGCTGACACGGGAACATGGAAATCATGTTTCCACCACAGATCGCACAACCTGAGTCGACCCGGCTCATATCATCTAGTAACTTCTCTTTATATTCTATTGCCCCGTTCCTGACGATCTGCGGTATACAAGGACCTCGAAGTCGCAAGTTATGCAGTGTTTCCAACCAAGTGATTCCGAGGGAAGACGCGTCGAGCGGTACAGTCACTTTATTTGTTGCTAGATGGCTTTTGCTTTCATCATGACGTGGTCTTCTAGTGCCGTTTCACATCGCAGACTCCGAACCATATGCCTCGCCTGGATTGTCCGAGTGTGAGCGCCACAACCCTCCAAGCCTCATGTGCAGTGGATCTCCAAGCTTGTGAGGCGCGAGGGTGGGAACATGGCCTGCCGCAAACGCTGCAACTGGCTTTCTAGCTGAGCGAGCCCTCGAGCTCATGGGCAAGAGCTCCCGCTCACACAATCAGGACAACGAGCTGCAGAGATTATTTTGCAGAATACGCCGCCGCATGCCTCCACGACACGATTTTCCCGTCTTTATGAAGCAGCTCGCGGAGGAGATCAAGCAGATGCAGAAGCAGCAAGCACAGGAGGAGCGTGAAGCTAAAGATTTCTTCGTCCAGCGCTGGCGCCATTCCATGCAGTACAGCTTGAGAGAGAGATGTAAGTGGCTCCGCAAGAGCAAGCAGTGCCGTCCCTACGTGCTTCATGGGGACTTGCAGCTTGACAAAGACCAAGACATCCTCGAAGCCATCTACGAGCACTGGCAGGCCATGTGGCGAGCCTGCAAGCAAGCTCCGGTGCAGCCTAAGATTCAGGTCGTGCTCAACAATCTTCTTGAGCATGAGCTCCTGACTGGGCGTCCTGATCTTGAGGATTTTGGCACCGCTTTGAAGGAGCTCGGCGGCTCTAGTGGCCCGGACGACTGGCAGCTTGAGGAGTTGCGTTGCCTCCCTCAAGGCGCCATTGCTCTTTTGAGTCGCTTGACTTGCAGCTGGGAGGCTTCGGGTTGCACTCCTGCGGCCTTGAAGTACAGCCGCCAAGTTAACTTGGCTAAGCAGCACAAAATCTTCAATGGATGCACCAAGAGCTCAGACCTTCGTCCCATCAACGTGTACTCGCTCTGGTATCGTTGGTGGAGTGGCTCGTGGGCCAAAAGCAAGCTTCTTCGTGGATGGAGGCAGATGGTCTTTCCTGCTGAAATCACAGGTGGCTTGACCAGCCCGGGCACAGAGCGGCTTGCCGCGAAACTCCAAGATGCCTTGGTTCAGCATGGTTTCTTGGCCACCCTGGACTACTCGCTGGCTTTCGATCACGTCGTTCCTGCCGCGATTTTTCTGGGCATGGAGCGCCTATGCCTTCCGAAGGCCTTGTCCTCTGTTCTGCTTGATCAGTGGACACACCAGAAGCGCATCCTTCAGTGGAACTGCAGCACTCTTCCCAGGGGGGACGCTCTGTCACCCTTCGCTCTTAACATTTTGATGTTTGCTGGCTTCAACTATGTTAAGACCCACTGCGCGGCTTCACCCACGAGGAGGCTCCACGTTGTCTACATGGATGACAGGACATGGACCTCAAGCTCGGCTCGGCTGCTTTTGAGCACGTTGCGCACACAGCTTCAGCGAGCGTGCTGGCCTCCAGGAGAATGAGCGCAAAACGCAGATCACTTATGCCAACGATGACAGAAAGCAGGACTTGCTGACCGAGATCGGCGAGGATGCGGTGCTGCTCAAGGCCCTGACCCCCTCGGCGGTCGTCTTGGGTTGCTGCACTACCAGCGAGGAGCAGCGCCAGCCCAACGACAAGGAGCTTCAGCGCAGTCAAGATGCTCAGCACATTTGCAAGCGGATCCGTCTCCTTCCTTTGGGGCACACGGAGAAGCTGGACACGGCTCGGATTGCTGCTGTAAGCAAGGCTTCTTTTGGCTGGGTTGCAGCGGCGCCCTCTGAAGCTCTGACGAAGGCTCTTGACACCGCGGTGCGTGCGACAAGTGATGCTTTTCGTGAGGGCTCAAAGCTTTTGCATAATGTGCTTCTGGGGGCCACCAGGTGCCTTGGGCCCGTGGTGGGCGTGAGACAAGTGTTTCTTTGGTGCAAGAGCATGGCACAAGAGCAATGGGACGATGCTCGTCGTCGCAGCAGCATTTTGCAACGTCCCAGCGCATGTCGCTCGCTGCCCGATGTGCAATCATGATCAAGCAGACCAGCGGCACCTCTTCTGGGCCTGTGCTCATCGCAAGACCACAGGTCGGCCTGCAGATGCCCTCCAAGCTCGTTTCGGCTGGCCTCGCACCAGGAAGGACACCAGGCCCCTTGAGGGCATGGCCCTTGCTGTGGAGGCAGTCTGGAAGTAGCGGACTACCCACGTCTACAAACCCAAGGGCTTCAAACTGAAAGCAAGTTGGCTCAAGCGCAGTTATGGAAAGCACAAAGCTGGAAAGCACAGAGTGATCAGTCGCCCTCGCGGCGGCCCTTGATATGGATCACTCTTCTGGTGCGGCCGGGCGGACACCTACCGCATCGTCACCAACCGAATCACTCATGCGGCTGAGGCCTGCACACTTCCGGCACGTCTGGTCGTAGATGCACTTGATGGTGGAGGCGACGATCTCGAAGTTTTTATCGGTTTCGAGGATGCCGTGCATCTCCGGCCAATCCCACATGTGCTGCAACAGGGGATGACTGATCCCATAGTAAGATGTGAGGGCCGTATCTGCTGCCCTCGACAATAGATAGGGCGACCTGGCCAGTGGCACGGACAACAAGCTTAGCAGCCAAAGAGTCCTCCCAAGTCCCATTCTACCACTACTACTACTACTACTACTACTACTACTACTACTACTACTACTACTACTACTACTACTACTACTACTACTACTACTACTACTACTACTACTACTCCTACTACTACTACTACTGCTACTGCTACTGCTACTGCTACTGCTACTGCTACTGCTACTGCTACTGCTACTACTACTACTACTACTACTGCTGTACTACTACTACTACTACTACTACTACTACTACTACTACTGCTACTACTACTACTACTACTGTACTACTACTACTACTACTACTACTACTACTACTACTACTACTACTACTACTACTACTACTACTACTACTACTACTACTACTGCGAATGCCTTGTCAAGTTCTAAGGTGTGTCTATAAAGCTGTGAGCAAGACCGTGTAAAGTGCAAGAGAAGGGGCACGCTACGCGTCCCTCGACTCTAGGGGCATGCTACGCATCCCTCATCTTTACCTTTCTATGTGATCGCCAACGCAACGTTTGGCTCAAGTCAATGCCCATAGCTAAGTGCTATATGTGTCTTCTATCCTGAGCAATCAGAGCTATCCCGTTGCACAGACGAACCGCCGCCGGCAGTGAGTGCAAAAGGAACGGCCGCCGGTTCTGCCTGCATAGGATTGCACGTGTGGAAGTAAGAGGGAGAGACAGGGTCCAGTCTGTGGAGAGTGCTAGCCAGCCACACCTACATTCATTACAGCTCTGGTGGGGAGAGCAGCAACCAAGTCGAGATCAATCCCCCACGCAGGTTATCAGCCGTACGCGGCTCTGCCTTTCTACAGCAACGACTACTTGATCTACTACGACCACAATGAACTCAGGATCAAGCCAAGATACGACAATGACTTTCGGTGCCGATGTGGCAGCGCCAGCCGTTGGTGAGTCAACAGCTGACGACACAGTGGTGCAATCCGTTGATAGCTCCACGGAAGATGACAAAGGTCAATCTTCTGCGCTTGCCATTGCAAAGGCAGTTCCCAAGGGGAAAGCAAAGAGTCTACCAAGAGCATCTACGCCTTCACGTCCGACATCCACAGGTTCGAGGACGGGCAAGGCTTCAGAACGACGGGCCGAAGCGTCTGGTTTTCAGGCACCTCGGACTACGTCCAGGGCCAAGGACAAAGGAGTCAAGACCTTGGAAAAGAAGTCAAGACCATCATCTTCGAGAAGCTCTTCAGCACGATCGAGGACTTCGGCTACTCGTGGGCGTGACAAGTCCATGACTTGGAATCGGATGGTTACCAATCAACCACGCGATACTGACGATCTGGACATGACTCTGGATACGATTCCTGCACGTGGTGATGCGTCATCCGTGGCCACGCCTGCAATAGCTGACGGTCCGAATGCCTACCAGGAACTGACGATTTCGCAACAGTTCGAAGCATCGAACCTTGCACAGCAGATGTACTATCGCAGTCAGGTGCAAGAGTACGAAGGAATCGTCCAGACCCTGATGGACAAGATCAAGGAGATGCAACAAGAAGATGAAGGATCTGGAATTCGCATTGAAGAATTGGAACGACAACGTGACCATGCATGCTTAGCCATGAGGCACATCAACAATGTCAATCAGGAGATGAAGCGAGACTATGAAACAGCTTTGTTTCGCATGGATGAACAGAACTCTGCTCAACAACGTCAAGCACATGCCGTTGCCGAGGATTTAGCTCAACAGCTACACGTGTTCCGCACGGAGGCAGCCACCAACTTTGTGCAGTTGGAGGCAAGAGCGCAAGGCGATGGTGAGCTTATGGCACGTGAGTATGAGCGTCTGACTCATGAACTTCATGAACACGCCAGAGAGAACTTGGTCCTCCGGTCAAACACAGCAAGTTCGGAACAAGCCTTACAAGCAATGCAGGAACGATTCCACTTGGTCAAGAACCAGGAGTTGCGGGCTGTGAACGAGATCCAAGGGCTAGCTGGAAACAGCGCAGCCATTGAACAAGAACGATTTCGGCTTCGCGAACGTCTTGGTGAAGAGGAAGAGTACCGCAAAATGGCTGTGAAGAGGATGCAAGAAGCAGAGGATCGACTTCATCATAATGAAGATCACGCAAGGCGATCATTGCCTACCTTGCACGACGAGCTGAGTGAACTCAGGAAAACGCTCAAAGCACAAGAAGATCTTCAAGCGAGGACACGCAGCGAATTGGAGGCAGCGCGAAACTCCAATCAACGGAGGAGCGACGCGACCTTCGAGCATGCCCATGTCTTCGAGGACTACTGAGTCTGGCTGGGAGCACGTAGGAAAGGAAGTAATGCCTGCATTTTCCGTAGGAGATGAGGTACGATCCCCTGAAATACGGTCCCCAAGTCAAGTTAGTCCAGTCGCCAAAGAGAAGTTCGCATTCTCGGAATCGGACAAGGACAAGAACCTTGTGATGGATGGAATTCCATTCACCGGTGGAAACTTCTTCACTGGCCGCAGTTCAATGCCAATCGTGGCGGATGCAATGCCCGAGCACTACGTGCCAGGTATTAGCAGCCCAGCACTTGCGCGTTCCACGCCTAGTGCAGCCACTTTGTTCGGCATACCAAGCGGATTTCATGGGAAAAGTGATGCGGCAGCCGTGCGTGATCGACAGCTACGCGAACTCTTGGGGGATCGCGGGATGTTGGGATCGAAGTCCACAGCATCGGCCAGCTCCTCAAGACCTGTTGGCATCGACGGTGTTACCGCATCTACGAAGGGCAACGACCTCGTTGGTCCCCCTGTCGCCTATGACGATTCTATCCATGAGGCAAGGAGGCGTCAGATCGAGAAAGAGATCGCGGAACAGTACGAGGAGAAGATTGCTGCTCTGCGAAGTGAAGTACTCAAGGCTCAGAAAGCCGAACAACGTCTCAGAGCTGATCGTGATGAGTGGAGATTATTCGCTGAAACGATTCAGGAAAACCATGGAGACGATGACGGTGATGAAGCTGGCGACGAGAACGGAGAGGACGAGCATGGTGAAGGAACCGGCACAGGGTATGATCCTCCAGATCCGCCTGATGATGATGATGATAAGAAGAAAGGCGGAGGGGGCAAGCCTGAGTCGGATCCTGGTTCGCATGCGCGTGATCCTGATGGAGACGCGGATCCTGAAGTCACAGAGGTGAGAATTTCCAGGAGGGAAGCCGACAAAGTGACCGTTCCTCCATGGCCTACTCTCACTCATCTCAACAACTGGCGATCCGTGTGCACGGCCAATGTCTTAGGGCATCAGCCGACCCACATCATGAGGACTGGATGTTATGGCTGGCACCAGCGTTCAACCCATTCCCTGATGTCGAAGCATTGAATGATTCAGGACACAAGAAGTTCAAGAGCATAGACGTCAAATTGGGGATCGCCATGGTCGCAATGCTACGTGCCGGTGGTGACAAATCAGCTGACCTGTACCTCGAGGTGAACCGGAAGGCCAACGATTACATCAGCAGGCCTGACGTGAAGATCATCAAAGGACGACAAGTCATCGCGATGATGTACGAAAGTTTTCGAACGCATGATCGTCTTGACATGATCATCACTCTTGAGTATTTGGTGAAGCTCCAGTACCAAGGCGATAACAAGCTTCATACGTTCAAGCAGACGTGGTTGGAAGTTCTGGGACGGATGAGACCAGAGGACATTCCATCCAAAACGGCTCTCCGTGATTGCTTGTACAGCAAGATCAAGGACTCGCCCGCAATGAAGATGGAGTTGGGTATGCACTACGAACACCTGCCCTACAATCATGAAGACCGATCGTACGACAACCTGATGAAGATCATTGATCGTACTATCATGCGGAGACGAGAACAGTCAAATCTCACTCAGACCCAAATTGGCTTGCGCCAGATGCTTGAGGGCAAGGATTTGCTTGCTGCACCGGCCAAGGTACCCGAGAAACCTACGCCTAACGCAGCTCCATCCGCAAAGGTCAAGGCTTCGCCGACCAAACCGGATAAAGCAACACCTGTACTACCTCAAAGCAAAGCGAAGAGTCATGCGAAGACCAAGCCAAAGCCCAAGAAGAAGACGAGGAGTGAGTCAGCGGACAACAGAGGTGACAAAAGCAAGAAGCAAATCCGCTGCAAGTTCCATTTCACAGATGCAGGGTGTCGAAATGGCGATAAGTGTCCATTCAGTCACTCGAAGAAGACTCCAGAACGACCCTTCACGCCGAGGACGAGAACTCCAAGTCCATCTGGAGGAGGAGGAAACAGGATATGCTACTCGTTCAAGAACACAGGCTCGTGCTCAAGAGAGAATTGTCCTTTCAAGCATGAGGCAGCAGCTACCCCAGCTCCGGAACCAAAGGCAAAAGCTAAAGCTAAATCCGAAGCGAAGGCAGCTCCAGCGAAGCCGAATGCCAAGGCCAAGGCACTCCCTGCGGCACCCGCCATCAGATTAT